CATGTGTAAAACTGTAGCAAATGGTCCCAAGTTTTCACAGGGAACTCTGGCTCTGACCAAAGACCAGAGAAGATTTGAAGCATCTGTATTGTATGCTTTAGATTTTTCAGTCTCTTACAGTTTTGGAGCAAGCAAACATTTTAAACAGGGAGTAAACATTTGGACAGGCTGTGCAGTGGAAGCTGGTCTCTGTGTTTGTGCCTATTTTTGAGTGTTATAAAATAAATTCAGATTTCTATTGCTTACATGCCTATATTTGAATTTTAGTGTCTTGTAATGTGACATAACTAAGAAGTTATGACTTATTTGTCTCTGTGTAACATTATATCTGTTTTTTTATATCAAAACATACTACTTAGTCATTACATTGAAGTCCAAAATATTGTGAAAAGTTTGCCACTTTAATGGTTACATGTACTTTATTTTTTATCAAAGAAGCACAGCAGCTGCTTATGAAGTAAGCAGTTATTTTTATAAACCCAGCACAAGAGTTCCACAAAAAGGCTCAGGTGGCTTTAAAACATGCCCCTGAAGGCAGGCAAGACTCAGTTCACTCAGAAAAATAGGGTGGCATATAGGTTTTTCAGTTGAGAAAAGGGCATATCTCCCAGAACACAAAGTCCAATTTTTGTTTCAGTATCAATAATTTGGTTTTCTGGAGGACACAAATAGTTCAGCATAACATTTTGATAAGGACACAAATAGATCTCTCAAAGCAACATTTAGGAAAATTTTGTGGTTTTCTGGTATGCGTTAGAGGTGACAATGATCCTGTAGTGATCATTTCCCTCTGACTCCTTTAGTTCTTGTGCTCACCCCAGTTGCTAAGGTAATTTATCAGAATTAAATGGGTTTTGGTGATGCATCCGTCTCAGTGCTTCACATGAGAATTCTGTCCTCTGTTTTGTTGTACTGCACCCGGCATGGATTGTACGATATGGAATGTCTCAGGGAACATGTTGACATTTGGGATAAGGATTAGGAAGCCACCATAAAGGAGTGCCTCTGCTGTGTGTCACCGTTGCTGTTGACTTTGCACTCAGATTGAGGCTTGTGTTGCAGGACTGAACAGAGCCCCGTGGCTGCTGGCTCTTTTATACTTTTCAATTCACCGCAGAGCTGGAGCCAAAGACTCGGATCCGTGTGGATTACATTGGAAGTTCAAACTCCCTGTCAGTCTACATGAGGTTGCTTTACTTTCTGCTCAGATCTGTACCAACTGTAGCTTTAGCTTGCACTGTAATTGAATAAATTTTTGTGATCTGCATTTTAACTTTGGTTTGAAGGTTTCTATAGCGGAACGATAAGTGAGAATGTGTGATTTAATTTTGATTTACGAAAACAGCTACTTCTGAAACTCTGACTCTTCCACTTTTCCCTCTTCCACACTCCCTCCACCTTTCTCCAACTCTCTTCCGTCTCTTCAGCAATCATGTCCTTCCTTGCTTTTCTCCATCTCAACCTCCATCTAATCGACTGCAGTGACCTGAAGGAGGGCTTCACACTGCAGCGCTCAAATAATAATCAAGCACTAGGATGTTGTCAAATTTATAGGACACTGAGCGTTGCATGGCAACAGAGATTGTCAGGGTGATTCAACAGACACTGGAGGTTGGGTGAAGAAAGAAAAAGGCTAAATGACAGAAGGTAGGTGAGGTAACAAGAAAAGCAGCAGACAGGAGAGAAGAAGGAAATCAGAATTTAAAAAACAATCACATTCACAGGAGGGATTAATAACTGAGGAAAAAGCACATAATGAAATAAAGTTGATGTTGTCTTTGCTATAAAACGATTCATAGATGGTAACTTCTTCTCTGTGGTAACGCATGCTTTACCTTTTTGTCATGTTTACTATATATACCCATGGATATTTTTACTTTGAAGTTTTACACAAATGGAAAAATCTAATTTCTGATTAATTTCCTTCTGACTCATTTCTTCAAGTCAGAACATCACACTGTCTGTTTTGAATCCTTCGATTGTTGTAGTGGAGCTCAAATTTCATGTATTCATTTTATTTTTCATCCTTGTTGCCTAGTGACTGCATCACTTTTCACCTTTCTTGAGACATTCTAGTCATCATAAAAAAATAGTAAAAAATAAGCAAGTAAATAAGCATACAAATAAGTAGTAAATTGGCAAGCACTTTTACATGAATGATAACAAAGTATGCGATAAGTTGATGACTAAGAATATACATAAATAGGTAAGTAATTAAATAATATGGAAGTTAAGATAAGGAGTACATTAATAAACATCTGATATGTAAATGATAACTAAGTGTATATTTTGGAATGAGGATATCTGTTAAACAGAAATGAATAAAAAATTGTAAGTGAACAAGTACAAACAGATACTGTAAGTAAAGCAAATTATGCTCTTCAAGTTCTCAAAAACAAACTAGCAAAACACCTCTATATCAGGCAAGAACAACCAACATGCATGTTCTTTGTGCACTATAGATCCTTGAGGCAAACTGCTTTGCTGAAAATGTTCTAATATTATGTTTTTCCTTTCTTGACTATCTCAAAAGTCTGGATTTGTTTTGTCTACTAAAAGGTGACTATCCTTCTGCGTCACTGCCAGTTGTTTCAGTTTGGACAATCTCCTGAGTGCAAATAGCAATGACAGCTTGAAGCCCAATTTTCTCTTGTCACCGTGTGTTCAGATTTGTTTGAGATAAAGTGCTACTGGGGGGTCTCCTTGTCAGTCTAACTGTAGTAGATTGCATTATGTTGAAAATTATTCTTTGTGATGAAAAAGAAACAGCCAAATGCAAATTTGTAAATAAGATAAACATAACACGCAGCCACAGCAATTTTACAACTAATCCACAATGTTGTTAGGTAGTACAAAGATTTGGATTTTCGACTGTAGTTCAACGCATTAGTTCTAATTTGTCTTTAGTTATCTGATGGTCAAGTAAACCAATATAAATTCTTTGTAAAATATTTTTGTCTTTTTAAAACTTTCCAGTTGTACAAGTCAATCATTTTTTAAAGGGGGATATGCAAGACAATAGCTAACAACCTCCAAACTCCAAAGAAATTAAAATGCTCTCAGCAATATTCGTGAGCTTCATAACAGTGAACCTTAGCTATTGATCTCAGTCCTCTTGATGAGAAATGGAGTACCACTTGTTGTTCTTGTGATTGTATGTAAATAAATGGACATACAATCAGTGTGTACTTTGGTGTTAAAAGAGATTTTAAGGGCAAGTGTTGGGAAATAATTCTGGAAATTGCATAATTCATGATCTACTTAGAATAATAGTCCATGAAATATTCAGCAGGTAAATTACTTATCTGCATACTCTGGTTTTGTTGTTTTGTTCAGAGGAGGAAAGGACAGAAGTGGGGACTGAAGCAAGAACACACCGTTTTCTGTTTCCTTTTCTCAACTATAGCAATGACTCAGAGTCTACCTGTTAATTATCACTGAACGAGGAAAAATCAATTAATCTCTTGCTATTATCGTATCTTTTGAGAAACAGCCCTTGGACACAAAAAGTTCTGTTTTGAATGCGCTCGTTACACCCACACACATAAGCACCTACTGACTGAACACTGACTTCCCGTTCTGACAGTTTGCGCCGCAAACGGAGCAATGCTTTCAAAGGGGCTTCTCAGGTGTTTTATAATTGCAGCCACATGAGGTAAAAAGATTACATGGTTTAAAGATGCTGCTTCTACACATCAAGGCAATTTGACTTCGACAAGCTCTTCACCCATTCATGTTAACATTAAAGCCTCCATACTGAGGCATTAGAGGTACATTAACACCACTGATCAAAAGATGGTGGTCAGAGCTTTGTTGGTACATCAAACAGCAGGAGAAAGGGGAAAGGAGGTAATTTCAGAGAGAAGTCACACATGGGTTGTGTTGTGTTGTTATTAGGGTTAACATTTGCATTACTACACCTTGCTTTCTTCTTTTGCCAACATCCCAGTATCTCTGGACTACAAACATAAAAGTACACATGCAGCCTAGGAATCTGTAGGCACACATGCAAACAGATGATGAAAAGAAGTAGCTCTTGCTGAAAAGAAATTCCTTCCCTCGTCTTTGTTGCAGACAATCGTGCATGTCAAGTTTGAGCCAGTTAATCAAAGTATGCATATGGAGTGTCAGAGGAAAGATTCGTGGGCGTCACTTTTTGATTTTCAACTTTTCTTTCAGCAGCCAGAAAGCTTAGCTTTTCACAGATACACACTGCAGCTATCTCTGCAGAGGAAAGAAGTGTTTTTGTGTCACTCGTAATAACACATACAGTAGCAGAGAAACACAGATGATGAAACTCGTACTAGAAAGAGGTAATGGCATTTAGCCCCGGTAAAGGTCTGTGTGGTGAATCAAGCTTTTGCCATTCATTTGTTTAGTGGATTGATTCTGGTTGCAGTTAATTTTACAAACTTCTTGCCAGCTCCAGTTCCTGGAACCTCCCCTGTCTGATCCAACTATTCTCTGCTCCTGCAGAGCTGTGCAGAAATACACGGAGAGTTATCTTTGCACATGCACACAATCTGTTGATGTAACCACTCACTTGGCTTCACTTCAGAGAGCATTTGATCTCAATAAAATGCTGGATTTACACCACTAACTTTTTGTTGTATTATTTTTACTATTTCACGGTTTCCAAGTTCTCAAAAAAAAAAAAACTGACAGAATTGACTTCCTCCAAACCTTGCTTTGTGATAATATGCAGCACTGTTTGGCTTGTCCTGTTTGCTCCTCAGGTTGATTGATGCACTGAGAGAATCACGCAGCTGGAAAGGAGGCAGTAAACCAAACGAGGGAACAAAGAGTAGTGGGCCACACGGGGTGCAGCAATTAAGCTGTTTTCTTGTTCTTAATTAAAAGTGAATTAGAGACTACGACAGGAGTTGCTGTCTAGCCTTATTTGCTGGCAGCTTCCAATGCTTTCCTGCACCTGTTGTTGTACATTCATTCATCCTTTACTCTCCCTGTTTTTTTCTGTTCCTTTTTGTTATCCTCCTCAGGGACGGAGAGGAAAGCCGGGGGAGCCTGGACCAAGAGGCCCACCTGTGAGTGATCTACTGTAGCAACACTTTAACAGACCTCTGATACCTTCACAGAATACATTTATTTATTATTATCTAAAAATACGTACAAGCGAATTACATTTATTAAATATTTGAAATTTTAGCGGTTATAAAGGGGTCTTAACACAAAAACAAGCGTACTTTATACTCTTGTATCATTTTACTTACATGTAACAATTGTTGGTCAGTCACATTGAATGCTAATAATTCACATTAAAGCTTGTGGTTGTTATGTTGCAACATCTGAAAAAGTTCAAGAGCTATGAACATTTTTTCAATGTGCTGCAGCAATGTGGCAAAGTGACAAAAGAAATGGAAATAAACACGTGCAAATTCTCTGCGCATGGTTAAAAAACGTGCTAAGTAATTCCATGCTTGGACGGTATCGATCTGTTTCAAAAGTTACTGCACAAACAGACAAGTCTTTGCACAAACCCCAAAAGGCATTTTAAGGTAGCACTTGAATGTGTTTGTATTGATGAGAAGTGCAAGTGTGTCTCAGAGACCCATTGAGTCTTTGAGTTATGGTCCTTTCCTTAGGTGTCCAAACCAATCTCAGCCAGTGTGCGTGGGCGTGTGTGTGTGTGTGTGTGTGTGTGTTGGGAGGGTGGATGGGGGGGCTGTAGTATGCGTGCGTGTGTGTTGGGAGGGTTGGGGAAGGCTGTGGCGTGTGTGTGTGCTTGTGTGGTAACCCACTAACTAAAGGGCACAAACAACAGTGAGCATTAGAGGAGACAGCTTGTCAGACTCTTACCTGCTGATGTCAGAACAAACAGGAAGGTCTAGCTATGTACTCAGATACATTGAGTGTGCAATTATTTTCAAGCACGACTGCCTTGATTGCACTATCAGGACACTATTAGGGGTTGTCTTTATTTAATTGAGAAATAAAGAGACACTCTGTTCTGATTTTACTGTCAGTGTTCTTCTTGAGTTCTTTTTGGGTATAATTGAGCTACTGAATGGTAAATCCTTAAAGCATAACTGAGTGTGTCACCTACTTACTTAATAAATCTTACTCTTTTTGGACACAGAATTGTGGGAGATTAAAATGACAGAACAGAGGTGTGACATTTCTAAATGGCAATGTCCTCATAATACTCTCCACATGTGCCAGATTAACGTCCATCCACTGGTATTGGCATTTATTATGGTCACCTGTTTTGCTGAGGCTGATCTCAGGGGTGAAATCTTGTATTCAAAACACACTACGGGGCATCACTCTGCTTTGTCCAGTGGCAGCAGGACATCGAGGGCATTCAGAGGGGGTCAGTGGTTATCTTTCAATGTCAAATTAGCATAACATAACAACCATGGTGTGTGTCAGAAGGGCATGACTAAGCCACAATCCAAATTTACCTGCAGATGACCAAGGTCCAGTTGTGTTATTATTTGATTTAATACTAGTGCAAAGGTTAGAAAATATAATGTCACAGAAAATCAACTGCAAAGTGGATTACTTCCAACTAAATTTGTAATTTAGAATAACAACTTTTTCTTATCCATTAGATCATTCAAGTGATTATCTTGTGTATTTTTCTTTTCCTACAGGGTCCTTCAGGAGTCGAGGAGGGAGCAAGTTTCAAGGTAATATCTAAAATGTTATTGCAAAACAAACTTGATCCATTTAAAGTTGTTATTAATGATGATGTCTGAACATTTTTGCATATTACATCAGGGGTCCTAAAAATTAAGTTGTGTACATACATCTAAAACCAGTGTAGGTGGGAAATTCACCTACTCTCTATAAAAAAGACTGATAGCAATTTTTCTGACTATCTGACATTAAGTCAGAATCAACTTTCGATGTTTAAGGTATATTAGGATTACTAATTTTTTTTTTACTAGGTAGTAAATTAATAAGTGAGAGAGAAGTTTAACAACTTTCTTCAAAGTCAGAGATTTACATTTATTTTCTTTATATGTGGAATAGCATTTCCTTTTAAACTGCATGACTTTGGCCAAATATTCTGGATATTCTTTCACAACTTCTCACAGTAGCTTATTGGGAAGTTGTCCTCCTGATAGAGCTGCTGTGTCCAAGTCAGGTTATACATTTGCTGGCATTCTGTTCTGCAAATACATTTTATGTGAAATTTAGATCAGCACTTTTTGATAGCCACAACAAAACATTGTCTTTTTCTTCCTGAAAATCACTTTATAGCCAATTTGCTTGTGTGCTTAGGGCCATTGTTCGTTTGGAAGACCATTTGTGCCTGATTTTTAGTGTCCTTTCTGATGTCTTGAGATGTTACGTCAGTTGTTTTTTTGTTTTGTTTTATTTTGTTTTGTTTCGCATACTGTTCTTTGCTCATGGTGCTATTTATTTTGTGAAGTGCACTGGTGCACTCACACAACACAATGTTGTCACACCTGTACTGGATGGTGTTCAAATGCTTGCAAGCTTCCCACTTTTTCTCCAAATTCAGTGATTCTCACTGTGTCCAAACCTGTGTCCACCTCTATTGTAGCCCCATCAGAACACAAGACAAGTCTGCAAAAATGAAGTTCCTTGTTCTCATTGCATTCTTTTATTTGTTCTATAATATTTATATGGTGCACATTTCTTATTAAGAAATGTTCATTTCTGGGACACAGACCCTGTTTCTTACCTGGCTGGTGTGATGGCTGTATATAAGCTGTACACTTGTTGCCCCTCTAAGCCAGCACAGACAAGCCAGATGTATGTAAAAGGATAGCAAAAGGATCTCTTTTGTCCATGACTGACACCTTTTTTAGGTTAATAGTCAGGAACAGATCTCCCTCGTCAGAAATGGCACCACTCAGTGAGTCGAAGCGTATCTGCTGCAAGTTAAATAGCTGCTCCCAGCCTGTGTGCCTCCTGCAGTACAGCACAGCATGACTCAGTGCTCACACTCCAAACTGACAGATGGCCATTACATACCGTACTTTTACAAAAAAAAAAAAAAAAAAAAAAAAAGTCTGCTATCATTTTCATGATGCCCAGGGGTGTTTTGGCTCACCAGCAGCACATGAGATATGGATTGTAAGATTTAAAAAATAATAAATACAAAAATGCTCAGACATGCCCCTCTGTCTGACTCCTTACAAATTTTCTTGCAACATGCTATTTTCAACGATCCACTTACAAACCACCCTTTGCCCACCAGGCCTTCAGTGGCAAATGTTTGTGATCACTCTGAGATTGGAAGCCATTGTGTAGTGGAGAACCTCTTGACCACTTCTGCTCATCAGGTTTGTGGATTCATCACTCATTCCTGTAGACTACAAGGCTTTCACTGGTCCTTCTGTCTAGAGAAAGGGAAAGTGTAAATTGGCTAACACTTTAAAAAATAAAACCATCATCTTTTTTAATGATGGTTGTCAATAAAAAGAAAAAATTAAACAAAACAAGACATCATGGCAAAACTAAATATCCATCCTGGTTATTGTGACTGTAGAGTTATTGTACATTTAACACTCTCCACCCCAGTGCCCTGTCATCTGTTTTAGAAATCGCTTATCATTTCTTTACATTTGTCCCATCCAAGACAGCAAGACGAAAAAAAAAAAAAAAAAAAAAAACGTAAGATAAAAGCTTTATTGGTCTTATTTAAATGAAATTTAAAAACAGTAAATGTACAAACAATGCACTAACAAATGGTAATGCTGTTAGTTTGTTAAAAATCCACAAGGGTGTAAACAACTTACTGTAACTCATTTACTTCAAATGAATACAAAGGCAATGCTGAATAATTTCTGCTGGTGACAATTCCTGTAGAAGCATAAAACTTATAATATTAGATCAAATCTAATTTTATGAAAAAGAAGGAAAAATGTTTCCGTATTTTCTTTCATACCTGTTACGTATGTTACCAAAAATGTCCAACAAGCAAGCACCGAATTGTCTTTTAATTCTTACAGAACTAATGTAAATGCAAGCTCTTCCCTGGCTATGAATGAGTCATGCCCCTAAATCACGGTTGCATTTTACTGTAACATAATAAATTTATGTTTTGGGTACACAACAATGAAAACACTGACCCAGAGAAGAACATTTCAATTTGTTATGATGAAAACAGTAAAGCCGGTCACATTAAGACATTTACAAAGGCCAAAACGATAAGTGAGGGAAGATAAACTAAACACTTTGAAGAGGAAACACATCTTGATAGGCAGCAATAATTAAACAGCAGTCCTCCGTGCCCTTTCTTTTACATTTTTCAGTCAGGATGAAATAGATTGAAGTGAGACCATGCTGTTGCTGGTGATGTAGCATCTGTGTGAACTAAGGCTCCTCTCACTCTCAACAGAGAGTGAATGTTTTAGGAAGAAAAGATGGAAGAAGAGGTCCGCTGTGCAGGATGTGCTGGAAAAGTCAGTGTCTTTGTGAATTACATCTCCATAACTGAGCCTCCCCGCCCCCCCACTGACAGTCTCAAATGGGCTCTGACAGCACACTGCAGACATTGACAGAGAGAGTGATGCCAACAGTCTTAATTGCAGTTTGATGACTCTGGGTGGCTCAAAGTCAACACATCACCCACAGTCAGCCACAGGTGGAACAGTTCCCTGGGCTTTATCATTGTGTAAATACAGCAGTAATCTACATAAACACTGACCGCGCTGCAGTTAATCTCATTTGAAAGGTTTATTCACTTGTTACGTGGTCCTCTGCTAGTAAATTGACTGTGAATGATGTTCTGTGTAGATCTAACTGAGATAACGAGAGAAGTATGGAGCTTTGAGTCTGTGACAGAATGCAGCGCACAAGTTTTTTTCACAACAGGTGACATCCGGGGTAATTCCAACTTTCCATTAGTTATGATTTACGTTGAGTGTCAGTCATAACTCAGTGCAAACTGCCTCCAGAGTGGCAAATCACTTTCAGTGTATGATGCTGCATGGACAGAACAGTTCAAGAAACGAGATATAACAATATTTATACTCAATTGGGATTTTTTTTCTTTTGTTTTTTTTGAATGATGGGAATCAAAATAAAGGTGGAAAAAGTAAAATAGTTGAAAGATTATTGTCTTTACAAAAATATGTAATGGTTTCAAATTGACGTATAATGTTCTTTTTTGGAGCAACAAAAGAATGAACAGGCTGGGAATGCAAATAACATTGACAACCAACTTACAAATGTATTGTTTAGCAACACACGTTAATAACATAAACTTACATAACAGCAAGACGAAGAGCCTACTTAAGTGAGTTTAACCATGTACTTAGGATAGGGTATATATATATATATATATATATATATATATATATATATAATATATATATATATATATATATATATATTATTTTTATTTTTTTAAATAATCAAAAACATTAATAAATAAGAGATGAAAAAATCAAGGTCAAAGTAACACCCACTTTTAGGCTTTCATGCAGTGAGTAGCTTTAAGAGTCAGTATGTTTTCAAAGAACAGTTAAAAACATTAGTATTCACAGATTTAATATTTGATATAAAGTTAATTTACAATAACAAATAGGACTTACATTCTTAATCACTACATCAACCACCTACAACTAAGTTGTGAAGTTGTATTTTGATTATAACACATGTGGTTGTTAAAGCTCTTCAGAATTCAATTAAATGTTATAGTCAGAGTTACTGCTAGTCCCTCCTCCTCGGCTGAAATATTAATAAGACAGTCCATCTGTTCATATAAGCCAGCAGTCCACTGACTTAATAACAGCTCCTAATTTGGATGAGGAAACAGTCACTATATCTCATTAAAAGAGTGGTGCAGTATTACTGTGGTTGTCATAGTAAGAAGTCGAAGGAGTGGGGGAAGCGAAACTCGAAGCTCTATGGTATCATCTGTCTAGGAACTGCAAAGGAGTGAGTAAATACACGTCTTCCTCGCGCTCTCCTCAGATCTCTAAACATATGCTCCAGAATGTCTCCAGAGTATCTGAAACTATCCCTGTAAATATTCACACATGTAAAACAAAGCGGCAATGTTTGTTGATCTACCTGGTGCTTAAGCTAAAGTATGATTGGAAATCACAGAATAGCTGGCATTGGCTGGTTACTGGTATCAGGAAACATGATGGTTTTGCAAATTAGGGTTTCTAAACTATTATAATATATGTTATGCTGTACAGTTTCCATGTTTAAAGCACTTCTGTTAAGATGCTGAAGAAAACAAGAGTGACCAGAGTAGCACATTGCTGCCTCTCGGCCTTTTGTTGCTGCACACTGCCGGAGTATATTAAAATAAAAATAACAATACAAAATAATACACAATTGTCAAGGTGTCTAAGCTAAAGGAGCATTCAGCTTCTCTGCAACAAAAATCTGGAACAAACTTCCAGAAAACTGCAAAACAGGTGAATCGCTGAGTTCTTTTACGTCAAGACTAAAAACCTCACCTGTTTATAATTGTTATTGAGCCATAATAAATGAACCACGGACCAACTTATTTGATGTGCATCAATAATTTTGGTGATGGCACTCAATAAAATGTAATGTCTGTTTCTGGTTTTCTCAATTGTTTACTGTTAAGTTGCTGAAGTTTGTATGACTTTGTATTTTTTGTGTTTTTATGACAAAGCATTTTGAACTGCATTGTTGTTGAAATGTGTGAAATTGACAAAATAAGGGTAACTACACTTACATGTTGAATTCTTTTTTACATATTAGTGTAGTTTCAGTGAAATTGCTAAGCTGTGGAATAACAATTTTTGTTGTTGTTGTTGTTTTTTTCCCTGTTAGAAAATCGTATGCCAGTTTATGCTTACAGAATTGTTTTAGTGGAAGAAAGGATTTAGTTTCTCTGCTGTACTTGATTGCTTGATTTCCATATTTACTCATACCTGAGATGAAAACGTTGATTGAAAATAATCATTTGTGGCTTGTGATTTTTTTTTTGTGACAAAGTGTTTCTAGAAGAAATTCAATTCTGTGAGGTGAAATGTTCACATTCTCCTGGGTTTATGTTGCTCAAAATATAGATTCCAGCCTCATAAGTGTTCATTACCACCTGGACCACGGTTCAAGTCCATGTGTCTCACTCTGAGTTTTTCTTTCAGTTTTCTCAACATAACTGAGAAAAGGAAATCCAATCAAAAAGCTCGAAGGACGCTGCACCGGCTGTGTTAAAGTGCCATCTGTTGGCAGACAAAGAAATGATTTCCTAGGAAAACAGACACATACCGCAGTGCAACAGGAGCTTAAAAATGTTCATTATCTTGCAAGATTCATGTAACACCACAACTTCATGAAGCCATATGTGTAAAATGGGTTTCTTTTTTACTCCACCATGGTGGGATTATGAGATGACACAGGACTGTATGTTTTTCTGATTACTTATTTATAGCAACTGTCCATGCCTTAGCGTCAGTCTTGAATATGTCTGTCTTTTTACCCCGCTTTTGCTGTCAGTCACTGTCAGCGCTGTGCTCTGTTCACATGCAGAGGGAGAAGGGGGAGTGTGGCGTCCCTGGGGAAAAGGGAGAGAGAGGAGATCCCGTACGTATTTTCCTGCCGTGACATTTACAATGCTGCCGTGTTACAGAGTCATTAACCGAGGCCTCCTCCCACAGGGTCAGCCAGGTGCTGAGGGGACTGGCGGTGCGAAAGGACAAAAAGTAAGTCACATCAATGTCAAATGTCAAGCATGATGAGTCCCTCTGTTTATGCTCCCTCAAACTCACTGTGCTTGGGTGCAGAAAGGGTGTAGGCAAGTTCAAGCAGATTTACTGACACCTTAATTCAGTCTCCTTTGTGCTCGTTATATTCTTGGACTCTGAATACCTTTCAAAGGTCTTTGAAATTGTATTGCATCAAAATAATGAATCTGCAGGTGTGCATTACTTGTTTGTCTCTTGTGCTCCTGTAAGCATGTTTCAAGTGATTTACTTACTACTGACAGATTGTGTCTAATCTCTAGGTGTGTGTCATTGGGTGGCTCGCTTTGTTCCTGTTTATCAGTGTACAACTTGTGTTTTGCATTAGAAACTGACAACCGTTTTAAAAACAGAAACAAACTACTTAACCTTGCTTTGTTTTTTTGCAGTTTGTTTTTAATGTATTAAAGCATCTAATTTTTTTTTTTTTCATATTTTAAGGAAGACTTGAACGCAGAAAGTTGGCTGAGGAAGTCTAATTCTTTAACTTTACTGCATTTTGTCACATTTAAACTCCTAACTCCAATGCACTGTTTTGGAATTTAAGGATTTATGTGATAGATCATGACAAAACAGTGCATAATTGAAATTCAAGGAAAATATATTGTGCATTTTTTTTATTTTTGGCTCTTTATTTTAATATGCCAAAAATAACCTTGCTGCCTTTGGAATTCATCTAAAGATTAAATATAAATCATGATAAATCATTATGTAATTTATAGTGTAAAAACTGTGTGGGAGAACACATCAATCTGCAAACACTAACCCCACCATAGTGGTGACATCAGCATGCTGTAGGTTGGCTTTTCCTCAGCATGGACAGGAAAGTTAAGGGGATGATTGATGAGACTAACTATAGGGATTTTTTTAGAGGTAAATCTGAGAAACTTGAGAAATGATTTATAGAGAATTGGATGGAAATTCACATTCCTAATGGAACAACCACCCCAAAGTATATGCCACAATTAAAATGCTTCCATAAAACTCCAATGGATAAATCCAATTCTGATATTGTCAGGACTCTGGGTTTTTGGGTTGGTTTTGCTTCTCATTTTATTTGGTTTCATGTTTTAGTTCACTTTAGTTTAGCTCTTCATGGTTCTTTTGATATATCATTATTTGAGTGTAATTAGAATTGTCGTATTGCTTTCCTTATTTTCAGTCCTTTATAGTGTTTCTAGTTGGATTTATTCCTCAGTTTCCTTAGGTTATGCCCTTATTTGTCTGAGTCCATGTCAAGCCTTTTTCAATTCTATTTGATCCTTTTCACTATTTCTTATTTCAGCCTTTCTGCAGTATTTGTAGCAATGTTTATTTCTTCATTTCATCAACCTAGGTTCAGTTTTCTTCCATGTCCGGGAGTCATACACACACATATTAGTCTTTCTTTAGCAATTCTAGTTAGGTTATTTCTTTGTTCAGATCTTCTAGTTTCTATAGCTCAAAGGAAGAGAAATTAGGTTTCAAGTTTTGATCAGACCCTCAGCCGAATCCTGTCAATAGTTAATTTCTTGGTTTCATGTCAAGCTAAAAATGAAAGTTGCCTGAACCACTAAAAAGGCAAAAACGAGTTGTGATACCATGAATTTCAAACCCGACCACTGACCATAGTCTGCTGAATTTGTACAAATTTTCTTCTGTCCTCAAAGCTGACTTTTCTCTGTCGTGTTAGTCCTAAGCTGCTATTTCACTGTCTTTCACCATTGCTTTTGATTACCAGCATTTAACTTGAATATATCACCCACAACCACTCTGTCTTGTGGCATTAAAGAGGTTATGTATATTTCACAGTTTCTTTAAAAGCAAGCTGTGAATAGTTCTGCTGGTGGTGCAAAGACTAAAAAAAAAGATTTATGTAGATTGGCACTCGAGGAATGAAAAAGAAACTTGCTGTTTTTCGTCCTCTCTTTTAAATGATTTACATTCTAAGCAGTCTAGTACACAGTCTCAATCAAAGAAATAATGACAGGCTCCTGAAGCAATACTTCATTATTAAATAATTGACTGGTTTACTGAATTTACATATATTGGCATGTCTTATATCTTCACAATGAAGAGGATTTAGAGACTTCAAAAGTCCCCATTTGTGATCAAAATTCAAACAGCAGTTTGAATACTTCGTATACCACGGCATGTGCTCCCCGCATGCTTGTTAATTGTTCAGTATGGCACAGAGTACAAATGTGGTGCTTTCTAGTTTTGTTGGAGGGAGAACATTGCCGAGATGTAAATTATGAATTTGGAGGCTCCCTCCAGCAAGTGTCACAATTAAGAACTCTTTAAGGTTCCCTGGAGCTCCCCGTAAATCCATTGCAAAAAACAACATGAGCTAAGAACTGTAACCTTTCTTACAAGATTCTAAAAAAAAATTACACGAACTCCAAAACACTGGTTAATAAATCAAGAAAGGGTTTAGGGATATAAAAGGGAAATCTCTTGTGTTGTTTCAAAAGATCTGCAATGCAGAGCTACACACGTTTGTTTTTTTCTCATTTTATTGTTTGTGATGCTTGCAGTAAGTAACAGGCAATTTCTTTCTTATCAGGGCGATGTTGGTCCTCCTGGTCCTCCTGGTTCTGTAAGTACAATTTTGGGATCAAACTCCACAACAGTTTTTTTTTTTTTTTCCTATTTTACTTTTATTGTAAGAGTGATACATTGCCTAACCTTACACCAGCGTGAGAACATTCCAAAACATCTCTGCATCAGCGAGTGTTGACCTGATACCATCTCGAGACAAAGCAGAAGGAATCAACAGACAGAACAGTGTTTACTTCTGCTGTCACACCCCCAACATGCTACCATCTGACTGTGTAAACAATTTCCTCTCTCTTGAAGATGCAGTGGACTTACTCTGTCTGAAGTTTTGTTTTGATTAGATTTGTGTGCTGTGTATGAACAGCAGAAAAGAGTTCGTAAGAGCTTAAGATATGGAAAACCTTTTCTTTTTATGGCAGATGAGCTTTTTTGTGTTCAATTTAACTGAGAAAAAGCTTTTTTTGTTACTTTTTAGTAATTATTTTCTCATTTCCAGCAAGTACCCTGTGAAATATCTTTGCTGATTGCAGAGAATAGTTGAAGAAGAAAAAAAGAAGATACTCTGGCTCCAGATGATGGCTTAATCTCCTTCGTGATACTCGAAAGGCTTCATAGTGAGAATAAATTAGGGTCACTGGGCACGGATTGTTTTTTATGTTAATAATTGTAAATTATAGAAAATTATGTGGTTTGAGTAAGTGGAGCTTTTAGTTAAAGAAGTAGGGACATTTTTAGAAGAAACTTATGTCAACGTGAAGCTCTGGCAAAGTACTAAAGGAGACACAAAGTGGCTGAATAGTAGAACTATTGTGTTAGATATTTAAAAGTAAAAGAAAAATATCGTGGGAGGAAACAATTAGGACATGTAAGGTAGCAATAATATCACAAAAAAACAGTTAAAAATGCTTTAAATGGTCAAATATAAACATGTTCTTGAAGCCTTTCTTTCTCAAAGTGAGGGCTTTGGCATTTTGATGACTGTCTGCCGCTGGTTTTTGTTCTGAAGAACAGCTGTATATTGAACCCACGGAAGGCCTTGGACAAGAGCTTGGAAACAAAGTTTGATCGCTCTCATTCATATTCTCATTTTCCCTGCTTGTTAACGAGCAATTCATATGGAAATGAGACATGTTAATTATAGATCGAAGAAATATCGCTTGCTCTCTTTTGGTTTCACTGGTTTCGATCTTACCAAAGAAAAGGCAGTTCATTTAATGAGAGAGAGGGCTTGAATAAAGCACCAGGGGTTCAGTTAGTAGTTTTTGCCTGACTATAAATGAAAGGGTTGAGCATATGAACATTGTTGTTTAGTGAGGTGTTTGCCTCTATAGATGTGCAGTGGAGAGGGAGGCATTAGTCACTTGATAAATGAGTCTGTTTGAATATTTTAGTATACTGGTCTCTGTCTGTGCTCTGCTCCTTCCCACGGCAGATAATTTTGGCAGTTACACATTGATTTCCCTTACGCAGCAGAAGCAAGGGTTCACATCATTACCCTCCCTTCATAAAATTTCCGTGCCTCTGTTTATTAGTGACAAGGAGGGGAAGTCGACTCACAGGCATGCTCTGCCATCACATCAAGCTATGCCCTTTAAGGGAGAAAACAGTCCTCTTTTTATTGCCCCACCTCTGAACACTGGTGTTTTATAATCTGTGAACCCAAATCTGTTATGCCAATTTATGTTAAAAGGAAATGGTCCTTTGCAGAACAGCCCTGTTCTTACGGGAAAGCTTTTGAAGAAATTTTGTCAAATACTAATGGCAATCAGGCTTTGTTACATATCTGAGGACAAAGCAGGGTCTTTGTTTTCTAACAGCAGGTAAAGACTGACTGATTATGCCACCAGGAATCAGCACTTGCCTGGAATGCTGCTGCTAAAGAGAGCCATTTATGTCAAGTTCATAGAGCTTGTAATCAGAGAAATGATCAGATAGGGCTCAAAGGCACACTTAAATCAGGAAAACTGGAACCATACAGATGGAAAATAAAGTGTCTTAAAAAAGACAATAAAAGTTTCACAAAATTTACATCTAATAAAAGCAGCAAGATGTCACCAACATATGCTAGATATGGATCAATGTATATTCTACAATCTATGCTATCTTGCAAAGTCTGAAGTAGCCATACTTGCACAGAGTGAAGGTACATATGGCTATCAATGGTAATATTGTGCCATTAATTGCAACAATGACATTTTTTTGACAAATTGTTTGGATTGTTCAGGTGTAAAATAATCAAGGTTTGTAATAATAATAATAAAACAAGCTAATGGTCTAATTATACATGTTATATTTTCTAATTAAACTCTGAATCAGTGAGTTAGCTCCAGAGAGTCGTTTCCCATGTTTATGTAGACATGCTTATTGTTTATTGGCAGTAACAACCAGATTTTTGAAGACCCTTTCCAGAACATTGTGTCTTTTATTACTTGTAGGTGATGACAGCTCATGGGTTAAGACAGCTCTCTGGAACTGTAAGCAAACGTGTATACAATACATATTTTGTGTGTTTGCCTACGCCTTCTGATTGTCTCATATTCTCTGTTGAAGCTGCACCAAAGACATTACTCAGTTATATTTTTGATGAGGTGTGTTTTTTCTTGTTTTTCAAGGATGAAAGAGCCCAGAAGGGTGAGAAGGGAGATGAGGTAACTATTCTCCCTCGTTATTGCTTGCAGAAAAAGCTGCACTGTGATTCAACTATGATTTTCAAGCACTGCATTCTACACCACAGCATGAATAATACTTTACATTCCTTATGTAATGTCAACAAAAGTGTCATTGACATTTGATTGTGAAATAACAATTGTTCACCTGCTGCTCAGATGGAAGATTTTATTGCACCCTTGTGCTCAATCGACAGCACACAGTAAATTGGAGAAGAAAGCGGCTTGGAGTTATTGTTTGGATCCAAGAATTGTAGATGCATCCACTTCAGGCCAGCAAATTATAAAAGCCTCTGATGCAGCTTTTGACCAGACATCAAAAGGCATCTCCATATAATCCACATCATAAATATTTAGGCAGTAGTTCATTTTTTATCTTCAGGGATTTTATGTGTGACCGCATTCTGACATAAACAATATTAAAGGGCCCCATCTGAACTTCAACTGGAGTAGGTTTATATAAGTGTTGTGTTTGATAGGGAATTATTACTAAAGTACAGAAAATAGCATGTGTGGTTCAGAGCTGATAGAAAGTTAGGAATCAAGAGTTACCTGGTGTGATAGAGAAAATAATATAGAGGTTGCTGAAGTGAGAAGCAAGATCAAATGTAACACACAAGAAAATTGAGAAATAAAAGTTTAAAGAAAACACAAATTAACCTCACTGCCAGTAATAAATGTTTTTCATAGAAGAGGTTCACAAAAGGAAAATAAAGAACACACACCAGCTTCTTTTTTGATCAAATAGCTGCAGAGGTGTCAAATGCATTTGTCTCACCTTGAAAACGAAGGCAGACAAAGGGAAGAGTCGAGCTCACAGATTGATGCACATGCATAAAAAAGAACACTAAATGATTTCTTGAAAACTGGGGGAATAACAATTTCTTTGTAAAGTTTAGACCTCAAAGCCCTAAACCTAATACGCAGGTAGCACAAAACCATACCGTTTCTATCAGTGGTCAAAAGACAGACACACAGAGAGGCAAACATAACAAATAGGTGTTAAAGAAAAAGGGCAGAAGAACAGAGAGTTCAGATGATCAAGGCCACACAGGAATGCCATGAAGCAACAGAAAAGAAAAAGCAGGGCATAGCAAACATTTTTATAGAACAGAAAAAATGGTAGCAGTCCAGAGGTGAACAAAGCTAAACAGATGTGGTTGGGGAATAAAGAACAAGACCTTTTTCATACTGATCTGCTGCAAAAATAAAGCCACTCACTTAACATGCTGTTGGTGTAATTCCTGTGAAACAGAATTACACGAGAATTACAGCAGAAATTTGTTTGCTAAGCCCAAACAGCAAAAGCATAACACTTTTAGACTTAAGAGTTGGAACTTTGATTTAGTCAAATTATTACTTTCTTTAGGATGTATTCTGATATTGCAAATACAATCAGATTGAAGGTGTTGTGACGAGTCATTTCATTTACTTTAATACCAACTAAATTTGTAAATCGTAATGTATCAAAACTGTGTATTTACAACACAGTACTTCTTTTTAAATTAAAACACAAAAATTAAGAAAATTTCTGTTCAGTCGTGTTTTTCTTCTTCTAGAAATAATGCCAGTGATTCACACACTTCAAAGTCTGATCATTTTGTCTTAAATAATGCTTCGTTTTTAAAGAAACTATTCCTTTGGTTAATGCAACAGTGTCGGTGACATCTGTTACATGAAAAACTGGACAAATTCTCTCTTCTAATACCAAACAGCTTTTGATGGAAGCAGTTTGTCCTCCCAAGTAAAACAAGATTTGAGTCAAGGCTATCCAAATTCAGAGAAGATTCTGCAACCAGTAGCAATCCCATTTCACTACCGGTTAGGCCTTTTTGCGCTGCTGGCCCCAGCCTGGCCCGGCCCCCTCCAGCTGGTACCCCCACGCTGGTTGTTTTTGCTTGGAGCAGATTGCCGCCTCAAAAGTGGGCATCATATCAATTAAATTGTTGTTGAAGTTAGGCCATCCTCTCAGGAAGGAACACTTTGGTTCCTTGTTGCCATATTATCATTTAAAAACTTGCAGGTTGAAATTGATTATAACTTGAATTTTTTGATGCCAGTTAACAGACATCAAGAAAGCCCAAAACACTCCTGAGAGATCCGTCCCCACAGCCAATGCACCAACAGCTGACTTCAAACCAACCCAGACTAATCAACACAATCACATTGAAAAGTCTTTGTGTAATAATTCTCCAGCATATTACTTCTTTCTTCAGACTTCATGACAGTGAAAAAAAGTCAGTGACAAAATAGCACGTTTAGTGCTGGCAGAGAGGATTTGGTTGCATTTAAAGTATTAACACTCCTGGGATGACGTGTTAACAAACAAATTGGTTTTACCAAAATCACTATAGAGCATTTGTTGCTACTAAAATATTTTTAAGCTGATGAAACATTGCAGAAACATCTAATTGGTAATGGACATGATTTTATTACCCCAGGGTATAAACATGAGCTGACACAGAGGCCCATTTCTTTCTGATGCTGGCCAGGAGGCAGAGGAAGAAGCCATGTTTTTATTTTGCCTTCATTCACAATGAGCAGGATGGAAAAACAAGTACAACGGTGTTCAAAGCTCACTATTAGGGGACTGCAGGAAAAAAGGGAGGTGGTTTTGAGATTATTTTGTCTCCATGACAACAATTAGATTATCAACATGCCACCTGGTTGGTGGAGGAAAAAAAAAAAAAAACATTTTCTGTCCTGCAGTCCCAAAGACGTCCATGTGTTTTCTAAATATGCATGGACCTCAATGAGAATAATTTGTTTTGGTCAGATAAGATAAAGTTTGAGCTTTTTTGCATGTAAAATAAAAACTATTTTATATATAAATCTGATTGGTCTTGATTAAAAGCATATGGTGAAAGCTGGGTTGGTATGTGGTCTTGAAACAGGATATGACATAAGACACATTCTCTGAGGCTATGAAACAGTCTCAGAAATAGTTCACCAGAGATAACATCTACCTTTTTTGGTAGATGTTATCTTTCCGTCCCCAGAATTAAATCCAATAGAAAACTTGTGTGAGAGATAAAACAGATGGGAGCAGCAGAAGGATCCAGGACTCAGGATTGTGCAAATCTCCCAAAGATGAGAGTTCTCATCTACTCAAGATGAGAACTTGTGAAGATGAGCTTTCCGTATCTCATCTTCACTGGGGGTGAACATAGATGAGCTTTCTCCTGAAGGGTGACAATACACTATGCTGTATGTCTTTTACACACTGTATAGGGTGCAAAAGACAGAAGATGTTCTGCAGTATGGTGAACATTTGTTTGTTTATTTAAAATGAGGTTAAAGGTTATAAAGCAAGAAAAATAAACTACTTTTGATTTCATTCACACTCCACAGAGATTTCACTCTTTTTTTCTTGCAACTAATAACTGTAACACAAAAACTTTCTTCTTGAAAGTCCTCATGGAGTCTTCTTAAAGCTCACCATAATCAGGAAGACGAATGTGGTGCTTCACTTTGTTGTTTGTGACTGTGCTGACAAAGGATGCCCTCCTGTTTCGTCTGCAGGGCGAAAAAGGAGCTCAAGGACTGTCGGGCCTAAAGGTGACTTATTGAGGACTTCGCTCTGGCACTAAATTCTGAACATCAATATCCACTGCCGACAAAATAAGGCTCAAAAGACCTTCATATCTGTAAAGAACCATTGTAGTCTTTCTCAGGGTTTGAGTAACTGTACTAGAAGGTTATAGGACTTTAGGTTTATAGACTGTTAAAAGTCATTTTAACAGTCTATAAACTTGTGTCAAAGGAAGAGAAAACTTCCTTTGAGACAAAGACAAGTCAGATGAGACCATGAGGTATGTTTTTGAGCTGTCATCAGTCGTTTTATTCATTCCCTCTTTTAGCAAAGTTTTTATATGTTTTCCGAAAGGTTTAAGAAATAATGTTTATGTATTCAAAAGGTTCTAATACTTTTTGATTCTAAAAAGAGTCACAAATAAACACATGATTTCTAACAACAAAGCACAAATACCAATATGTTTGTTTTTCTTTTCAAATTTTTCTTTTCCCCTTTTCCCTCTTGTTCCTGCTTTGTGGTGATGTATCAGGGAAGCATGGGACCTCCGGGACTGAAGGGAGATCAAGGATTGGAGGTAAGTCTTGGATCTAAGATCTTTCTGTGACACGCAGATAGTTTTAATTTTCATTTTTTATGTGAATAATTGTTACATTTCTTTGAGGAGTGGTTTTGTCTGGGGAAATTGTCTTCGTGAAAGCAATACCTTGCAAAAACATTTCAACAACACATGAATCTTGGGAAATGTCATCTTAAAACCGACAACCTCAAGTCGTTTGGGATTTCATATGACAGATCACATAGGACGGTGTTTAAATCCAGCTGGTTTCTAAAGGATTCAAGGGTTTGATAGAGAACATTAGTTGACAAACAGTATCATGAAAATCAAGGAACACATACCATTCAAGTTCTAGCAGTTTAAAGCTGTGTTTGTATACAGAACAATATGCAAAGCTTTTGGATACTGCAGGGAACTCTAAATATAAAAAGAGTCTGGCTCAGTTGCACGCCTACTGAGATATGGTCATAATTTATGAAAATGACAAGAAGAAAGCCATCTCAGAAAAAAAAGTCATAAGAAGTCCATCTTGGACTTTGCTGGAAGCCTTGGAGAAGAATATGTTTCTTCCACACAGTGGAACACACCTTCTACTATGTGGAAGAAGGTGTGTAATAATGACCCAATCCAAGTCTAGAACTTAACCTAACAGCAAATTTGTAAACTTTTGTTCACAGACTCTCCTAATCTGCCAATGAGGACTGGAGTTTGTTTCAGTTCTTATTGCAGCACAAGTTAATTCTGCTGTATTTTAAGGGGGTTGAATACAAATGCACACCTCTCTTTTCAAACTATTAGTTAATTTTTTTTTAAAGTGAAAACTTTCCAAAAATGCTAAGTTGAATTCTAGAGGTTACATCAAACGTGCTTAATGCTACTCAATACTGTGACTCTATTTATCTCTAATTTGTTAAAAAATACATGGTTTTAGACTGTGGCAGGAAACCAGAATAGCCAGAGGAAATCCAAGAATGCGTCTCACAGCAGTGGGAAAACAAGCAAGTTACACATAGAATTCACTTGTCTGGATTTGAACCTCTCATTAGTTTTGCAAATTCCACATGGGAAAGATTTGTCACATCATACCTTGCGAAACGATCTTTAACATTAAATAAAACACACAAATTCCGACTTGCCAGACCAACAATGTAATTCTTCTGATTAGAGATTTTCTCAACTAAGCTGGGCCAGATAGTATATAGTTAAATGCAAAAGATAGCCTGAAGTGTTGTTTTTCTCTTTATACTTTACCAGGGAAAACAAGGTCTACCTGGATCCATTGGGCTCCCTGGACTCCCAGGCGATTCTGTAAGTAGTCTGGCACTAAACAGCAGCACTTAATGTCAAGCTTTTCTTTTCCCCCAGTGCTTTATCTGTCACCTTGCCATATCCTTTACTCTACTAACTCATCCTGTCAAGGCAAGAGAGATATACAGATCAACCTGAACAGGCAGAGATTAAGAACAGGTCAGGAGAAAAAGTCCAGATTAGTATTGTTTTATTTTTTTTATTTTTTTACGATCAGTAATCAAATTTAAGAATTAAGTAGTGGAAAGAGGCAAATCTTAGCACTTTATGCCAATGACGGAGGCAGCAGCCCAATCTGTTCTCTGCACCTGCTTCGGTAATGAGCATCTGTCTTTATTCAAAACCAGGGAGGGAAAGAGGCATTTCATAAATCCTGGCCAGGGGAAGTTTTGTTGGAGCACAGCTGCCCGCTGAAGCAGTGAGGAGGAGGAGATAAATGTGTGTGGGGAGATGAAGGCCTGGTGATAGATGTGTCTCTTTTTACCACTATTTACAGGGCTTACCAGGGGAGCCTGGGGTGCCTGGGAGAGATGGCCTGAAAGGAGAAAAGGTAGGTAAACATCAAATCAAGCTTTCACCTCAAAGACAAATATAAACCAAAGATCTTTTATCACAACTTGAACATGTTAGACAACTTGTGCAGACACATTTCAGATTGCTCATCCTGCACACTAGTCTCAATTACATTGTGGCTTTATGTTCTCATGCTGGATTTCTTTCAGCGGAAGAGCTGAAAGCAGCAAAGTAGGAAAGTGGAAAACTGTGTAGTTTAAATTTAACCTCAAAAGGTGTACTTGAGGTTTCCTGTCCACTGGAGTCACTTTGGTATACTTAAGGGTGAAATAAACCAAAATCGCTTGTGGGTGTACTTTTGGACAGTATAGTTTAGCATTTGCATTCACTTTACTTATCAAATAGGTTACAAGTGATAGCCTATTGAATTTGATTTTTGACTTTCTTTTTTTAAATATTTGAGATTTGGTTAAAGCTGCAAAACACTGAATTCATATTAGTTTGACATTTGTCTCCAATCAAATATTTTTTTAACCTAAATTTGGTCCACAAAGAAAGAAGACGAAGTCAGTTGAGAACTCAGACATTAGCGGCATTGGACAGCTCTGAACTGAGAGCTGTTTTTATTACTAAAACAATTTAAAGCAGATGACAGGTGGCTCCTTTGTGGTGCCCACAAATCTGGACATGCAATGATCAACAGTAAAAGTACACAATGGTAAACCACAAAGACGAAAACTAAATAAAGATAAGCTCTTTTCTGATCAACCTTTCATTCCACTTTGCTTGTATTAATTAACTGTGTGAGGATACCAACATGGAGCTCACTACTGTCTGATGCAAAGCTCAGGTGAATGCTGCATACATTCGGTTCCACAGTCTAAGCTGCATGTCAAAAAAATATATAAATAATCTCAGTGGATCAATTTGTATGGCGTAAATGACCAGCTGATCTGTAATTGCAGAACTATAATCTGACCGCAGCCAAATTATAAATCCAAAGCACTTCAAAAACAGCAAGGTCAACATTTGAGAAAACTCACTTCATGAAACACTGATGACATTTTTTACTATGTGTTGTTGCATTTTCTGTTTTGATGTCAAGTTAGTTTTTTATAGTTACCACATGTTTGATTTACCAAATAACGCAATCCAATTCTTTTCTTTGTTATGGTGTTTTAGGAATAAGTGAAATATTTCTTGTCCTTTTTTTGCAGTATCTTTGAAAACCTTATTTTTTTAATTTGCTTTTTTTATATACATCTGTTTAGTGACATATCAGACTGATCAGAAGCATTAAGCTGTATTAAAAATCAGCAAAGATTGTATGTGTACAAAATGAAACCTAAAATCATAGAAAAAATGGTTATGTGTAGAAAACGATTTCAACTTCTGTTTAAGCCTGCATATGCAGGTCAAGTATGTGTGTGTTTTCCATTTCACTGAGTAGATGACAACCCATTTGCCACTTTGTTTATTAACTAGCATCTGGTTCCCTGCCCACAGGGAGACTCTGGTGGCGTGATTGGGCCACAGGGGCCTCCTGGTCCTAAGGGGGAGCCTGGAGAGCCTGGTGGTGGATATATGGTGGGTGTTATGCAATCGACATACAAATTAGGCCAATATACATTGATTTAGTTGAGTTGTTAAACAGTGTATATGTCCACTTTAAACCGTTTTTAAATATAATTAATACATATATGAGATCTGATTTTGCATACATTAGTTTGTAAAATCAGAATTTTATTATCTTGTAAATTGTCTGAGCCTCTGTTAATGTACAGAGTGATGGGCTGCCATTCCTGGACATATGGGGACAGAGAGTTGCACAGTGGTAGAAATCTTTGTTCTGGAATCATGTTCTGCCACCAATGAGTGCACTTGCTGTCCCAGCATTCCTGTTGGACGGTTTACCACTCCGTGATATTAGAGAGATGCAAGGCCATTAAGCAATCCATTTCTGGATGTTTCCAACCCGTGTAATGACCTATCCTTCCATTTTGGGGCTAATAGCTGTTTAAGCACTTTCCTTTATGGAAACAGCTTCACACTCACAGAAGTGCCCGGGTGGTGCTCAATAGCACTCGCACTCCTTAATCACAGGCAATGCTCTTTAAACAATCATGTTTGTTTGTCTGTAGAAATGTGAGTCTCAGCAATAAGCCCCATGGTAAGCAGTGCAATAACAGGGAGAAGGCAGAAATATATAAACCTCTTGAAAAATGCAGCAGCCTTCAAAATTTTCTACATGCATTCTTTGAAAGATTTGTGTTTATGGTGATTTATTGACCCTCCGTGTAAAGAGAAATAGCTTTCATTTATAGCAGGCTCAGTCTTATAGAGGTCATTTCTATGAGAAGCACATTTATAACATTTCTCGACCAAAAATAAATATAGAAGAATTTAGGCCTTTTTAATGTGTACTGTTAGTAACTTAATTTGTTTTGCCTGCAAATAAATTACAATTAACTTCTCATTGTTTGCTTTTTGTGCTGTTATTATCTCAAATTAGCAATCACTCTGTTGTCTCAAACAATGACAAATGTTTTATTTGTTTCACTAAAGTGCAGATGCATTAAATTTATTAAAAGTTTCTCTTTTACAAAAAAGCAGTCATTAAACTGTACTTTTCTCAGAAAAATGCTCTATTTCCCCACCTTTTATTTCAAGTTTAAGACTACACCACACCCCACCCTATTCAATACTGTAGAATTGCTGTGTTAGTCCAAATCCAACTTCGGCAGAACTAATTTACATTGTGCAATGTAGGGCTTGTAACACTAATACATGCTGACCAAAGAAATCAATGTCTCATCTGGATGGCACAGTAAATAATGCTTACACGAGCCTCGGTTCCAATCAACGTTTTGTTCTCCGTGTTGTAGCATTATCGCTGTGCCTCTTCACATTGAAAGTAATAAAACAGCACCGAACATGAACTCATAATGCATTCCTGCATTCAGGTCGCTGTCGTTTGTAGAGGTTGTACAAGTTCAAGAATCCAGTTTTAATTAAAGCTCTATAATTTACACTAAGAGAGGAGAGCGGCTGCTCAGTTGACAACAAGATTTGCAGACGGAGGTCCAGGTCTGACGCGTTCTTCCTGTTGTTTTTTCAGAGTGATGGGCTGCCTCTGAGCAGAGGATCTCGTGGGCCAAAGGTAAGAGCCAAAGAGAACATAATCTGTTTTTTTGTTTGTTGTTTTTCAAAACATGAGCAAGCTACAAGTATATGCCTCAAGACAAAATGAATAAGAACCTTCTGACCTTTAACTTCGATCTTAAGAGTTGGAATTTGTTAATGTACAAAAAAAATATCCTGCTCTTTTTTTTATTTTTTACTATTTTCCGATATTAATCATTTGAGAGTAACTGGGTGATGATGATGATTATGGCAATAATGCCAATAAGTTACGAGTTATAATCTCAGCAGTGAACATGTTTATTCTTTCTTCAATATTTGGTCAATAAAAAAGAGAAAAACTCGACTTCAGTGTTTACAAAACCAAATTCCACAACATTAGAACTAGTCAGACATGACTAGATGAAAAACAGTGCTTTAGTTGCATGTGTAAGCAGCCAACACAGTCAATGCAATGTAAAAAAAGGTGAAGCTCATTTCACAGTCAAGTTGTGACAGCTTAAAAAGTACAACCCCCCCATCCCCTCTTGGTTTTAACTGACCTCGGGCTAGAAAGCTACCAATAATCTCTTCTTAGATGACCGGAGGGCACGTATACAAGAGTAAGCCTTTAACCACTTAGACATGAGCTGTAGAGCTTGGCTTAATAAGTTAAAACCAAGAAATAAAAGCAGAATCTTGCTGCTTGGCTGGTCAAAAGGCACATAGGGATTTGGTCTAAATCTCTGTTGAAACTGCTCCATGTATTGCCTCAATGTTGATGGATGTATTTTGGTGTTGAAAACTAATATCTACTTCAAGTTAAAGGAAAATATAAGAGGTCGCTGAAATTAAAGTGTAACAAAAAGAGAGGAAGCTACAATATACTAAATTTTTCACACCATGAAAAACCAAGCTTCAATTAAAAGCAGATTGATCATTTAGAAAAAAGAAATAATTCCAGATTGTTAGATTTGCATAGTCTTACAGAGCATTTTGGATATGAACATAGTTACCATAGATATCTTCTTAAATAAAAAAAAAGTAAGTTTATGGTTTTACAACCTTCAACTCAGTTGAAGGTTGTTTTAGGTGTTCCTCTAACAGCTTTAAAAATCAGGAGAAATTTGCCAAATAGATTAAGTCAAGCAAATTCAATTGGTGCTCTCTGGGACAAGATGAAGTTTTGACATAGATACTCAATAAAATTGAGGTTCTGACTTTGACTATATTCTGACATACAAAAAAGCTTTAATCTAAATCATTTAATTGCCCCTTTGTGATGCTGTTGTATGTTCAGGGTTGCTGCCCTGCTAAAAATTAACCTTCACCCCAGTGTCAGGCCTTTTACAGACACTAAGCAGTTTTGTTTTTCAGAGTTGTATTTAATCTTCTAACACTGTGCTGGTGTTGTGAAGTGAGGTTAATTTCGTTCAGCATAAATGGAAAAACTAGTTAAAGTTGATGTGAAGAGCATATTGCTGTAATTTCTCAGTCCTGGAAATGATACATTTTTATTTTAGATGACGAATTGAACAGTGTCCTTTTGAACCCTTACAAAATACTTTTAAAACCTGATCCTGCTTGAAACCTGTCCAGAACAGCTATATACTGAGCTTAAATTGTACATATCTGGACTCCTATTTACTGCTTATGAGTCATCAGAAGGTAATAAAATGGCATTGATTTAAATGACTTTACTGTACTTGATTTTTCAATAGACCACACAGCTGCTATGAAGGTGATACAGTTTTTAAAGTATTTTTACATTCTGTGTATGATTAATGTGTGTTGGTGAAGTTTTTCCCTTCTGGTGATTCCAAGTTATTACCAGTGTTGTTATTTACATAGACAAAATTGAATTCTCAGTTTGAATATAATGGATAATGCATTGTCTTTCTTCAGATACAAGTGATAAGGCACACTGAGTTTGATAGTTAATTATTATGCAGCGCAGGAGCTCTGCCGTCTTCCGAATTCATCACACCTTTTATTTGTGTCAGGGTGAAAGAGGTGTGCCTGGAGTGCCTGGAGACCACGGAGAAAAGGGAGAACCTGGAGAGAGTATCATTGTGAGTATGGTGGTGTATTGATTCACCTATCATTCTTTCATTTATTATTTAGCTCAAACCATGATAACTTGTCATAGACACTAAAGAGCCTCAAGATGAGTGGTCATTAAATACATCTTGAGGTGAAAACATTGAGTATTGTTTCGAGGGGCCAGCGCATCACGTTCGGGATTCATTACTAAGTGTAGCTATCCATCGATACATACTTTGAACTTTGCAAATTTGACTCTGAATGAGTGTGTTCAGTTTTGAAACGCAGGATATTTGGAGACAAAGAATCAATAGAGCAAAAGGTGCCTAACACAATTACTGTACTGGATCTGGGGGCTTTGAGGGCGGATGGTGTTAACAAGATGTGTGATGTGTTTGTAGGGCCCCGCGGGACCCCCAGGGAAGCCAGGAGCTGAGGTTTGTAGCAAATTCTCACTTTCACAAGACAGAAACAGCATGTTCATGTTTTTCACTGAGGTTCAGTTAAATTAGGATGTGAACAATTCCAGGAGAATCTTTTGTGCTAGAAATAAAAATGAACTAATTCTGCTAATATAAATCTATGAACTAACTGTAGGTCTTCTTTAGGGTCTCCGTGGACCACCAGGTTTATCCGGCCCTCCTGGTGCGCCAGGAAGAGAGGTTAGTGGGTACAGTCTATTACTTTATTCTCATTCAGTCCCACAAGTATGCAGATAAAAGATAACCGGCTGCATAAAAGATTGTCAGCTTCCTGCTGTGGATGTCCTAGTGCGTCATATCACTGCTGCCGGCCACAAATCACCACCAACCGAGATGACTGTGAAAAGTTATAGTCCTTCACGTTTGCATGATATTGCTCCCAGTGGAACTGTTAAATCTATTCTTTGTCTCAATTAAAGGGCTCCCCTGGTAGACCGGGTCCACCGGGCCCTGCTGGACCTCCAGGTGAACCAGTAAGTAAGAACATCACGTTTGTCCAATTCAGGATCACTGAGCAGCAGTGACAAGTACAGATGTATCACTTTTAGCATGTGTTCAAAACCAAGGCTTTAGGTCAGTGGTCTCAAACTCCAGCCCTCAAGGCCCGGTGTTCTGCAACCTTTAGACATTTCTGTGCTTCAACACACCCACCTCCAATACTAGCACATTTGCAGAGCTCCGGAGTGACTGGTGAGGCATTTAATACAAGCATGTAAGACAAGGGACACATCTAAAAGTTGCAGAAGTCTGGACATTGAGGACTGCAGGTTGAGACCCTTGCTTTATGTAAACTAGCATGGTTGTATATATAAAACAACTTCTGTGGCATCTTTTATGGTTTTCCATCAGGAAATACACAGCCCTTTACCCTGGTTAAACACAGCAATGAATGAAAAACAATGGTTTCTATGTCACAGTAAGCACAGTAAGTTATTTGAATATTTTAGATTCCATTTTCAGGGTTAGAAAATAAGGAATTAAATTTAGTTGTGTTATTGTATTTGAGCGCATAAATCATCTATAATGTGAAATATCTTTTTTTTTTTACTTTTGAGTACATTTGGGATTGTACTCGGTTGTATTTTAAGCCAGTTACTGAGCAAAAAATTGTATTCCTGCCTAAAAACTGCATGTTGCACTAAAAAAAAAAAGCAGATCAGTAAAAACCTATTACCCTCCCTGAGAGAGTGCACAACCTGCAAATGGAGATAGTGTGCACTGTACCACCTGGAGAATCTGCAACTTTAATCTGTGACACAACACCAGAAACTCGCTGAACAATTCACACTCAAAAACCAGGAGGAAGATGGAGATGCAAAGAGTGCTGTCCCAGCTTAGAGAAATATCCTGTCACATTCTGTTGCAGAAACAGTGAAGATAGATCACTGACTCCAAAAAGACACACAGAAACATTGCGTTGTGCACTGCAAGCTGCATACGCTCCATACTCAGTATATAAATAATGGTTTTCCCGATGTCACGGCTCCAAACATCTGAACATTACACCTGCAGCAGTGACACAGTTAGTCAAATAAGAGCCTACATGTTTTGTGGAGGTAGAAATAAAAAAAATGTTTCATTTTTCAGCAAGAAACCGAGTTAAAATCGTCCAATATTTACATATATGACTCTGATCTGCTGGTTAATTAACGTCATTAGTAATTATTAATGTCAATCCTGACTTGATTAAACAGATTGTTATTCTACATCTAAAACTCTGTCAGGGTTACACTGACAAGTGGGCACCATCTGCTCTGTTTTAAGCCAATATTCTTAAAAACAATTCTTACCATCAATTTATTGAAGATGGATTGTAATGATGCTGCCTTTACTATCTTTTACTTGGCAGCCATTTCCTTTGCAGCTCTGTGGCAGAATATTACTCAGCATATTATATATGACTTTTATATTGTCTTTGACCAGCAGATGGATTTCTGGGCATGTCGCAGCATGTGCTGCATATTAAAGGTTACGTTGTGGAACTTTGGTTTTGTGCCTAAACGTTGTGAATGTGTGCAGGTTTAAAGCAATGCTGTAATGTTGCTGTGCATATACGGGCCATACCAAAAAGACTACATGAAAAATTTGTGGCATGAATATACATCACGCCTTTACCCTGTAGGAAATGCAGCCTTTATGTAATCACAGTATTTCAATATAGTAAATCTCCTGTAAGCTAATTATTCATAACACCTCTCTCATTACTTTTTAGCTTTATAATAAATTTAGGTTTATTGACAGTGACAATATTTTTAGTATGTAAGAATCCTGAAGCTTTATGATTTAAGGTTTTCCTCAAATGCTGAAAATAAAAACTGGAACAAAACAGTTTGATAAACGTGTGTGTGTAAAAACTCATCTTGGAATAAATGATGGCCTGGTGGATCTGGTCATGTTTTTGTGAAGGCGTGTGTGAGTGTGTTCAATTTACAAGATGCAGCTGAACCAAACAGCTGCAGCATATTATTAAATACCATGAAAGATTTGCCCTGAAAGACAAAACCCTCTCTTCTTTTACTGACAGACTGCCCTGCCTATTGTGGGAGACATGGGTGCATTACTGAAGGTATTTCCTCTGCATAGTTTTAGACACTTAAAGCTTTTACCTTTGTTTATTTTGCAAACATATTGATGTGATGATGATGATGATGATGATGATGATGATGATGATTATTATTGTTGTTATTGATATTTCTTTCTTCAGATTTTAAGCCTTTTGTCCAGTCAAATTTATTTATTGCATACAGCCTTATTTAATGTTACATGGTGAAACATAATCATACATTTGACAAACAATAAATACCTTTAGTTTTTGTGTTTTTAACTTTTTTTATTCATTAATTCAGCCCAACTTTGCACCCATTTCCTGAAATTACACAAACCTAAAAGTCTCACTCCATGACTGTGACACGGAGTGAGACTCTAGAAGGCACAACTTGGTTCTCATTAATTCTGCTCAGGAGACATTCAGGGAACATTTTGTGTCAGTCAAGGTCCTTAGTCCTACCAGGTTGATGTCACATAATATGAGGTGAACATGCAGTGTGCCAGCTCTGCTTGATGAAATCTTATCTGTGCCGCTGGTTTTGCTTCTCGCCTTGCCTGCCTTGGCAGAATGCCTGCAGTCTTTGCCAGGCAAGAGTTCCTGGGCTGCCTGGGCAGAAGGGAGAGAAGGGTCCCCCTGGAGTGCAAGGAGTGGAAGGCTTGGTGGGAGAAAAGGTACATCCAGTTCTGGACATTTTTAATTTATTTTGCATATGTAATTCAGCCTTTGGGGCTTGGTATAGAGTGACATTTAAATATTTTAGACAAGACTGCCTTGCAACAGTTTAGTGTCCAAATATGGCTCAAGATGATATAAACCAAAAATAAGTTGATATATTTGTAAGTGCAAAACCTTCTTCTTAGGCTCAATGAGAAGGTTTTGTGAAAGGATTAGGAAAAAATATGTACTAAAAGTATGTTTACTTTTTTCAAAATGAAAAAAGCAGAGTTTTTTACTGCTTAAATTTAATTTTGTAAATTCTGCTCCTTGTGTCTCAGCTGTAATCTTTCACATTAACTGTTGACAAGAATTTGCTTCAAATTAAAGCAGTTTCAAATAAAACCATGGAAAGAATAAAAAGTCTGAATGAAAGCAATGACAGAAGTTAATCCAATTTTAAAAATATTAAAACATTTGACAGACAGAGAAAAGAAACAAAACTTTACTAAATAAGATAAAATTCATCTTACTAGTTATAACATGCTAATTGAATCAGTTACATGTTTGTTTTAGAGCAGTTTTAGAATTAACCTCGCAAAATATAAAGAAAGGAAATTGCTTATTAAATTGATATTTTGAAACTTACTCCAACTTGATACAACAAACAAATGTACTTTTTCTTTTTCAAACTGCAACATCTAAACAAGTTATGGATTTGGCTCTGGTGCCATAAAAAAAGATTTTGATACAACAAAATTATTGAATAACAAGAAAATAACTCACAAACAGAAAAATCAATTCAAATGACAGAGCTCAAATTGACATGTGTCTTATTAATGTGATTTTTGAAAAAAGAGTGTCTTGTCAAAATGGGTCTGTTTCACAACAGATATTTTATGAAAAAGGGAAAGGAGAACAAAGACTTGTTAACAAGTGGGTGTTTCATACAGTTCTGTTTTAACCTACATTTTACAAAATATCCAACATGCATGAATTAAGAGATGGCAAGCCACAGTGATTGAAACAGATGCATATGCCCCGAATTTCTGCCATAAAATAGGCTGATAGAAGCCTGAATATAAGCAACAGAATTCTAGTTTTTTTACTCGAGTGACCCATCAAAGTACTGCTGATTCAAAAGTTCCAACCATCTTCAAGAAACTTTCTTCAGAGGCAAAAAATCTGTTGCATCCTCATAAAACATTTAGAAACAGAGGTCCTTCAAACAAAATTCTTGGAAGTTGTGCAGACTGCTGAAGCTGGAAAAGAAGTTGTTGACAACTAGACTCAGCTGTTGAGGTGGAGCATCCAAAGCAGTCATATGCACGTATTTTCAGAACTAGGGCGGTTTATATTGGAAAGCCGGAGTAACGCATAGCAGACACATAAATGTGCCAAACACTAACACACTGTGAAATGAGAAGCTTAAAATATATATCCTAAAGTGTCAAAGTAATGTCACATTACACCAAAATCAGCAAAGCGATTATGCTGACAGTAGCATAGACTGGAGCGGTGTGCCTATAGTAACATTCAGTATGTGTTTTCTGCACAGGGGGATCCAGGTGTAAGAGGTCCGATGGGTAATCCAGGAAAAGAAGGCCCAAAGGTAACATCAGGGTTTTAAAAATTAACATGGTATGTTAGATTTTTCTTTAATTATGCATCTTTTAATCCATGGAAGAAAAATGTTTGTTTAATTGTGATAATTTGATGTTGTTCAATAAAATATGCATACATTTTTGTTTTGCATGTATGGTTGTCATTGCTGGCAACCTACAGAGTTTTCCTATTGTTAATATTATTAGGATAACTTGGTGCTCTCTGCAGAAATTGTTGCTATGGATACAGCCTTGCACCAGTGAAACAGGCTCAGCAATTTCACGTTGTGTGCTCGAAGAGACATTTTGAAGTTTACTCCTGTCAGCCATTAGTTTGAGGCTTTTTTGTGGTTGGTGAAAAACATTCACTTCTCTTTACCTCACTGGTTCTGCTCACCCTGCAGGGTGTAAAGGGAGAGAGAGGCTTCCCAGGCCCCACCGGAGACAAGGGCGATGAGGTAAACAAGGACAATGTTTAATCCAGCAAATTAGACCACTTGTCATCAGGCTGTTTGGAATGAACAGTGGTATAGAGATTTTCAGACAACTGCAGGCTGAGAAAAAAAAACACTACTTATTTTCTTCTGGCTTCTTTGTCATTCTTTGATGTTTCAGAACATACAAGTTTTGCAATTAAAAACAGTCTTCAAATGACGATTTTCCAAACCCGTCTCTCCCAATGTGGAATTATAATCTTCGAGAAAGAAGAAAGTTCAGCCATCAGATCATGACCTTAAAGTCAAGCAGCTTTGGGTTATGCAGCAGGACAGTAAAAAACTTATACCTGAATAGTTCAAATGAAAAACTAAAAGGTTTGATGTGATTTGTTTTCAAAAACCCTCTGATCTGTTGTTTCAGTTGTTTGATGGAAAATTTTGCAATCACACGTTTAAGTTCAAGGAATATTTTTCTTTCTCATAAGGGCTAAGTTGGTTTTGTTAGGTCTTTTTTTTTCAAATTAATACATTTAATAGTAATTTGAAAACTATGATATTAAATAGTAAGGTGTTCACAATACTCTTTATTGCAATCTTTTGAGACCCTGTATTTTTCAATGTGTGCTGTCTGTGTGCTGTCTCTTTCTCTCAAAGTACCTAATTTATTATAAACATGGCACGTAATGTGTTTGTGCATCTGTGTTATTAAAAAGATGGTAATTTTATCCAACAGCAGCATCTAAAAATATTTAGCAAACAAGCAATATGCCCCATTGCTTATGCCCAATAAAAAAAAAACATATTGCACAAACTAATACAGACACATTAAATATTACTGCTATAAACACAGCAGCAGCAGAGACTGTAGGCAAAACCTAGTTAGATGTTAATCATGATTAATATGTAAATTGTTGAAAATCTAGTCACCCAATTGTGCATTTTATTTTATGTAAGACTTCTTTAGTAATATAATTTGAAAAACATTTTTTTAAGCTTTGTACAGTAAGTTTTTCTCAATTTGCATTTTTTTTTTACTTTTAGATTTAATATATAAATTGATCCTGTAGCTTGGTAGCATTCACCATATAGAAGGCCTCACCCCCACTCCCAGGTGTAGTCAGCTGTGCAGCCCTCATCAGGTCCAGATGCCTACAAACACTCAAATAAACCGATATTACACTTTTCACACAAGGTGGCTAATTATTGAGACTCACACCTGCTTAGTGTTTATATTGAAGCTGATATCTCATTTTATAAACATGTGCTCCTGAGCAGATGTGCAGACAGAACAGAGTGACTGAAGGGTTTTCTGACATGAATGCTAAAGCTCCCTTTGCTGTTCTCCTCAAGTATTTGGAAATGCCAACTACTGCAAATCAGTTATTGCAATTATTTGAAGCAATTATTCTTTGGTTTTTAAACTGAGTATCAATTTACTGTCGTCTCCAGGGCCCTCCAGGAGCCCCAGGACTTCCAGGTGTAACAGGACGAACAGGAACCCCGGTAAGTCTTTTGTTTCTTTTGTCTGTTTGTTTGTTTGTTTTGTTTCTTGTTTATTTTTTTTTTTTACTTTGGCATTTTTGTAATAAAAGAAAACAAATACCATCACAAAAGGGACATATTGCCGTGACAACAGTGACACAATAATAACATTATTTAGTTTCATACACAATTAAGCGAAACCTCTGTTGGCACCTTATGTAGACTTACAGATGACTGAGAGAAAAAGTGGAACTGGCAAGGTGACTTACTTTAGGATCAATTTGGCTGATAATTGTCTGATCACTTGAGGCTCAAATGAAGCTTTGAATTTTTCCCCACAGTCTTTCAGTCTATTCTTTCATAAAAAAAAAAAACTACCAACAGCAATGTCATACCAAAAGCAATGTACACCTACCAGAACACAGTCCATTCCACATCATTGATCCTAATACATGCACACTATTCAACTTAGATCACTTTAAAATTAGAACACATGCTTTAATGGAATTGAATGATTTGATTTTACACAAAATTTTCTTTTTTCAATATTCTGACATACACCACAAGATGGTTGACATTACTTTAGTATCAAGGTACAATGTTTTAAGTCCAAGACCATGACTTTTGGACCTTTGAAATTTTAAATTAAGTGCTTTGTTGCCCTTTAAAATGGCGCCGTGGAAGTAAGATGTTTGAAAAAGTAAATAAATAAATAAGTACAGCTAAAAAAGTTGTAAAATCTGAAAGAGTTCAAAGGCCGGGGCAGATTAAACATCTCTACAACAATCACTCAGTTATACATAAGGGAAAATGCATTTTTTATATATAATTTGTCCTCAAATCAGATTTCATGTTTTTTTTTGTTGTTTGTTTTGTTTTGTTTTTGTTTTGTTTTTTTGCAGGGACTTGTAGGTAGACCTGGTCCTATGGGTCCACAAGGAACAAAGGGAGAAAAGGTAAGAAATGCTTTCTATGAAATGTAGTTTAATAAATACTGCAAAAAGTAAAGTAAATGTCAGTCTTGTTCACAATTTAGTAGATGAGGTTGAAGAAAAAGGAATGTGTTATTTTGTATAAAATAACACATTCTTATTAAATATCTTATTAATGTCTTTGTCAATTGCATGGATAAAGTACTTTGCTACTTTTAACCACAACCCAAAAGAAAACAAAATGTCACATTTCTAGAGAATGCATTTTCTTTCAAAGTTTTCTGATGAATGTTAAAAGCAGCATTGCTTTTACTGAGTCATCTTTACTTGCCTTTGCTGAGGTACAGGAAAAGGCTTTATTTTAGCTACATTTCTAAAAGAATAAAATAGTGACTGAAGTCCATATGTTTTGTTTACATCAACACACTGTGAAGTAGATAAAGTTTTGAACTTTCAAAAATGCTGAAAAGTTAAAATGTGGTGCTTCAAAAAAAATTTGTCTTGCTTAAAACATCTCTGAGCTGTAGGAATAGGTCTAAAAAAGATCAACAGTGTGTTTTGGTCTGGGTTTATGTGGAGGTATTTTGGTACGATTACAATGGAATCAAACACTTGAGAGAACACACACTAAAAATCTTGTGAAAAACTGTACTAAAATGATGAAAAATGATTTTAAAGTCAACACATTGTTAGAGGAAAAGAAGTGTGTTACTAGACTGGTGGTATGAAAACAACCAATTTGTGTTGTCCTATTAGTTTTACAGTGCCTAATGTTTAAGTGCTTATGTGTTTTGATGTCAGTGTATGGTTGTAGTTCTGTATAATGTGTATGTGATATGTGTATCTTTGTGTCTTTCTTGACTTATTTGTATAATATAAGAGTATGTATATTTGTATGTGTTTTTTTTTTATCTCTGTGAAACAGTGTTCCATACTTTGTCAATCTAGGCTGCCTGAGATGTTCCAATATCAGATACCAATTTGTATTTCTAATTCTGATCTGAGTCATTCAGAGTGAATGTTTGTTAATGCCAAGCTCATTTTTAATGATCCGAGTGAATGTCTCAAAATTTAATCCCCAAGAGATTCATTATAGTCTTTGCATCACACTAAAATCAGATTCAAAAAATATTATGAATTTTAATTTCAACATGGAAGATACCAACATTATGAAAGTTGTGTAAAGGCTACCTATTAAAGAAAGATTTTCACTATGTGGAAGGAAGGAAGATTTTGCAATTTAAATAAGATTTGAACATTGTTTATTTAAAATATTAAAGAATAGGTTATTTTCAATGTTATGTGAATAAATTCAAGTATGAGTCTTCTGAAAATATGTCCAACATTAAACAATAATTTCACTATGTTTAAGATTTTCTTGTGTTTATGTCCAACAGGGAAATGACGGAGCTCCAGGCAGACAAGGACTTCCAGGACCTCCAGTAAGTTCCTCCGGTCTTCACAAGATTTAGTTTCCTACAGTGTCTCAAAACCCCACGAGGGTCACAGGTTGTATTTTGGGTGGACATGTAATGTTACCTTTAAAGGTTAGAGTGTGAAAGTCATCTGTTTGGTGCTTGTTTAGCGTTTCTCGTAATAGCACAGCACAACTGACAAACAAGTGCAAACATGATGAAATTGTGGCCACATGCTTGCTGGCACCGAGTCTCATTCCATCCTTTTTAAAAGACGAGTGAGTAAGCACTTCCAGTGGCAAATCTATAATTCATTGGCTATCTCCTTGAACTTACTGAGCGCCTCTGGAACACACACTCACACACGCGTACACCTTGGTCTTATGAACCTCCAGCTAGGGAGGAAAGGGGATGGCTTAGTGGCCTGAAAAGGGCACAGGCCTTCACTTGCTTCTAAATGAGAGCCTTGGCTTCTTCTTGGTTTACATTAGTTGCCCTCTAAAAATCCATCACTGGAAAACATCCTTACAATGCTAAAACATAACATCAGGATTACCTCGTGATACCCAAAATCTTTTAAATTATAAAAGACTTTTTCTACTTCTTTAACATCCTTGTCTTTTGGATTAGGACTACTTCCAGGTTTATGGAAATCTGCTGTTCTCTATTTATTTTCCTCTTTTCTTTTCTAAGACACACATTCTTTCTTTCTCTTTTTCTCTGTAGTCACCAGACACAGATTTTATGTTGCTTTTAAGAGCTTTGCTGTGTATAATTTCTCAAGACCTAGAGTATAATTTTCTACCTGAAACCAGAGAACCCTTGCAGAGCGGATGTGTGATTCTCTGACTGTGTTTCAGGGTGCGCCATATGTGGAGGGAAACGGGATGAGCAGTCTGTACAAGCTGCAGGTAAAAGATATATAGATTTTAACTCACATGTAAAATTGGATTTATTGAATTTGATGATGCCTTGCTAGTGACTTGAATTTGGCCCGCATTGTGAAATATTTAGTCATTACATAAATGTCTTTGCAGAGTGGTGGAGCTATTTTAGGACCTCCTGGAGCGCCCGGTGCTCCGGTAAGTGTTGTTGTGCCTCAGGTAAATCCTTTAAAGTGTGCTGTAAGGAACTCTAGCAAACAGGCAAGCTGATACTGAATGAGCTGCAGAGCCTGCGAGGGCTGAATAGCAAACAACCTGACCAGGCCTCCAGTGTTATGGCTCTGAAGCATTTATATCACCGTCAATCACTGGGGATTGGCAAAGGCCAAGAGGCTTTCTGACTCCCAAACAGGTGCCTCTGATCCACGCCGGGACACACAACATCATTGATATGCAAAATGAAACTTTAGAAGTTGGTATGCTCTGTGCGATGGAGAAGTGGCCCGATTTGCTTATCGCTCCCAACCTTCTTTTGCCTTATCAGACAGTTTGTAATCTTGTCCAGGCCAGGGAGACGTTCAGTCACAGGGCCTGCAGGCATCCATTCGCTGAAACGAACACTTAAGGAGGTGACAAAGAGCAGACGTTGTGCTGTCCCCCCAGTGCAAAATGCACATGAACTACAGCTAAATCTCAAGAACGTCTCAGCCTGTACTGCATCTATCACAGCCCAACAAGAGAGCTTCCTCATCAGTGTTAAGAGGGACAAGACAGATAATTTATCTTTTTATTATTATTATTATTATTATTATTATTATTATAATTAGAAAAACACTGAATAGTATGAGGTTTACCTACAACAGAATATATCTACATGTCATTTCAGACTGAGTTTAGACTTTCTATTATTCTTGTTGTCACATATATGGCAGTAATCGGTCTTCTTTGTTTCTTTCTCCTTTAAGGGCCTAAAAGGAGATGAAGGACCTGTCGTGAGTAGAAACTGTTTGTTCTGAAACGTGTATTTTTCATACAACGTAGAAAGGGAGAATTCAGAGCTGCTTTTCATCATTATCTCGCAGGTTTTTCCACTCTATAACACAAGTCAATAAAGCCTCAAGCCTGAGTGCTTAAACACTCTCAGTAGAAACTCAACGTACACGAAAACTAAAAGAAATGACCTTGTCTCCAAAAAATATGAAGCTTTTGTAATATATTGTCTTGCCAGTGGGAACCCACAAACACTTACTGCATTTATAATGTGCTCCTCAGCTGCTTGCTTTTGTACCGAATTGGGAAAACAATCCGTTTGCAATCCACATATACATGCAACCAACTTGACGTTTCCGCTGTAACTCTGAATTCCTCATGCTCATGGGACCAATGGCATTTTTTATTGTGTTGGTCGCACAGTGATTTTTCACCAGAATGTTAATTTGACATCCTAATAAATTGTGCCGTCCGGCTACAGAGCCATGCTGAAATTGCCCCAATCTGTCTCACAGCTGATCCTCTGGCTCGTCCACCCTCTCCCTTCTTTCCGTTAGCCACAATGGCTTATTCGTGACAATCTGCATGTGTGACAATTACCCAGACAATTCATCTATGTCGGCACTGGTTGCTTCTCTGTTCTGTGTAATGGCGTTTCACCATGGCAGCCTGAGCAAGAGGAGGTAGATAGAGGCCATCACTTGCTCAAGAACAGGGAATGGATCTCTATTTTTAGAGCAGAAGAAAGACTGATTTTGGAATGAGGCTTTTTTTTCAAATGTTCCTGTAGCCCACATGATGTAACAGTATGTGCAGTAGAACATTTGAAGCTATTAACCCCAAACCATTTGAAACAAATGGATACATAGAGGATTGAAGACTAAAAATATTAAGATGAGAGAGAGAAATGTTGCAGAAACTGTATTATGCAACCAAACACACTTTCTTGTTTCTATGTACATTTATTTTGAAAAATGACTTTCCTCCTAGATGTAAATGCATAGACATAAATCAAAAATAACCAAACAAACGGAGCAAAGTTTTATGTGTAAAAATGGTGTTGATGGGAGAGTTACAAGGTAAAAAAAAATAAATCTCACCTTGGAACTGAAAGGTAAAGATTGAAAAACACTGAAAAAACACAATGGCCTGTTTAATATTTTTCAAAAATACTTTGAAAATGATTGAAAGAGGCAACATATCCACCCCACAGGGAAAATAAATAAATAAATAGAATAAAAAAATAAAATGAAGATTTTGGACTTTCAATTTAGGTTTATAATTATGCATGTTGCCAATTGCACTGCATTTGTGGGATGTGAGGTAAAAATAGCCCAATTCTTGGTTGCAAAATAGGTGGAAGCAGCAACTCTTAATCTACTTTATTAGTGACCTGATCGGCTTGACACAGCAGGTGGTGTGTTCTTCTCACAGGGGGAACCAGGACCCATGGGCTTACCCGGGCTTGAAGGGCTTCCCGGTGCCAAGGTAGGCAACAGAGCCGTTTCTCTCCCGCAAATGAGCTTCCCTTGATTGCAGCATGAATAAAATGCATACTCTCTGGAGCATTCTCATTATACAAAGTTATAAAGAGCTTCTTCGTGAAAGGACGTATCCATCTTCTGAAGAGTAAAAATGCTTGGCACTGTGAACATCATAGCTGCTAGTTAAAGTTATGAGCTAGCTTCAGGGAAACTAAATGTTTTTTTTTGTTTGTTTGTTTGTTTGTTTGTGTGTTTGGTAGGTTGGGGGTTTTTTTAGAGAAATTCAATCACCTGTGTTTCTGTTTAAATATTGCCTGGAGGAATTTCAGGTCTACATTTCCAGAGAGGATATACTGCAATTTGGAGCCAAAGCATTAATGAAATGGCTAACAATCTGCACCGTGAATTGCAAACACTAGTGGAGATGCATTTTCTTGAAGATAATGAAAATGGGCTGAATGGAACCAGCATCCAACTTTGTGTATCTGGCAGTGTGTGACTCTGACCTGAGCGGAGATTTTGTGAGACTGAAATATGTCAGTTTCTGTGACATGAAGGGACATTTTTTCTTCTAGGAAATACTGTCGGAGGTTTGGTATGCACACATAAGTGTTAGTTGTACAAAACAAATAATAATAATAACAAAGCTTTTTCAAACTTACGGTAATTTATGCAACTAAGTAGATTGTTAAGGAGTTTTAACCTTTTTATTGCCTCCCACATTTGCTTACTTTAAACCATGAGCTTCACAATGATATTCACAACACATATAAGTGCAGTGTCTTATAATGAAAACATTTGAACTTTTTACATTTGACATCTAGTCCCAGTGAATGTTATTTAAGTTTGTGCCTGTAACGTGACAAAAGGAGAAAAATAATTCAAAGCTTGTAAAAACCTTTATAGAGCACTTTACCTACTGTGTACTGTGTCTGCTGGATATGACAGGTTTTTACAGTCTGTCATCTCTTTGTCTTTTCAGGGCGATATCGGCCTGCCTGGCCCTCCTGGGACATCAGGTCCTCCAGTAAGTAATTTATGTATGTTCTGCTTATTATTATTTTTATGTATTTGTGTCATAATGAGTATAAATAATAGTTTCTACTTATTAGAAATTATTATAATAAGTAGAAATCTTCTACTGTATTCTTTAAGCCTCATCTCGCATCAGTTCAGCTGTGTTTCCTTTAAGAATTGAACAACATGAGTTAGTTAACACTAGTACTTTGTATAATGACACTGTAATCATTTGGAATATATAAAGGGATTATAGAGTGGCTATATTATAAATGCAAGGCTGCAGACATGACACTACTGAGGACCTATCAAACAAAACGCGTTCCCCTACTGTCTGTCATTGACAGGGGAAACCCGGAACACGCGGAGAGCCAGGGATCCCAGGAGAGCCGGTGAGGAGCAGTCTCTCGCTCTCTTTTAACTGTCAATCTACGCATCATCTCCTTGCCACTTCAGACTGACACAAAAACTGTCTCTGTTCTTGGTAGGGTGAGAGGGGCCCCATCGGAGAGACCGGATTCCCTGGACCCGAGGGACCTCAAGGTGTTCCTGTGAGGATGCAAACCTTTTCATTGGAGAACCCTATAGAAATATAGGGTTCTCTTGTAGACTCATTCACGATTCCAGCTTTTGTGCTCACAGAGGCAAACGTGATTCAAGGACAATATAGATGAAATACGTATGTTATCTACCACTCGTCCTGTAGATGATTATATTCCCACATTCCTCTATGTAATTACCATCAGAGATAGTTTCTGTAATATTCCCTGTAAGTGCACAATGGAACAGTGTTCACTCAGCAATCAGGATCATTATCCCTCGGTTGAGATATCTCATTAACTGTGGAGATTACTAGGAGTGCAACAGCGCTGATCCAATCGAAGGTGGGAGCTGATACAAAATGTCTTTGTTTGTGTTGCGGTTCCTGAGCAGGGGAGGCCTGGAAAAGATGGAACTCCTGGATACAAGGTGAGTAGTTTCAAATCCCCTTATAGAAAGTGCTTTACATCAGCCGGGCTACAGAGAGATGGCACAGCAGATTTTTATCCCCCCCTCAGGCAACAGTGTGCTGACTGCATTAAAGCGATTTGCATATTTGAGATTTTAGTGATAGAAACTAAATGGAATCTTGCAGGTTTAAGGCTTTGTTGACTTTTATTCTTCTTACCCTAATTATATAGTTAAGGCTTTCAGAAAATGATAAAATGTTTGTAATGGAGGGTGTTAGGCACTTCAAATTAATGATGTGTTTTTTGTTTTGTTGCTTTTTTTTTGCTTGCTGAACCTGCCTTGAACTGAGACAAATCCAGCAGAAAAAGTCTGCTTTTAGATTGCTGATCAAATTTATTACGCACCGTTTACCTCATGAAAACGAAGAATGGTCCTGGAGGATGCAGAATGGATCCGCTTGAATGGCCATCCCACACACATTATATGATTCAACACCAAAACTTGACTGATGGTGGTTATTACGGTTTTTCCCAGATATACAAGATGTTTTCCACCTTACACCTAAATGGCAGACCCAACGCTTTATTGTTTGTTCATTTTTATTATTTAATATTCCCCCACTATAATCTCACCGTTCCACTGAGGCCATCTAAATAGAGGCTCTCATTCTGTGGAACAACAGTGCCATCTAGTTGGTGGCTCTTCTCATCTGTATAGATTGCTTGCTCACTGCTTTGAGCTTTAATATAATGCTCAGGGAAGCACATTTCAGTGGGCAAGATGATAGATTTAAGCTTCCCATCAGGCAGTGGGGAATACAGCATGCTGCAGATTAAAGCAGGCAAGGGAGAATGGCATCACAAAGCGGTGCCCGCTTTAAAACCACATCATGCCAGATTGTCTTTTGCGTGCCTCCTGTAATCCAGCGGGAAATTGATACAAAGATGGTCCCCGAGGTAATGCTGTGAGCAAAGTAAAAGGAAGCAATGAGGAGTGACAGGGAGGGGACCGGATGACTCAAGATGTTGTGACATGAAGCTGGAGATAGGTATTTTCCTCACGGCTCATCCGTACAGTAAAGACAGCTGGTGGGAAAGCAGGCCTTTGTCAAACAAAACCGGAGTGATGCAGAGGAGCCGTGACATTGCAGAAGGTGAAGCACTATAATGGAAAATATTATACAAGCAGTAGAACCTGAGCAGAGTCTAAAGCAGTCAATGCACAGTCATCTGATAAGAGTGTACCTGGACTTTGTCATAACAGTAGGAATTTTTGTAAAGATTCACTGATCGCTGAGATTTTGTTGCCAATTTCTGTTCACCGATTGCGTAGCCAATTACAATTTCACTTTAAGAATAAATTTACATCTCAAGGTTCACAACGCAATAGCTCTACCAAGCTGCAAATAAATTCTAGATATCGCCACCAGGTGTACAATGTGGACGTCTCAATATCAGGCTCAGGCTCAGTTGTATTCCGTGGACAAACATTCAAAGTTTGTTGTAAAACTTACCTTCTTAATGCAAGGTGCAGCATTAATGAGGACTTTATGTAATATTTTGAATATGTGACATTATTATCTATTATTGGAGAAACTTTGAAAAGTTTACAGTTTAGTTTACACTGTGATTTTGTTGGAGCTAGGGTGATGTCATGATTTTACCATATCGTCATGTTGAATGGTTGTTCCCATGGAAATGCTCAAAATTTGGTATGGATCTATGTGAAATATTCCAGAGCTCACAGTTGATTCAACTTTCAATGTAATCCTAATGAGCTTCTTTGGGGTTGACAGAAATTATTCATATTTAGCTTAGTGCAAATCAAAACATACAGGTGTGATGTACAAACTAATCACACCAACATAGAGTATGATTCAGAGTATGATTTAACAAAAACATAATCTCTGTCATCAAATACAGCTTGAAACATGCATAAGTGTGACTTTAAAGTAAGTCACGTGGGTGGAGCACAAGTGATGTCAGGACATGAGCATGTGAATGTTTTGATGGCTGTTCTGTGATGACACACACATCATTTTAGGTACAACTCCAACCTTAAGTGTGGAAGTCATTATTTATCTTTCTTTTATGGTGAAAAGACTGATTTTGAAGTTTGGCCACACCCACATGCTTTGATGTAGCAGAAAGCTTTTGCGTTTGATGTCCAATGCCTGAAGGCTACACTGAACCTTTTTCTAAAAGGAAAGCTCTATGATGAGTTTGATCAGATATGTGTTTAAAAGAGAGAAAGTGAAGGCTTTTGTTAAAAATGGCTGACTTTTTTTGAGGTTAGACCATGGCTCCGATATTGGTGATGTTGGCATGAACATGTTGAGAGTCAAATATAATATAGGAAGCATAATGTTTCAAAGTAAAACATTACAATTTGCTTATGATGGACCAGATTGTGTAAGACATACAAAATCACCAAATCCTTGTCACCTGCCAGTTTTACTGTGTATCTCTAATGTTGGAGGGTTGTATAATATTTATTGCTTCCTATTACAAGAAAGGAGTATCTGTTTATTACACTTATTATTTTTTTTGTTACAGTCTTAAAGTTTATTTTGCTTTTTTTTTTTCCAAAGGGCTCCACAGGTACTCCAGGTGACAGAGGATCCAAAGGTGAACGTGTAAGTAGCAACATCTTCTTCTCCGGAGTAGAATCTGGTTTATGTCTCTAACAACAATGCATAAAACATGTTCATTAAATGGTAATGAAAGGATGGCAATCAAAGTCACGAGGAATGTCTTATTTCAGTACAAATATTACAAGTCCCCACAAGCACATAAACACCAGAAAAAAAGGGCTTTAATGCTCATTGTGGTTTTCTATTGTGTTTGCTAAGTTTTGTCGCACTTCTGCAATAATTTTATCTAATTTTTTTTTTTTTTTTTTTTTTTATGTAGCGAATAGAGAAGGGTAAAAAAAAGTAGCTTTTTAGTTGCTGAGACAGGACAAGTAAATGCAAGGGCGATTAAAATAATGAAGTTGCAATTTATGGCAGCTTTAGGGAAAGTATCAGACCTTACAGTGATTTCAGCAGCTAAAGCCCCATCCAGCATTTACAAATAGGGCCCACATTGGGGGAAATGATCTGAAAAATGATCCCATGTGCTATTGTTTATAGGTTACATAATAGAGCAATGTTCATTGCCTTTGTGGTTTTGATCCAAGACTAGTCTAAATAAAATGATGACCAAAAGATGTGTTGATCAGCTGATTTTCTTAATATCCATTAGAGACAAATCTGAGACCTATGGGTTCATGTCAGAAACCCAAATGAATGCTGAACTATCAGTCGGCTACAGTCAGCCAATTTTTCATAAATTAAATGCAATAAAACTAGGAAGTCGTAGGATTTTGTGGAATTAAATCCACCAACAGCAAGCCTTTTTTGGCGGGTGGGGGGATTGAAATAAGCAGTTCTAACCTCAAACAAACTACAAGTCAGTCTCGATCAGGAAAATCCTGTGTGCCACATACACATGTGGAGATTGTACAGACACCAAGCTTAAAAACAGCAGAGATTTATTTTTAACGCAGGGTGATCCTGGCATTCCCGGAGAAAGAGGCGTTCAAGGTGAAAGGGGTCGCATGGGTGACCCTGGCATGGTTGGACCGATGGGGCCGCCAGGTGAAAAAGGAGATCCTGGCCCCCCTGGACAGCTGGGGAGCGTAAAACTCCTGGTAAGTAGCACAATTGCAAACGCTTCCACATTAAAGTTCTTTCTTCTCGTATAATTTAAATCATCTGACAGGATGTGGCAGTTTGTGTAACTAGCTTAGTTCTTCCTGCCTGGATGGAAAGCAATGTATCTACAGCTTTTTGCATAAAACATCAAACAAAGCTGAGCGAGGGAGCTCGCTGTTCGTTCTCTGCTCAGCGCTTCCCACTCCCGATCATCTAGGCGTAACAGAAGGTCAAAGCAGGAGAGAGTCGGAAACAGAGGGAAAGACAGAGATATGTGGGCGTGCCAAGAGCTATGCAGAGCGGAGAAAACACCTCCATCTGTCACAGACGTTTTTACGCTCACTGTACTTATATAACATTCACAATGATGAAAAGCTGTTTTGAATGCAACAATACAACATTGGAGCCTGTTGTGTGTTATTGTTATGAATGCTGCCCTGGAAAGCAGTGCAGTTGAGAACTGTTCTCCTGACTGACATAAACTTGAGACTGAGAGTTCCTTGAGTGGAAGAACATGCACTGTATGCAGAGAAGTAAAGTTGTTTTAGTCGTTTACCGCAGCAGAACAACTTCACAGTCAAAGATGTTATTAATGAATGGATTATTAGAAATTATCTGTAAACTTGAACATTTTCCCAGGCTGTATTTCGCATCCATTCATTCGTCTGAAATATTTTCTGAATTTAGTTCAAAGACAGTGGGGGGCAGAAGGGGGCTTGGCCGCAGAGCTGTCAGACTGGCTTCTGAGGAGCTTTGGCAGCATTCTTTTTTTTTTTAAATCAACTAGTGGAAAATGTGTTGATGTTTTTGGACAAAACAGCTCTTCTTTGTTAAAAGGATGTGCCAGAGCATTCATAGTGTTAGCACTCACTTTGGCTCTGTTGCCTCTGTGTGCCCTACAGAGCAGCTGTAGCTTTAACACAGCTTGAACTGCAGAAAGGAGGATAGCCAAAATGTTTTGGAGACACTGTTGGGGTATTGACAAGCTAAACAAAATAAACAAAAACAATAAACTGGAACACTTTTTTATTTTATTTTAGGTGACTTAGAAAGAGCCTGACATGTTTATATTTATTTATTTTTATTTTTATTTTTCCTTCTTGGGGGGACGAAGCAGGGGCACAGTTGGTAGAAGGGTGACACACTGAAATTGCAATTTTATCAAAACTCCCTTTAGTCTTAGATCCCAATAAACAGCATGCCAAGATATGAAGTTAAAAAGATGGGGAGAGGACTATTTTGTATCCTTCCATAAATTGGTCTTCAGTCTGAAAGTTTCAATTTGAAATGCTAATCTATTTGTGCCACAAACAGTCTAACTGATTGCTCTATTGGGGGTCACTGGCAGGGCTGGGTGAACAATCAGATTTAAAGTGTTGCGCTCTCTTTACCATGACAGATCAGTCCAGCAATTATATCATTGCAGACGCCACACCGATTTGCTTATCAATCTCCCACTGTGTTTTTTCCTTTATCCCTGAACAAGACCCCAAGATGAAGTACAGACAAAGCTCAACCTAATGACCCATTACTATAGGGAACATAAAAGGAAACAATGTTTTCTCACCTGGATGCAGGTCGTTGGGGACCCCTCCTGGAGCCACAATTAGGGTTAGGGATGCTGGGGAGGGCCAGGTATTCCTGGAGCCCTGCTTGGAGTGTCCATCCCAAGGATTTCTGATTTTAAGATAAACTGTTTGTCCAAAAGGTGGAGATTATTCCCCATGTGCACATTTTATTTTCCTTGGGAATTGGATCTCACATACGGGAATCATATAACAACCAACTTTAGCAGGATTTAGCTGCAAATCGAATACTATCAAAGCACATATTTGTTATGGTCAGAGATCAGGCTATCTATTGTTTATTGATTTCCATATTACAAATCCAGACCCAAAATAAACATGTTCGCACATGGCGAAAGTATACTACAATGTGTTGAACTGGTTCAGTAGCAGAGAGATCATCAGAAAAACAAATGCTTAATTTTGTCCTGCAATTCTCATTATGCTGTATAGGGCAGCCCTATCTTTTTCCATTTTCACAAAACGTGAGGAAACCCTGGAACATACATTAGGTAATAAAAAATTTTAAAAAATCACAAAAAATTATGCAAAATAGGAAGCCTGTCACAAAGTTTCAGGCATTTGCCAATGCAGATTCTGAGAACAATAATCAAATGAGCATGTATTGTTTTGCTTATCTCAATTTGCACAGTCAAAAGTAAGTCCTGAACAGAGCAAGATTTACATGTTGCACCCTTAAAAGGAATTAATTCTTCTTCCAAAATGATTACTGCTGACCTACCTTGAAGTCCATACACTCAGGCAGTCGTAACTATGCTATTCTTTTACAAGTGGCTTATAGACTTTCTGACTGCGAAAATATTTCTGGATATTATATTTATATTATGCATCTTCATAAAGCTCGCAATATTTTAGAGGCACACAGAGCTAACACAATTCCTTTGTGGCACGGGGTGCATCACTGCAGAGCTGAACATAAAGTAATACCACTTTAGAGAGTTATAGAATCAAATTTAATATTCCTTCCTGAATATGTTTCATTTCTTGCTGAGTTCCGATCTTGAGTTGAGATTGGAAGAGGTCTTAAAGAAATATTTTAAAGGTTTTACTCTCCTCTGTTGTTCTTTCTTTTGACAATTTTTGGTTTCAATAATGTCCGTTGGCGGACTTTGTGGAGCATAAATACATGACGAGTATCCCTTAATTGTTATGCCATGATAACGTTAATCTTCGCTGTATGTTCTCTGCCTCCATTTGGCTCGAAATGAAGGTTTAGCTTGTGTTGTGTCTTAATTGGATTTTCCGTCTTTCTTGCCCGAATTAAAATGCTTCAGTAAGTGATCATTTATTCTCCCTTCACACAGGATGATCCCAGCTTTACAGAAGAACTCAAAATCTTTATCCAAAGTGAAATAATGAGGATTTTTGAAGGTAAAAAATAGTCTGACATTTAATTTAGTTGATGTGTTCTTGTTCACTCTAACATCTACGCTGTATGTCATTTTCCAAGTTTTTACTCATACAGCCTTTTTGAAAATATTTTCCTGCCCTGCAGAGAAAGTGTCTGGCACCGCCACGCAACAGAAGACGCCTGCCGGCATCTTAGCTTCACCTTTCCAAGGACCTCCTGGACCCCCGGGCAAGGATGGATCCCCAGGGGTCCCAGGAGAGCCTGGGCCACCTGGACCTCAAGGTAGTAGCTTCATACTATGAGTTTAAAGGCTTGACTTAACCACCAACTCAAAAAAATTTAAAATAACCATAAATGGCTTGGGTTACCTGTTGATGTTTTAACATATTAATACTGACTCAAGTGCCTGGAACTTTTCCACATTTTCCCATCTTACAGTCACTGAAACTTGGTGCATTTCTCTTGCCTTTTTTGGTAATAAATCAACAAAAAGTAGTGAATAATTATGTTCCAGAAAAAAAAAAAGAAAATCAGAGCGAAAGGAAATAATTCACAGTTTCATGTTTACAAAAAATATTAAATCTGAAAATGGTTGCATAAGGTTGTATCCTTATCCCACAACTCTAATTTTTGGAAAAAAGCCTAATCAATTATCTTCACAGTTTTCCTATTTCAAAACAAGCATCCTCTTGTGTTTAACATAATTTTAATATAAATGCAACGGTTTTCTAAACTCCTAGAGAACAGCGTAATGAAAACTAGGCAACACACCAGAAAGGTCCAAGAGAACGCTGTGAACAAGTTTAAGATTAGGATTTGAAGCAAAGTCTACCGAGACACAGCCATCCAGTCCAGACCTTGAGAGCAACAGCTGAGATGTGTCTCTGCTCCATAAAGTCTGAATCACTTGACTGTCTTCCCTTATCAGCATGTTGTTCAACTCTGCAGATGCCTGGTAGTGAGACATTCTTTTGATTCAGGTGTGCTGGAGAAGGTGACCATGTAAAAGTTTTATGATAGTAGTTTTCAAGGACTGGACCTAAACTGACAGGTTGGGAGAAGATCAATAATCAAAGGCGCAGCCAAGAGCCCCATTGTAACTCAGAAAGAGCTGCACAGCTCAGAGCGAAGTATCTTTTGATAAGAAAATTATTAGTCATGCACTCCACAAACCTGGGCTTTATGAAAGCGTTCCACGAAGAAAGCCATTGGTAAAACAAAACTATAAGAAGTCCAGTTCACAGTTTGCCAAAAGTCATTTAGGGTACATAGCAAAGCCAAAAAAGAAAATACTCGAGTCTAAAACAGTTTGCTATGAGGATGTTTCTTGTTCAGTACAAATGGAGAACATTTGGAAAACCCAATATAATTCCATTTCATTTCACAATTATGCAGTTATGTTAGTTATCTATCTATACATTTAATCCCAAACAAGTAAACACATTTTGTCATGGCATGACAAAATGTGAGAAACTTTAGGAAATATATATATATATATATATATTTCCTAAAGTTTCTCACATTTTGTCATATATATATATATATATATATATATATATATATATATATATATATATATATATATATATATATATATGGCATGACAAAATGTATATATATATATATATATATATATATATATATATATATATATATATATACAGAGCTTTAAAAATGAATGAATAAATAAGCTGAAACTTTAAGCAGGCAACTGTACTCTGCAGTTTTGTCAAGACTGCGCTTGAAAGACGGAGGAATTACCGTTGTAAAAACGCCCTGTTTTCCATCTTATGAAGGCTACTCACTTATGCATGTTTTTGTTATGAGAAGAGTTGATCTGAACTGCTGTAGACTGCTTGGAATGGGGTCAGGCTGACAGTTCTACTCTGTATGGATTCATGAGTATTTTTCTCTTGCATAGACCCATATATCAATGCAGACTGAGGGGCTGGGAGCAGAGGAAAGGCCAGGAGTGTGGTGCACTGCAGCTCTCTGGGAAATATGAAGACAAACGAAGAATTGGCTGTGAATAAGAGAAAATGTTATCAGTGTGGACAGAAAAGAGCTCCATTATTGATACCTCACTCAAGGAGAGAAAGCTTCTGAAATACAAAAGGAACGTAGTTGAGTTGGAGGGTGGACATTCATTATAGGACTAATCCTGACTCTCTGACTGCTCACACAACACTAACGGTTTGCTGGTCAGGCTTTGTACCTCCAACATGCTTAGATTTATTTTGTGTCCTCAGCAGAACTTTGGTAAAGCTTTGAAAGAGAAGGAGTGCTTCATGTGTTGGTGCACATTAAATCACTGCTGCATTAGCCTTTCTTTTTAAACTTTTGTATCTACCTCACATTGTTCAAGACCATACATATATTTTAACTCAAAGCTATATCTTCTAATGCTCGTTTCATTCATGAATAAAGTACAGCTGGAACCAGATGTTTACAAACACATAAAAAGTAGGCACACTTTTGAAATAATTTTTCTATTTACAGATAGTGAAAACATGACATTTGAGATTAGTATAAGACATTACACTACTAAAAAAAAGCATTTTTAATTCAGAAATGTGGGCTTAGTGAAAGCGTGTGTAACACTTGCTTACAGGTTGTTGTTTTCAAAAGGTACTTTTAATCTGCAAAAGGACCTTATAAAATATTAATTCAATATAACTACATTTTCCAAAGCACAACAGTTCAGAAGCATAAGATGAGCACAGCGTAATGCCGTACTTCCATCCTTCACAGTTACAATAATTTCCTCAGGCTTGAACCGACGGTCATTACGGTGGAACACTTCAAATTTAATTTTGTCATAACACAGGGCAGGTCTTTGAAAAAGAAGCTCTTTCTCCCTGTCTGTAACCTGCATTTTTAAGTTGTTTTCAAATTAATGTCTTTGCTAAACGGCCTTTCAGCCCATGCTGATACAGGATTTGTTTCTTTGTTGATTACCTGCTTCAGCTAGCACCTTAACAAGCTCTTTTGCTTTTGTTGATATGCACATGTCAATCAAAACACAGTCATATGTGGGACACAGAACCCATTTCCTTCCTGAACATTATGGTGGCTTGGAAGTCCCAGGGAGTTTAAACTTGCATAATTGTTTGATAATTATTCAGATAATTCAGGTTCACAACTACTTTTCTGATATTTTGGAGGATTTCTTTAGATTTCCCAATGATGCCACACGAGAAGCGGCATGGCTGAGGCGAAGAAAGTGATAGTAATAAGAAAAAAATAATAATTTTGTCAGTCCTAATTGAAGTAAAACAGGAAACATTTGGACTGATATATTTCAATGAGGAAATATGTGCTTTTTATAAAGCGCATGTAAATATCTGGTTTCCACTGTAGTTAATGTAAGCAACTACTCAGCTTTAAATATTTGCCACAGGCATTACATGTCTTGGATTTTGTTTGCTTGTTTGTGTTTTTTATGCTTTTAAAGTGTGTTTTATAGGCCATTTAAAGTGCAGCTTTGCAATAAATATTTATTGAAAATAAAGAGAAAAGTTATTTCCCTTGATGCATCAAGAATTCAACAACTTCTTGATTTTTTTTTTCTTTGTTGACTTGTGACTCCACTCAGCTGGTGAGGGAGTTTGGGGTAATATTTCCTCATTATTTCTCGTCATCCTCCACTGGAGACCATGCTCCTCTGGAATATCCAATTTGACTTCCCTATTGTGGCAAAATGAATTGTTTATGGAGAAAAATAACCCTCTTGAAATCATTGTCTTTCTTTTATTTGTTTCTTCTTTGTGGTTTGATTGCACAGGCGAGGAGGTCTCCAGCTGTTAGACCATGTGCTCTTGAGGACACGTGCCAAAAAGCAGTTATTCTTTTATTGTACTCTAGTTTTGTAAGCTGGTGATTTTCTATAATTTTATTAATTGTTTTTTTGTTTTTTTTTTACTTTTTAGTACCACAAGAAAAATCTCCAGTGTCATTGTATAATTAACTCTTTATTTAGTTTCTTTTGTTGTTGCTTTTGTTTTAACTTTGTAATTTACTCCTTGTATGCTTATTTATACCTACTGAAAAAAAGTTTTTTGTTTTTTTTGTTTTTTTTATATTTTTTTTAAGTTTTAGTCAGTGCATTCTGTTTTGGAGTTGCTCTGATTTTTCAGAGTGTTTTTGATAGAGAATCTCCTCATGAATAGGTGTGTGTTATACATTTGTAGCGCATGAATTTATGCGCTAAGCATGTTAGCATGAATTCATGGTTGTTGCTGTCAATTCTGTTTTTGATCGGGTACATGGAGGTGTACAGGTGCAGTCTTGTCAATCAACAATGAAACAGTATTATATGTCAATATCTCCATTTTTTTGTACTTTGTCCATTAGTGGTCCTGGAAACAATTTGTTTTCAACCAAGCCCAGTGTGACACTTTCGATTTCATCATGGTGCACCAATCCAAGGTGGCACCCAAGCTTATTGCTTTGTGTGCTATTCAGTAAATTTTTTTCATTTTGCTTAAGGTACAGTCCACTTTTCTCCATGCAACGTCTCCTCCCTGAATGAATGCCCCCGGCTCTGTGAGTGTTAGAAGAACTCTCATTATTGCAGGGATGTGTGGACAGCCCCGCTTTCTTTGAGATTCCGTTTTGGAGCATTCATGAGCCTTTTCTTCTGAGATTTTCTCTGACATGTAAGCGTTGAAGCGTTTCCCCTTTGGGCCAGGCAGCGAGATGCTTGATACTCCTGTCAATGCTTCTGACGCACTCTATGCAACTGCTGGTCGTGAGACTCCATTACTTTAAGTGCCTCATGGGGAAATATTGTTGTGGCCCCTTGCCTTTTTACTTGGTATGCAGCTGTTCTTAGCTGTGAAGACTTACCCACTTTGCATGCAGAGAAAAGCTTTTAAAGGATGATTGTGTGTTTTTTGCTATTAACACCAACATTGCCTGGTCTGCCTTTAATGTTTTTTTGGAGGGTTTTTTCAACTTTGTCTTAACACGCTTGTGGAAATGCACTGGTCTGAAATTTGGTCAATTTTCAAACCTCATAGAAATCAAATTATTATTTATGTTTAAGCACAATATAACAGCATTCAAAATAGTTTTATCTAGCTTTCTTGGAATGTATTTTTATGTATATTCAAAGCATATACAACATCTGTGTGAGTCAGAAAAGAGCTGCTGTAACACATGGTTTTATTATTAGAGTGCTATGAAAAAGTATGTTTCCCCTTAGAGATTTCTTTTAGTTTTGCATTTTGTTTCAGGTAATTGCATGAGATGATCAAACAATTTTAATACCAGATAAAAAACATCTGAGTAAAAACAAAAAGTCATTTTTCAAAGGATGATTTAATTTATTAAAGGCAGAGAGCTTGTCAAGTCAAGCCTGCCTGCACTATCAATGGCAGCAAGAACTGCCAAAAAGCTTTTTTATTAAAGCTGCCGTAGCCGTAGGTAACGTTTATAAAGAAAATATTTTTTTTTTGAATATTTGTTAAATCTGTCACTATGTTGTGACAGCATAATATGAGACAAACAACCTATGAAAAAAAATTCAAACTTCTCTGTATTATTCCCTCTGCCATCTGCATGAGTACACTGCTCCCGGTCACCAACCAATCAGATCCAGGAGGAGGGTCTTAGCATTGGATTTTTGAGCAATGCATATAACTACCAAAATGACCACAGTCACCAGGCAAAAGATAGATCAAGCTGAAAATCATCTGAATCCAGTCACCATCCAGTTTCCCTGTGCATCTCCACATATTTTGCATGGGTTTGTGAAGAATTTATTTGTTTAACAAACAATAAGTGTCTTCTACAGTTATTACCACTATTTTTTAAAAGATGTAAAGATATCTTTAAGAAGTAGCTAGCTACAGATATTCTTTCAATATCAAAGTCATCTTTCATTAAAGAAGCATAATTAAATTAAAAAATATTTCAGTTTTCTTGTTTTTCCTCCCTCACCATCCTTCTCACTGTACTTGGTGGCAAGATAAACTTGGAGTGCATCATTTCATTTTGCTTTGACTCAGGCCAACTATATTTATTTTACAAATAAACAAAGGGTTTTTTTTTTATCAACATGGAATTTCTTGCTTCTGAAGAAATTATTGGGTAAATATTGGGTTTTTCTGATGTGTGACATCACACTAAAGACAATTACACCATATTAAAAGATGGTGTAATTTTATTGCTTCTTAAACATCTACTGTTTCCAATAAAAGTGGTCAATGCTGTAGAGTCATTAAAAAGAGACAAGCACAATTTAGATGGTCAACAGGGATTTTTCTAATTTTAACAGTTTTTGTGTGTGTATTTTTGTTTTTGCTTGTTTTTTATTCGCCCACCTCTCTCCAAAATCAGAGCACCTGCAGAGACCCACATATTTGATGACTGGTTGAAATAATCCTCTTTACTCTCCTCTCAAGTCTTGAAAGACATGTTCTTGTGATCCTGTCATTGTCCATGACGCTCTTCAAGGAACTAACCTGCTGTTGAATTGTTTGAGGATTTCTGTTTTGACAATATGTCAGCACATCTTTTATTATTTAAAGTTGTAACACTGAAAAAAGGGGTTCTCGGCTGTCAACATTTATAGACTGAAGCTGTGTCCCTCAGACAAACACAGGACTCAACAGATGTCTGACATTTTTGTCCTGCTAGCAGTATTTAAGATGATACAATGTCTTGGTTCCTTGCCAGATAAAAAGGTTGCACAATGTGTTGCCATGTTGACACTTTAACATGCTGTGGCATTTGTTCTAATTTTTCTAACTGTACTGCGTACATTATATAAATGATAGTTTTTTTAGTATTTATTCGGGTTATTGTATATGTGTGTCTCCTCAGGATACCGGGGTCAGAAAGGAGAACGAGGACAGTTTGGTCTGGGCTTACCAGGAGATCCAGGACCCACTGGGCCACCAGGTGAGAAAGAAACATAGAAGGCCTTTTGATTTGAATGCTGATTGTATTGAAAAACCTGACCTCTTCCCTTCCCCTTGCCCACCACTAACGCCCCACTTGTTTAAAACGTTTGCAACAGTTGGCAACTCTCAACAATTTTTGTGAAAAACAAAACTGTGACAAATAAGGACATGGACTTATAGCGAAGTTGTGCCCACTCACACTGAGCTAGATGATAAGTATGGCAAAAACACTCCTCGATTTTTAAGGTATAATGTCCATAAAGGTCATATATATGAATGATACTTTGGGCATCAAGTACCTCATTGTTACCTCTCTGAAATACCACTATATTTTAAATAAATTGTTCTTGCCATTTGCCAGAAAACTAAAATATATTGTTTCTCAGAAGGGTAATAAACCAAGTTATAAATGGCCATAAGATCGATCTCCCTTAATGAAGTAAAATGTTACAGAAGAAGATTAAGCATTGTACTATTGGCAAACAAGCCAATTAAAAGTAATAAGAACAGTGCCAGTGCCAGTAATTGTGGAAAAAAAAAAAAAAAAAAACATCTGATAATTTTTGCCTCACTACAGAAATTTGCTGAAATTAAAGATTTGAACTTTGTGACATGATGGTGCTGCAGTTAATTTTCTTTTTATCTACCTGTATTAATCATTTGGTTTTGGCAAGTGCAACATAAGAGTTTGTTTTTTGCAATCAGAATATTTTTCATTAATCCTTAGAAAAACAGGTGAACATGATGTTCTTCATACTGGCATTAATAATTTAAGTTAAACAGGACAGGCCGTTATCTGTAATGTTGATTAATTTTTACATTAAAAATTAAAAGCAGTCATAGACCCAGGATATTGACATAGCCAAACTATTACCAATCATCCTAAAAACAAATAAATAAAATCATAATATTTACAATTTCCCTCTATCAGAGTTTGAATTTTCCCTGACAGCTATTTTATGGTCATTTCAGCACTTACATAAAGTAAAATATGTGGAGAAAAATGTAAGAGCACTTTTCTGAGCTGCCATCTTTAGGTCAGATTGACCGGTTATTGCACTGACAGCTATTTCCCTTCCACATTTGCTATTTTTTTAAAATCAGTTTTCTTACATAGTTGCTGAAAGGAAGGAAATGCATTAGACTTATGTCAAACTAACACCTCACAGCTTTTTAAGCCATCATTTGTTATCTTCATCTTGGTGGCAAAAATGCAGCCCCCAGACTGCATTCTTTTTGTTAAACCCTCATGCTGCTTTGACAAAAAAATAAAAAAAGAAATGCCCCCCAGAGAAGAGAAATTTCTGCAGTAATGGAAAATGGCATCTGTTCTGAAAACTAAAATCCTATCGTGCCATCTCCCTGAACAAAAAGACCAAGCCATGGTGTTGGCATATCCTCCTGCTGGTTTGAGAAGTGGGATTACTTCACTTACTTCAAGCCCGTGACAGCAGGAGTTTATCATTGAACTTGAAGTCACTCATGCAATCTGTGCATAATGTATGTGCGGGGGCAAAGGAAAGTTGGCTGTAGCTCTGCTGGAGAGGATAAATCACAGCTGTTGAAAGAAATCATCTCTAGAGGTGCTCGGTTATGGGATGCACCTGCGGCATAACTGGTGGGGGTTAGACTTAAGCCGTAGTTGTGTCTTGGAAAAAAATCTGAAAGTTCTTCAAACTGACTGATGTGAATACAGGTCCACAGACTTCTGTTTTTTTTGTTTTTTTTTTGTTGGGGTCGGGGGGGGTTTCTTCCATACCTTTAGATTTACAAGTTTCCTGTAGACGACAGCAGAAGATTTTTTTCTTTCAGCCAAAATTTCTTCCACCTTGCCATCTTGATCAAAGATATCCGGTATCCTTGGCATCTGCTCAGAGCTGGTTTCCCTTGGAGTCTAAAGGCTGGGATCCGCTCCATGCTGGAGATTCACCCAGCTGTTGTATCAGTTCAAATGCTGAGAACTAAAAATTCTCATGTTGGGCTGCAAGGTCTGTGCTTTGAAAGTGGAAAGATTAATATAGGAGCAAAGATGACTCCAGTGCATTAAACTGAAAAAGATTAAGTTAACATGACCACATGTTCTATCTGTAGTCTTTGTTCTTATGTCCACAAGTGAAACATTTGTTTGGAGTTGCTAATTTGTAGTTTTAACCCTGCTGCCCAAGTGCAGAGATTTAACACACACCTCTTTTCTCCTACAGTCTGTGTTAACAGTTACCAAATCACTTTGTTTGTGTGAGCGGTTAAGCTGTGGACGGCTGTGGCAGTGATGGAAGGGGCAAGCTGTGTTATCACACTGAAGTAAAGGCCAAGCAGGTCTCTTTGTTCAAAGTGAGCAGGCCTTTGTTGAGCTGTCACTGCTCTGAGTGATGTAATGGAGAGTCCTTTGGGAGGCCTGAAGCAAAGGAGGTCTCTTTTTTTAGGCTTATCGAGATCTGTTTAAAAGACAGTGTTAACGCTGGCCACAGTATCTGATGACCAGAATATAAACAGTGCGAAAAAGACCGTAAATGAAAAGTCACAGGCACTGTGACACAGATGTTGTGAACATTTCCAAAGTCACTTCGGAACATAATGATCCATGACTTCATTTCCAAACAAACCAGTGAAACTTTTCCTTCTTTGTAAATAAAAGGATTATGACAAATTACAGGTATTAAAAGCAAACAGTCCAACTAGGCATGTCAAAAAAAACATTGAGTAAATAGTATTGTTTTCAGAATATTACCATTTTTACACAAGTATGCATGACATATAATTGGTCTAATCCAATTGCTTGTGTTAAATCAGAAAAGCGAAAGGTATTTGTACTGAGGGTAAGACAATATAACAAACTGATCACTATAAGAGATTTAATCAGGATTTCTTTCCCTCTAAATCAATTTGAGTCATTTAAAAAGTCACAGTTTGATACTGTATTATGATTAATGAAAGCAATGGTTTGTTTATGGGTGAAAATTCAGAAAATTTTAAGTGCGGTGAAATACCACACTGCATTTATTTAGTTTTGTTGCGTCATAGTTTTATTTGTTGTCCGTCCGAATGTCCTCCTAGCCTTCCTTCCTTTGCTCCTTTCCATATTTGTTTATTTTCCATTGGTCCTTCCTTCAGTCCTTTCTTTCTCATTTGTTATCTTGTTTATTCTGTCCATGTTGTCCTCAGGTTGTTTCTTTCTTCAGAACTTCTTTGTTGATTCCTCTTCCTTCATTTCATCATTCTGTCCTTCATTTGTTCTTTTGTTTGCTTGCTGTTTCCTCTCTTATGTCCTTTTTTTCTTCCATCCTCCATTCCTTCCTTCTTTATGGTCCTGTCTTTACATTGTTTCTTCCTTACAGACTTCATTCCTTTCAGCTCCTTTTTCTTCTCCTCTTTCTTTCTGTCTATGGTTTTTCAGAGATTTTAAGATCATCAAAAATAATTATTGTCCTTTTTGTGATTATTAGTCAGTCTGATATCACTGCATTAATATCAGACTGATATTAAATTAAATTAAATTAAATTATGTCCCTACAATTTCAATTGGATTTCAAAGCATCTTGTTCTGCTGAGGTAAAACCATGATTCTGATATTTTATGACTTTGAGATTTACAAGCGCTCCATCTTGATCAAAGACCTAACTTCATGTTGTTCATATCTCACTTTATCATTTAAACAGCTTGGAAATAATCAAACTTTAGAAAGGGCTTCTGATGTGTGGACCTTCCTATCATTTACCCTAATTTCCCTGAGTAAAAGTGTGGCTAGCACACAAAAACTGGCTCTGATCCAGGAAACCTCAGACTCCGAAGTTTGACATTTCACGAACATGAGGCAGTGTGATAACATCAGGCTTGTCTGAGGAGTTTTGAGGCTAAGTCAGTTCTTCTGCTTCTTCTTTCCTTCTTAAGAATCTCCTGATCTGCTTTTGTGGGGGTGATTTGAGGCCATGTCTTTCAAGTGCCAGTAAAATGTCAGAGTCTTTATGGCTTTGTGCCCTCTCCTGCCCTCCTAAATCCTTAGAAATGCTCTGCTTGCAGTTTACACGCAGAGCATTTCTAAGCAGAACATGGTACTTCTGATTACTCGCTGCATATAATTAGATAATTACGGTTTGTATGAAGGAAATCATGATTTTGCCACACTTCAGATTAGCTGTCAATGGAAAGCTCTTCCTAGCACTGATAAGGTGTAGCCTATTTCAGTAATTAACAACATTCTCTCTCAAGGGCCACCTGGGATCCCTTCACAAGGCCCCCCTGGCTCTCCTGGGCCTCGCGGACCTCCAGGGACTTGTGACCCGAATGACTGCATTCTTCCTACCTTGTAAGCAGAGAGCAGGAGTGTCAAATGGTATGGTGTGCTCCGAGGACGTTTGTCATCCATGATCTCCAAGCTGCAGCCACAGAGCAAAAAAAAAAGAATGACCTCACTGTGTCTGACAGCTTCTACAGTTCTGCTGTATCAAATGGACTCAAAACTGACCTCTTTTGTTCACTTCACAATAACATTTGGGTGCTGTGGGTGTTTTTCTTTTTCTAGGTGTGCTGTTGTGTTTTGTTTTGAATGCAGCTGAAAACCTTTTGCAGTGCTGTACTTTGAAGTACTTTTCTTGTCTTTCCAATTCTTACTGTGATGCAATGCATTCCTTATCAAAAGAAGTTGTCTTTCAAGACCTAGAGATAACTGTTTCATCAGGTTCAGCCCAGGCTGAATAACCTTAATAATTATTTGTTTGCCTCTTTAACGGGCTTGTCGATGCACTCTTCAATTCTTACTCGGTTAAACTGGCTGTAGGTAAGTCTAATTTTTAGCTGTTTATGTGTGAGAGAGAGAGAAAGATCAACTGAGTGAATGTACGTATTTTTCAGCAAATGTAAGTAAAATGACTTCCTCTGTAACTAAAGCAGCCAGTTTGTCTGATATGGAAATTATTTATTTTAAGTGTGCTCCTTAAGAATGTATTTAAAAGATCATACTAGTCAGCTATACATGTAGCATGGAAAACATGTCATTTTGTTAGTAATTAAATTATAAAGACATGAGGTAATACAAGTTTTAGTTGCTGATAAGTTTCAATGTTTCTGTTTCTTTGAATTGATGAGGTGTTTGTGTTTTTTCTTAAGAATCTATGGTTAAACTATAGCTGAAGACCGCTTCCCATTTTCTGTAAGTCATTACTTAGCACTTATTAAGTTGCCAAAGCATTTTTTTTAAACGCACATACACATTTTGAATACAAGCAAAGAATTAAGGACAGATTTATGTTATTACATTAAACTATTTTTGGGACTTGTTTTTGAATTTGGTTTTCTTAGAGATATTTCTCATTACCTGATGAAGTAAGGTGTAATATTTTTATGAATAAATTATAAATCCTGAGAGTGGTTGAGGCTAGTAGCAAAAAATTTTATTTTTCAAGTGGTTTCCAAAATGTAAATGCAAGATGTGAACTGAAAATGTTTTGAATGAATGAGAGAAAAGGTTTCAAAACACTCAAATAAAACGTAAGCTGGAACAACTTACGTTTGGACTAAAAAAAGAGTCTTTAGTCAGAATGTCAACATTCTTGCCACCTGCTGGCCCAGCATAAGCATCACAATGTTTTTCATTGGAATCCAAAAGACAACAGGAAAAACACCAGTTTGAAAAATATCCAGAGCAGTTTCCTTGACAACTCGGCTGAATATGTTTCCATTCATTGCTTTCAATGCTAGATTAGCAAATAATACATGTTTCCACTTCCACAAGAAAAAAATCTGTGGTGATTTTTATAGCCAAAACTCCTTCATGTTTCTACACAAACGTTAATAAAGTGACATCAGACTTTCCAGCATTTTCCAACCCTTTCACAGACATTTTACAATGAAATCAGTCATTTTCATTCATGGCAAGCACAACAGCAGCCCTGGGGCAGTCTGACAGAAAGCAAGGATGGCATTTTGTACTATCAGCCCTTCTGACAAGACAGGTGAAGTGTCTTGCCCAAGGACACAAAGACAGAGGCAGGTGAAGTGGGAATCAAACCAATGGCCTACCGACTGCAGAGCAAACTCCCAACACTGTCACCCCAAACAACATAACAATGCAAAGGTTGGCCACTGATTTTGACTCTGCCACTTTGTTTTCCAAAGAACTGAGAGACCTTAAAAGGAACCTATTCTCACCAATGCTGTTGCACAAATCACAGCGCGACACGCTATCCAAATCCTCAATCCGCTCCTGGCAGACTGTTGAGTCACGGCTGATCAAGTGAATGAAAGCTTGCAGGTAATCATTATAACTTTGAAATACGAAAACTGAATTTGTTGAAATAAGAGGGCGACAAATTTAACATTAGGTTCCCAGAAGTTATTCAGTTCTGATTTGCAGAAATCTCATCTTATTAGCAGTTAGCCTTCAACCACTCGAAGGTATTCCATTCACTTTTTTATAAACACTGAGATGGCCTTTTTCAAATCAGCCCCTACGATCCCTTTAAAGGCAGATTCTTCCGCAAAAAAGAATGTACTTTGAAATAATGTCTGTTTTCAATTAATGTAGCTCCTCATTTACTCTGTACTTTGTTTTCAACTGTAAGTATCTTTCATATGCTTTATTTTAACTTTTTCTTCTAAGTCTAACTCTTCTAGTCTTGAAAAGGGACCTGACAATATAACTTTAAAAGCCGGCTGTCTCTGTAACGACACTTCAAGGTTATCACTTGTCAATCATACATTGCTGCAACTGCACAAAAATGTGTTGCATCTGAGATTATTATTCACATATGCCGTTTACACAGTGTCACGAATGATGATTCCTCTGGTTTGAGGGTGAATAATTTAACTTTATGACTACAAAGGAAATCGGACTACCACACCACAGCTAACGGACGGTTATTTTCGGTTTGGAGGAGACGTTTTACTCGTGAATGTACTTGAACTGTCTCAGCTGCTTCTACATCCAGGTTTTCCAGTTACTAACAAGCACTGTGTGTCACCATAAATTGTCTGGCTTTTGATTGCTTTAAGGCTTTTGTTTTGCTGTATTTATTTATTTTTGTTTTTTTTCTGAATTAGTTTAATGCTAATTTTTTTGTTTGTTTGTTTTGTTTTTTTATGGTTTGAGATGATAGTATCCAAACAGACCACTCTAATTTCTAGAAACTCCTTTGATCATCTGCAAACACTTTCTTCCTCTCATCCCTTGATTTGAATTTATATCCCATTAGCAAAGATTGAAGTTGCTAACTTGCTTATTTTACTTAAATTCTGTTAGTCAACACATATTAAACAGCAAAGTGGTAACGACATTGTTGAATGTATATGATTAATATTAAGCTGTCATTTTCAGTTATTTTTAATGAGGGGTTTGACTGAAAAGCTTTATTTTTTTATTTTTTATTTTTTAGTTTGGCTTCAATTAAATGTTAAAAAGGTTAGTGCTCTTTTGTGTGTTTTTATTTCATATGAGATCCTTTTAATTCCTTTTTTCTGTCTTTGCTTTTACTTGTCTCAAGTCATTGACGTTATGTTTTTCTCTTCCAGTCACACATAACTCAAATGCTGCAGAACAATTATTTTTTTATGATGTCAGCTTGGTTTTATCAGTGGAAGGGAGTCTAATTTTAGAAATAAAGTGTCAAGCTGATTTTATTTGTGAGTAAAAGGAGACCCCTGCTGGACGTGTTTGGATTTCCATCCACCTTTTAATCTACAAGGGAAACCCATCTTTGGGTTTTGGGGCACTTGAATTCCCCTTCCTTCTACCTAATCTTGTCCTTTCATCTTTGTAATTTTCATATTTAGTTTATGGGCTCCCACCAGAGACAATTATGCTGATCTTGATGAGATTCAAATGAGACAGCACCAGCAGATTAATGTCATCTAAACTTTTTTCTGCAGTGTACTGCTGAGAGCAACTCCCACTGCCTATTGAATTTAGCATGAATTGTCATTAATATGCTCCACTTTGCTACTTCCATTTATCCAAACAGTGTGATAAGAAGGGAGGACGTTAATGTCACAGCTCACTTCGCTACAAATTCATGCTATTATCCATCACACCAAGTTAAGCTCAATTTATTCTAAGTGGAAATTGTCTGATGGAGGCAAAATCAAAGGAGCAGCTTCCTTTGAGAATGTATCTAAACAAAAGCTTGCTAAATAATGTAAAATTTGCTCAAGATAATGAACCTCAGATGTCCACGTATTTCATCATTGCTTGTGTTTAGCTGTAATGTAAGGTGATCCTGTTGCCACGTGTAATCTAATCTTGTGAGCAAGCTTGTAATGAGGGAAAATATGGATCAGCCTCGCAGCGAGGACCCTCAAGATTAAAAGCGCCTACCTGCTGCTCTCGCTGAAACGCCCCTTTCCTCTCGCATAAGTTTGTGTCATGCTGTGTGACTTTAACTTTTTTTTTCTTTTTTTTTAAGTTTTTGTTCAGTTAAATAACTACCTCATTCTTGGTTTATCGCATGTCTATGTGATCAGGAAAAAAAATTAGCTGAAATATTCCCTGGGAAAAATGGGAAAACTCTCATGTGTTTATGCAAGAAAAAACTGTTGGATTTATGTCAATGTCAGTGTGAGTTCACTGATTAACAAAAGAAAGTAACTGTGGTTACCAGGTATCAGAGGTTGTATTTTACTCTTTGCAGAATCTTTCATTTACAGTGCATCTATTAATGCCATCTGCCTTTCTGTGTGCAATAAATGTTCTCAAGTGCTTTATATTTTGCCCTGGGTTTTATTTTAGTTGTTCCTTCAGAAAGTCTATCTTATTTACACCTTTATGTGGCCTAAAATGTGTTTGAGGCTCTTAAGTATATATTATCTGTGGTTTCCTTGTGGCATAAACAGAACAAAAACAAAGCCTGAATGCTTTAAAATGTGTCTATTTTTTACCGTTGTTTGATATATTAATTGAATAATATTTTGGGGGAACTTAGTAGAGACTTGGTTGTTGTTGTATTAGAATCATTTAGTCTTTTTTTTGCAGTATTTGAATTAAAATAGACATCTAGATAGACAAACTCATTTTAACACTGTTCATTTTCACATCTGTGATCCAAAACTTCTACATGCTGCATAAGATTAAGTTTAATATCTGAAATTTGTGAGAAACATTCATGACTCATTATCTTGTGTTTCAAATCAGATAAATAATTTTTAAACACATTTTCATCACAAAGACTCACAAGTCATATCCATGAAAAACAGGTAAACATTATCATAACTCAATATTGATATACCATCTGTAAAGGCACCTTCAACAGTTATACCACACTAATTATAGAATAGGTTGTTTTCTTTATTTAAAAAATATAGTGTTGCTGCTTAATGGCAACACAGAACAACAATAATTTTTTTGCAAAAATAATTTAGGAGTGAACAAGTGAAGAAAAAAGACTGGTGAGAAAACCTTTTGCCCCAAGTTAATGAAACAATTGGAAACTTGGATTAAAAAGGAAGAATCAACTTAACCCTGAATGAAGCGGACATAACACAGTCTATGCTGTTCCAAAGTAAATGTTTGTGGAAATAAATCTTGCGTGTTTTTTTTTATTATTTTGATGTGTCATCCAATATTACAACACATTTGTAGATGTTCTGAGACAATGTTTAAAGTGGAACAGAATTTCTATCTGATATTCAAATGCTGTCAGATGTTTTTCGAGAGATTTTGTTACGAATGGCCATTCACCATTGCAGTGTATTACAGGAAGACTTTGAACAAAGTGCTTCTAAATCAAACATATGGTGCCAGTTTGTTAAGTCTCAAAGATAGTGTGCTCAGACAGTTTTTTTTCTGGGTTATGTCTCCCAGTTGTTATAGCATTTTAAGTAATAGATTTATTAATTCAAACTGCAGTTTCACATTTGCCATTACTTCTTTTGCCATTAGTGGCTGTTGTTTCATTGTAGCAATTCCCGAGTTTGTTGTTCTAAATGCAACATAATCAATCTCACTGGTTGTTTTTAGCTACAGCTACATTCTGGGCTGCCTTGTATATTTATGCTTTCTACAAATTTCTCATTCATGTAAAGAAATAATATTATTACAGGCTGGAACACAACCAAAAAGAATAAAACTTATGATGTATGCTCTTTAAGATGGGTTCTCTATTCCACATGTTTTAATCTGTCCATTCTATGAAGTGAACTGAAAGCCATAAAGCCACAAAACAATAAAACTGTAATATCCCTGAAGGATGGGAAAACATCTAGCTATATAACCTACAGCTGTAGGTCAAGGTTATTATCAACACATACGCGCACACAGTCTTAGACAAATGAAATAAATGACATCATAAGAGACATACTCATTCAGTGTTAAAGTACATTTTGAAGCATCAATCAACCTTACTTGCATGATTTTGAACTGTTGCAGGAAATCAAAACACAATACACATAAACCTGAGCCATTATTCATGAACTCACCATGCCAGTCCCAAAACAGGACACAGAGGCGTGTGTAGCGTTACAAGGTGTAAGGTCTGTGTTATGCTATAATTAAGGAGATGATGAGAAATAAAGCCCACTTTAAGAGAAACGATTCACAGATTCATGTTTGTGAATTGGCAAACAGATTCATGTTTGCCTTTCAAAGACAGGTTTGCTGATGACAATTTTTGTATTATCTCAGAACTATTTTATTTAAATTGTATCTGTATTCTTCATTTTAAATGCATTTTGAGATGCTTCTGAAAACATAAAGATTATCATTGTACCAAATAAATATATATTAAAAAAAAAAACTTCATGTGATATTGATTTGTTAGACTATTGCACATTTTTCTCACTGGCAAAATCTATTCTTATTCATGAACAGATGCATCCTGTTATTCTGTACAGTGAAGCAAAGTCTCACATCAGGAGTTTTTTTTTGTAGGAAATATAATTAACCACATTTAACAATGTTTTTACAAATTTACAAAATGTACTAACGTCAGTGTGACTTTAAGAGATTTTCAGCCTCTTTCTGTTTTATTTTCTCATAAAGCAGTCGGACAGGAAGTAAGACTTTTGGACTTTAACAGATTTGCCCTTGATCGTCCTTTGACAAAGACAACATCATAAGAGAAAATAATGCAAAATCACAATAGACTGATTGGCATTGGGGGGATTCTATGAGCTGTTCTGTGAGAAAGTGGAAAAGAAAACTCAAAATGGGGCGCATAAAGAGAGGATGGGATAAAAGGAAAATGGGATAAACAATATGGTGCTTTTCTCATCCATACAAGCACAATGAAATAAGCCCTTTTTTTTCACAACTCAAAGATGATGACTCCTTTTGATGGAGATGTTATTGGCAGGAAACATGCTCACACAAAGAGGTTATTGTATCAAAGACACCACCACAGCAACGACGGCCCCTGGGAGGACAGCGTGACAAATGCTGTGTGCTCGGGGAGATAATCCAGCAGTCTTTGTGTCTCTGCCAGAGTGGCTCTTAGTTCCCTGCAGGTCCCTTCACATCCAGAGACTGCTGGACAGCTCCTGCCTGGAGGTTGCAGGCTGACGGGTCACAATAGCCATTCGGGCCAGCTGGACCAGGAGGACCAGGCACGCCAGGCTGTCCTGGAACGCCAGGAGGTCCCCTCTGCCCATCCTGACCATCTTGACCATACCCAGGTTTCCCTGGCTCTCCTGTGATTACAAAATGGGTGAATTATACTTGCAGGTTCAACTTTAAAGAGACTATTAATTTGTACCTGGTCCAAATGTTTTTATGCCATCAATTAATTTGTTTTTTTTAATGATGTTTAGGATTCTGTGCTGCTATGCAAAAGTATAGCAGCATAGAATCCTAAACATTTGGCATAGCTCTACAAAATTACATTCGTTGTACTGAGTTTTAATGTGATAGAATATCACAAAGTAGTACGAATTTGTGAAGGAAAACTATATCAGCACTAACAATGGATTCAGACGATATTTGTCATCTTTTAAAATATCAGTATTGATCCAATAGATAAAGCTCGTTGCCATTTGGTTCTGGAGGGTGATGTTATGCATAAAGAAGTGAAATATATATCACATATATTTTGGTACATTTTGGCTATAGGCCATGATATCAGCTTTAAAATCGGAGATTAATATCAGCCAAAATTTTCACATTAATTCATCCCTAATTTCCAAATGTTTTCACTATCATTGTATAAAAATGTAAACAGGATGGTAACCCAACCCACCAAGAGAGCATTGAGCAGAGAGGCAGCCAAGAGGCTCCTGGTAACTCTGGAGGACCTGTTGAGGCCCACACTCAAAACTCTGGACGACTAATATGCAAGTCATTAAAAGTCTGATCTAAAGTGCAAAACCAAATTTTTTCACCTATATGGAAGATTTTATGTGGAGGACAGCAATACTTTCTAGTCCTCTGAAACATTAAATAGTGTCAGTATCATTCCTCAGAAGGGAAAGAGAGACTGGTCAGCTTTGCTGGGAAGATGGACACAACCAAATATAGGGCAGTCCTGAATCCTGGTGAGGTAGCAGGTCTGTCCACCCTCTGGCAGGACAACTGCCCTAATAGATGCCAGAGTTACAATGGCATGATTTGGATCAAAGCATATTCATATGCTAAAACCGGCCCAGTCAAAGTCCAGATCTAAATCTAATTAAGAATCTGGGGAAAGACATCAGATCAACATTCAAAGATCCAACCTGAGAGACCTGAACTGCAACGTCATAAATATATACTCACCTGGAACCCCAGGAGGTCCTGATTGGCCTTTAGGTCCTCGTACAGTGGGCCCTCTGGAACCTCTGTCTCCCATGTCACCTGCAACAGATTAGTGAAAGCAGTTGTACAAGTTGTTCCACTGTCTCCTGTCTCATCTGACCAAGTTTGACCCTTTAAAAGAGAACACAGCCAAAACATTTAGTACCTTTGGGACCTTTGTTTCCCATTGACCCTGGTGGTCCTTTGAGTCCTGGAAGGCCCCTTGCTCCAGCTTGCCCTGGAAAACCGTTGTCTCCTGGGGGACCTGGAGGCCCAGGAGGGCCAGGTTTTCCAGGTAAACCTGCAACGCCAGACTCTGGCCTCCTTAGACTAGCAGCTAACTGTGCAAGCTGCTCTATTGAGGAACAAAAGAAAGAAGACGATTATCAGCATGAAAGCTCATTCACAGCTCATACCTATGAAGGAATCTCTAAACACATAACATATTGTAATAAATAATGCAGGAAGCTCACATGGCTCATTTCTGACAGCTCAAAGGAATCATGTTGCAGAGATTATGTAATGTCTTCTGCATGTCTTGAACACTGAATTTAAGTGAGGTGAAACCTTGGTCATAATATCCCTTGGGTGCCTTCTGTTGTTTAGCTTTTTTTTTCTTTCTTTTTTTTTAAAAGCTTCACTAAGCTGAGCCAAACAGAAATAATGCTTTTCATTTACAGCTATACAAAACAGAAACTTTAAGCCCACAGTGCCAACAAACTAAAATTAATCTCCTGTAGCTTTTATCTTTTTATCTAGATTTCAGTTTTCTTGTGTCTGAAGAATTTTCATGCCACAGAAGCAGCTAGACTGCTCCTTTTCTTAAGATTTCCTGTCCAGGCTGACTTTGCTCGGAGCGGGGAAGAGTAGGTCTCCTGGAGGTGAGATTAATTTTTCAACATGGCGGGTATAAAAAAGTCATGAGAGCAGGAGATGAGTTGTGAAGATATAAGAACAGAAGAGTGAAGAGAGCAGATGTTGTGACTTCAGTGAAACATTTCGAAGGGCTCAGAGAAGGATGCTTTCATCCATCACATGAACAAAGACTGAAGCTTATTTTATGTTTTTGTTATAGGACCCTCTGGTTTTTTAACCACAGACCATCCAGCGACAGCCCTGATCAATGAAACAACACTTTAAGGTGGTAATGAGAAACATTACAGCCATGAAATGGGACACAAGGGAACAATAAATGGGGTCAAAAGCTTTGCTTTTCTTTTCTTTTCTTTTCTTACCTTGCATAACTCGCATGCAGACTTGCTTGATGTGCTGATCGCTTGGCTCCTTGCCCTATAAAGAAAAAATATTTTAATAGCTTTCATCTCAGTGCCTGACACATAAACTCCATGATGCCATTTGCTCATTTGCTTTAGCCGAAAGACAAAATGGGTGAAGAAAATGAATTATATTTCTCATTAATAAAATAAAAGGAATTCTTTTTGTCCCTGCATTTGAGGTAGAACTGTTGAAAACAAAACATTTAATGTGATTTTACACTTTTTAGCTGATTCTGGTAAGAAGGCATGCAGGTTTTTTGTTTGGTTTGTAAAGCCAAACAAGAGTCGATTCACTTTAAGCAAAGTTTGACATAATCCCTGTTGTTTCAAACTACCTGATTGTACGTGTTCAGAATTTGCCCCAGTTCTTTTCCAGATGTGAAAAGGACTTCTATCCTGACGTTTTATTTCTAGTTTTATATTCTGGTGAAGGATGAAAGTGGACCGATAGGAGCGATAATTCCCAAACACTGTTCATCATGTCACAGGTACTTTACAGAAGGTGCCAGAGTTCCAATTTTTTTGTGAATCATTGAGGAGATTGGAACTATTCTTCAAATATTGTTCTATAAGTTCAACTCTTCGCTCTTTTCTGGTTTTAATGTATGTTTGACCTGCTGGTTCCAACTTAATTTGATTTGTATCAAACTCAGAAAAGTGTTGATTGATGTTTTTATAGACTGAAATTGGTGGAGCTTCTTAGATGTGATGCATTTAATGAACAGGGAGCAGCAGTAGCTTAAAACTAGTTTAATGGAGCTTCATTGGAGGCAAACAGTGTCGTGTTTCCTCTGAAGTTATATAAACGTCTTTGGGTATCTGTAAATCTCATTTCACTTTAGGCTCGTTTGTTGAGGCCTGTAAAATTAATTAAGGAGATCAAGTTTAAATTTTTCTTTTTAATTAATGCTCATTAAGATTTTCTGTGAAAAGTAAAAGTAGCTTTAGGTTACAAGTGGTGATACAGATTGTGATTTTCTTAATTCTTCTCTTGTGAGCAAATGTAATAAAAAATCATCTGTTCACTAAATCACCCTTATCTGGATATCAACCTCTGACATCTTAATATTATGTTTAGTAACCCCTGGTTTAAAAGTAAAAAACATAATTAAATCCAAAAATTGTTTCTACAGAGGAAAATTCCTTATTTCATCCTCCACATTTACTGGCACCCTTCTTAAAGATGCATAAACATCTTAAAAATGATAGTTGAAATTTTCATTTGATCATATTTAAGATAAAAACTATTTTATTAGATAAATAGGATAACCATAAAGTTTAATTCAGAATCAGAAAAGCAATGAGGAAGAATGAAACTCAGACATCGTCCAGGCTTCAACACTGTGGTCTTTGACACTTTTCTGAGGGGGCTGACACATAATCATGTTTTAGGTTATTTTCTAGATTACTTGTGTTTTCTGTTTCTGACCTACCGCAGGCCCTTGAGACCCCCGGATCCCACGTGGACCTCTGTTTCCCTGCATGCCTCGTGGTCCAGGTGTGCCAGGTGGGCCCTCAATGCCAGGCTGGCCTCGACTTCCTTCAGGACCCCTTTTGCCAGGTTCACCAGGAATACCAGCCTGTGAGTAAATTATTTAATCACCATACAAATATTACAAAAGTGCTAAGCTTTATTGGCATTTATAGAAACAGGGACCCACCTGTCCTTTTGGTCCAGATTCCCCAGCATCTCCCTAAGACATCATTGAAATTTAATAATGTGCTCTGGTGCAACTAAAGAAATAAATAAATTCTGATTGTTGTTAGCAGTCAGGTAAGCACTTACAAGTTCCCCTCTCTCTCCAGGATTTCCCTCATCACCTTGAGCCCCCTATCAAAACAAAGCCTGTGTATTAATTTATGTAAAACAGACCACTTTTATTTTTCAAACACCTTATTGCTGGCATTGATGTGTTTTGTACTTGTTCTCCTTTGGGTCCTGCTTCTCCACGCTCACCCTGTAATTAACACACAGACCAACCAAAATGCAAAAGTGAAAATTCAAAACATAAGGCTTTGTTTATGTTTGTATATGTTGTGATTCATCAACTGGTGTTATGCAAATATTTCTTCATGTCATACCCTTTCTCCCTTCACCCCAGGCAGGCCTGGAGGCCCTGGAAGACCAGGAAGACCAGGATCACCTTTCGGTCCCTTTAATTAAAAAAATAAAACAAACAAAGAAATAAAACATAAACATCTAATGAACAGAAAGACATCAGCAGGATTTGAAATATTGCAATAAATGGCTGGATTATTATGACGAACCATCATTCATGCTGAAACTGCTTCAACAACCCAACATAAGGGTGAAGTTTGTTTTTGTGTCAGTTACAGGAGCCCAGGGTGAACATTATTTTAAACTATGGAATCAGGATTTTCTCAGGTATGTTTCTGTGTCGCTCAGCCTTTGATCTCCCAGCAACAGAGGAATGCAGAGGAGACAGAGAGCTCTTTCAGCCTGCTGCTTAGTCTCCCCTTACTGTGAAAATAGACCTCAAGTGAGATCCAGTCTTAGAGTATTCTCCTAGAAATTCCAGAGAAACAATGACAGACTCCCAACATTTTCCTCTTGTAAACTTCCTTCATTTAAGGCAGGGGTGTCAAACTCCAGTTCTCAAGGGCCACTGTCCTGCAGTTTTTCGATGTGCCACAGGTACAAAACACTGGAATGAAATGGCTTAATTACCTCCCCCTTGTTCTCCAGAGCCTTGCTAATGACCTAATTATTCTATTCAGGTGTGGTGCAGCAGAGGCACATCTAAAAGTTGCAGGACACCGGCCCTTGAGGACAGGAGTTTGACATCCCTGATTTAAGGTACCAGGAATGTGTGAGATAAATGCTCTCACAGTGTTAAGAGTCTTTCTATGTTTTTTATTTAGCATCAGTTATTGTATAGTCCTTTTTATTGAAGAATGTTGCAAGAATGTTGAAAAGTCAAGACGAAGCCACATATATACACATTAAGCTGATGTAGAATTTATTACATTTTATCAATCTAGATATGCATTCATGTTCTTCTATTTGTATTTTATGACTTACCCTTGCACCTGGCTTGCCAGCTGGACCTACAGGACCTTGCTCTCCAGGATTGCCCTAAGAGTAAAATGAAAACACAATGAAGAGGTCAAGGGAACTTAAGTTCAATGCATGAGAAAAAATCATATGTATTAGCTCCACTCCATTCTGTTTTACTATAGCCAGGTCAAAATGAAATCCACTAATATGTCCAAAGATTTGGCTGTATTTTTGTCCCATTTAAACTTTTCAGATAATCAAACATTAAAACATTTTAGACCTTGATCACCAGAGCAGATAACCAAGATGATGTATATTTCCAATAACGATTACTCTTACTTTACTGTGAAGGATCTTTGGCCCGTTACTGTTTGTTGATTTGTTTCTATTCAGCTGCATTAGATGGCTTTGAACATGAACATGTTTAAGATCAGGCCACAGATTTTCAGTTAGATTTTTAGTCGATACTTTGAGTTGATGGATTTTCTGAAGAAGATTGTTCTTCACCCTAATTAAATTCAAGCTTAATAGATGACCTTTTTTACACACTTTCTTTACTACTGTTGAATCACAAACATTAATGAGCACTGAACTTGAACACTGATCTTAAATTATTTATGCCATGTTTTAAATGTCACACAAGTGTATGTATGGTTCTTACTGTAATTGTAAGGCACTTTTATACTGTAGTCCTATGAGCGAGCTATGTTCAATATGGACATAGCTCACCTAATTTCGTCTTTACGTGTTTTTTTTTTTTTTTTTTGTGATGTCCTGCATGGGGTTTTGAACTAAGTTTTGATAGGCTAGCTTTGGCTTGGTGACCATTGATAAACATCACTGTCTGTCTTATCTGTTACTGAATTTATTTTATTTGGATTTTATCCAAGAGATTTGTTGACTGTCCCAGTCTGAACCAAATTAATTTGTGATTCAAGGGGGGTTTAGTTTGGATAACTTTTTTTGCTCTTAATAAAACAAATCTTCATTGGAAAACTGCTTTTTCTATTAATTTGGGTTATAAAAAGCACCCTGGTGAAAACATGTGTTTTAAACTAAACACATTGTTATGTATGTTTAGTTTAAAACATGTATTTTGAGAACATTGTTATGATCTCAAACTAAACTAAACATGTTATGATCTGAAACATGCAAGTGTGATCAATAAAACAATAAGTAGGCAAAAGGTTTTCAGTCCAAAGAAGCTCTTCTGATTTCATCAAGTCCTTGACAAAATGCTTAAAGCTGAATCAGGAAGAAACACTCACAGGCTCCCCGATGGGTCCGATGGGTCCCACTTCTCCCTGTTCTCCCCTTTCACCCTGTGGTGTAACAGTAAAATTATGCAAAAAAGACTCTAACCATGCTGAAGTTTCAGAATCTTTCTGTTCACACTTACTTGTTTTCCAGCAGATCCCAATGTCCCTGGAAACCCAGGCTTCCCAGAATCTCCCTGATTGGAAATAAAGAAATCAGCATTCATCTTTTTGATGACAAAAAAAAGTGATCATTGATATTAATTGATAGAGCAATTAACCTTCGGCCCACTCAAGCCTTTTAGTCCAGGTGTTCCAGGCAAACCCTGAAAAAAAGCATGTTGTGAAATTTTCCAAAATTTAATTTTAGCCTAATAAGAGAGATGAATAGTATATCACATAACAGATGACATTAAATGAAAAATAACCTATGTTTGGTGTCTCTTTTGGCCTTCAAAATGTTTTGTAAAATATTTGCAGTAGATTATATTAAATGGCATTGTAGTAAATGGGGTTCCAAACAAATTCACACCATTAGTTGTGAATTTGTTCTGAATACACACTTAGACCTTCTTACTACTTTCTCATGTTTGACAGTCAATATAAAAATCCAAGTAAAAAAAAAAATTACTTAAACTTCTGAAAAGAATTACATTTCACTGCTTTTGCAAAGAGATGCTAATTAAAATCATTAATCAGGTTGTTTCTGTCAGCTGTGTTATGAACTGATAGCCATTATTTCCTTGTATCAGACAAATCAAAAGGCACTGACTATTTTTCTGTATCATCTCAGAGACTCTGAAACCTCTGCTATTCAAAAATGTAAGAAGCAAAAGCATTTATTAGGGAGATTTAAGTCACTCCAAGGCAGGAAGCAAACTGAGTCCTGCTGTGCAGAAACCATGATCTTCGATGCTTTAAAGTGCACCAAAAAAGTTCACTCAGTTTCAGTCCAATTACAGTCAGCCAGAACAGTTTGAGGTCAAGGGTCATACTCACAGGAAGCCCCTGAAGTCCAATATCTCCAGGAACTCCTGGCTTGCCGATGTTTCCCTGCAGAGAAACATGGAGGGGAAAAAGTCTTAACTGCCTCCGCTTCTGAATGTTAAACAAAGTTCTAAGCAATGCCTTAATATGAATGACTGAGACATGAAAAACGATCAGTGAAACAGAGCAAATCACTCTCCACCTTTGCACCCGGCAACCCAGGAATGCCATCACGGCCGTCAACACCAGGTAATCCCTGAGTGTAAAGAGAATACATTAAAATATGTGACACTTCGGACAAAATATCTGAGACTAGTGAAGGATTATTCAGCAATTATCATAGACTTACAGCTTCTCCTTTTGGACCTGGAAGCCCTGTGATTCCCCGTGGCCCTAAAACACCCTAAAAGACAAACAACACCTAGGTTTCCAGAACTGTCTTATACCCCTGATTTATTTGTCTGTGATGTTGAGGTTTATCCACTAACCATTTCACCTTTAATCCCAGGTTCCCCCATTACTCCTCTTTGACCCCTGTCTCCCTGAAATAAGAGGTCAAAACATATAATACACAGCTGACACAAACACGTACATAGACATGTTCTGACTCATGAGCTTACAGTCGCCCCCGCAACTCCCTGTGGACCTGGATCTCCATCAGGACCTCGAGCTCCCTGCGGTAAAACAACAATTTATTTTTTTCATAAATGAAGGTAATTATGTAATTAGAAGTAATTAGGGAAGTTGATGAGCACAACTACCCTAATTGCAATTCAAAAAACTTACTATCTCTCCCTTGGGGCCCATCATTCCTGTGGCTCCACGGATTCCCTGTGGTCCCTAAAATAACAGTTGCATGAAACAGAAGGAAGAGGATGAGGATGACGCAGTTATAAGATTGAACTCTGATTCTAAAAGTAAATACAACCTAATATCATGTAATAGAGACATTATCTCACCGTTGGACCCTGGGAACCAACGTCTCCTGGACCTCCCTGGTCTCCTTCCTCACCCTGAGCAAACAAACGAAGGGGAAAAAAAACAACAGACAAAAAACAGAATGACCTTAATGAGACGAAACAATGACCAGCAGCCCTAACTAAGAGTGAGTCCTCCAGTCTGATTAGGACTGACGTTCCATCAGACTCTTTTCCAGCGAAATGACCTTATTTGCTGTGTGTCAATTATACAGAGAGGCTGCCACTCTAAATAAAAGTTTCATGCACATTTCTTAATGGATTGCATGAGTGAAAAAGCATTTAAATACAAATTGTAAGACAAATTGTTCCAAAGGAAAATAATCATTACAAATAATTCCAATCCTGCATCAGAATAGGGAGCACATTTGGAGAGATTGTGCTTCATGCCTGGAGTTTTTCTCATGTTCTTTTGTTAAAAACATTTTTTGCTTTTATATGCAAATGTTGGGATAAGAAGGATGTTTAAAAAAATGGAAAAAAAAAACAGCAGGAGGAGGAGTGAATTTTAACTGGTAGAATTTTAACTGGTAGAAATCAAACTATCATTGAAAGGTTAGAGACTGTTGTCCTAAGTTCCTACATATTGACCCTTGTGTTTATTGGGAATGATGTGTCCTATCTGTTTCTACAGTGTGAGGTAGAATAAAAGGGAAATGGCTCTGAAACCCTTAAATAACGACTGTACACAGCAACACTTAGAAATGATTGGAATCAGCTTTTAATTGTTTTAAAAAAAATATTTTTTTAAATTAACATATACTTAAAATGTTGTTAACAATACTGCTACAAACATCTTTTTTTTTTACACACAAAAAATTACAATGAGGCAGACAACTTGAGTAAATTAAAAATCAATGTCTCAAATAATGGTTCCAAAAAAAGAAAAAGGAAATATGTAAAACAGAAATTGCACCCCTTGTATTATCATGAATTTACTGTAATATCCATATTTGAATTTAATAATGATAATAATCATAATAATAATAATAATTTAGCTTAATAAGCAAAATTCAATGCAGCTTATTCATCTTTCCCAGGTGTCATTATAGCCGGACCTAAAAAGACGGAATCACTTCAGCAGAATCTGTCTGGTAACATAAAGTTGGTTAATGGAGCTATAAAACAACTCTTGACACTTGAAACAAGTTATAGAATAGATGAGAAACAAAGTCACTCACATTTATTAGTGTGCAAAGCATAAGGAAGCAGTTTCTAAACATTTGGGACACTAGCAATGCACAGTGAGACCCATTTAACACAAATAGAGAAATTATGAAACAATGGTGACCGTTTCCAGGAGAGCGCAAATGGCCAATCAAGAAGACTCAAAAACAACCCAGAACAACAGTTAAAACTGTTATTATTTTGAGTTGTATTTTAGTGAAACATGGGCAATTTTCTGTTCTGTTCTTTTCTGTTCTATTCTTGAAATCAGTTACGGTACTTATCTTATCTATCTATGTAAACCTTTCGGTACCCCACCAAAACTCAAAGTTTTGGAGTGGCCTAGTGGATAGTTTGCTATTATGAAACCTTAAACACAGAGTTTAATTGAGGTAAGAGTGGCCAGCAGCAGTGCTTTAGACCTTTGTCTGGTTTCATCTATATCCTCCAGCAAGACTTGCTGGTGTTCTCTGGATCATTGTCCTTCTCACTACTTTCTCATGTTTGACAGTCAATATGAAAATCTTCTTTCTGACTTTTTGCATGACCCTTCGATGCATAATTGGAGATGCACCACTTCTCGCTGTGGTTCACTGGAGTTCCAAAACCTTATGAATGGCTTGTAAGGACTTCCGAACAATTGAATATCATGACATGTTGCTTTTCTACAATATTTTAGTTAACTTTATGTTGTCAGACAGGTTCTGTTTAATTGATTTCATAATTAGTTTTTCAGATTTTTTTTTTCTTTTACTGGACAGACAAAATCATTGCATAAACACTGCATTTCACATTTACTCCGGTCATTAACTTGGCATATTAAAATTTACTTAATGATCTGAAACGTTTATTTGTGACAAAAACAGGGCAATCAGTTTTTCACAACACAGTAAATACATCTCAAAATGATTCGCCATTTGAATAATATCCCTACACACTTAAACAGCTGGTGTGTTTTCTTGGTTGCTGTACATATTCAGCATATCTTTGTATATGTGACAAGCAAGTATGAAAATTGCATCTGAGAGGGAGAGTCGAATGACAGTAAATTATATTCCAGCATGAGGGAGATAACAGAAGATGGAACCAGACTCATTTCCATTTATATGGTGCACAGGAATGTTAACAGGTGAGCACTGCCTTGCTTGCACATCATTTCAAATAAGTTTTCCGAATTGCAAAAACTCAGAGGAATTACACAAATTTTAAACAAAGGAGCATCTGTAAAAGGTTTCTAAAAAGTTGTAAACAGGTCTTTAATGCAGGTTTTGTTTTGTGTTTTTACGTAGAGCAACACTAACTGACACTTTTTTCAAGAATTTGCATTTTCTGATGTAATTTTGATTAATTTGTAAATAGTGATAAATTTGAACCTTTTCTCTGAAGTAAACATAACTTTTTACCTTGTGTCCTTGTTTCCCAGGTTCTCCTGCTTCACCTTTCACACCTTTGTGACCCTGGAAACATCCCAGAAAGATCAATTAAACTGGTAATAATTTTTGATGGATTGATTTTAGAAGTGAAGCAAACAACCTCACCTTCATACCAGGTAGACCAGGATGCCCTGGAGTACCAGGTGGACAAGAGTTTGGACACTAAATACCAAAATAAGTCAATCAGTCGCTACGCCTGGCACCAGGTGCAAAGAAATCACCTCTACATGTTTTTGTATGAATCAATTCTCTACCAGGTCGGAAGAACCAAGCATCCCAGCTGCACCCTGAAAGTGGGAAAAAAAATAAAGTTATTACATTGACACTATTAACATAATCAGTGCATTATAAACAACCAGATGTGGGATAACACCAGTGGGATAACACCAGCTGGAACATAAAAGAGTTTCAACATATGTATTCATGAAACACTGATATCTTATGATGATGGAAACAGATCATAAATGTTGTCAAATAAAGACAAGAGACAACAGGGACCTTGCTTGTTATTTGTGACTTTTTACTGAACACATTCAGCTTTTTTGCCGCAGTAGAGATAAAATCTGCCATAATGAAAAACTAATTGATGCATCTTCCGTCTTCCCTTAAAAAAAACTATGCAATTACTCTATATAAACTCAAACATCCTACGAAAGTTTATATATTTCAGTAATTCAATTTGAAAGGTGAAACACATATATTACATATTATTATTATTATTACACTCTGACTACTGTAATTTAGTTTTTATGACCAGTTTTGATGATTATGGCTTAGAGCTAGTAAAAACTCCATATTCAGTTTTCTCAGCAAAATACATTTAAACACCAAAGCATTTGCCTAGAAATTAGTATGTTCATAGTGAACATGCTATGAGCTTAATACTTGAGTTATACTCAGATTACTCCTTATTGGTCTTATGTATAATTTCAATATTTTGTGAAATTGAGTTTTTGATTAAATGTAATCATGATCTTGTAATAATAACTTGAAATACGTTACTGTGTATTGAATCAAAATAGGAAGCAAGTTTCATTTTTTTAAAACCGCATTACTGAATTTAGTGTATGGAACGTATTCAAATTAATCATGTTTTCTCACTTACTCTGGGTCCTGATGGTCCACGGGGTCCTTGCGGCCCTCTCACGCCCATTGCTCCCTATGCAAAAACATAAATGCATTAAAACAAACTATAGATTAGATTAATAATCATTCTGAAGATTCCACAGCTGAAGAAATCCTAAAAAGCATTATTGCTCACAATGTGGTTTTCGGTTTGAACTATTTCGCACTATTTTGTTCATACTTCATAATAGCTAAGCATTTTAAATCTATCTGAACCTCCTTAAAGTGTTTCTATGACAATTGAGTGTTCTGATTTATATCATTTCACCATTCAGAAAATTGTTTAATTGTACTTATAGGTTTTGTGTGTAATCCACAGACTCTGTCAATTAAAAGACATTGAGAAAAACAGAGGTTTTCAGTTCCACAGCACTGAATCTACTAGCCAGTGCTAGTACAATAACTTATTCTAGCAAATATATTAATGAAAATTACATCCAAAAGTTGAAGCTGTAATAAAAAATTGAGGTTATTTCAAAGTACCGTACAAAACTATTTTCAGCTTTCACCTCAATTTTATGGGGTAAATAAATGACTGAATGTGTAATTAATCTGACAGGAAAAAATATGACAGTATTTTTTAATGCTATTTTCACTGCATTTTAAAACAGATGCAATGGTGAAGAATATCTTTTTGCAATCTAGTTTGTGTTGCATAGCGTACAAAATGTGCTGTCAGCTATAGTCTGTTAGCATAAATATTTTAAGTACTCCACAGAACGAATTACATCCTTGTGTGGTTTCGCCTTGTTTTACATGACTCCTCAAATTCTGTTTTAATGCAAGATATTTAACTTTATCTGAAATCAATATGAAAAGTACTCCAGTTTAACTTACATTTGAGGTGAAACGTGTTGCAATAATTTTGCTCATTATATGCATAAGGCTTCAGATGCTGCAGTGCAATGTCCAGGAAGTAGATCTAAGTCGGGTTATTTGGATCTTTATTTGACATTTCTGTGCAGATATTTAGTCTAGATACACCGGAATTCTTATGCAGAGGTGAGAGGTGTTTTTAAATAGTAATAAATTATCAAACCATACCAATTACAACAACAAAGAATAATCATCGGCATTCCACTTATTAAATTATATTTTGCTTCTAAATAACATAGATTTCATGTTTATTGGGGGTCTGGATGCCATTGTTGGATTTAAAACCCCAAAAAGAAACAAATTCTTGTTTTTTACTTACAGGAGGTCCAACTTTTCCCAATTCACCCAGAAGTCCTCCAGGCCCAGGTGGTCCCTGTTTAAAGGTACATTTCATGTATTAGCTTTATAATATTGTTATTTTTGTTCATTGCAAGTGTTTGTTTTGATATTGATAAGGGGTTACTTACCGGAGATCCATCAGACCCAACACCCTGGAGGAAATTGTCAGTATGAAAACAAGGTTTGTATAAGACACTTAAACTGGAATATGTCAAGATATAATGACTCTTGGACTGCCATGTTTACTCACAGCAGCTCCACGAGGTCCGGACTTTCCAGGTTCACCCTGAAGAAAAGAGATAAACACATTTTATTCAGAAATACCATAGGAAGTGAGACAAACAGAAATACTGAGCGAGTAAAATTAAGCTGTGCGAGCTTGCAGACAGTCAGAATTAACATTCCACCGGCACAATCATATGACTGGGGCTGGGCATACTTGACCCAGCAATATTAAGCCTAATGAGGAGCAATGTTGGAGCTTCATGCCCCACAGGGATTACTTAGGCTTGCAGGATTATGTCTCATTTGTCAAGAGGAATTGGTTTATGCGCTGCGACTCTTGCTGCCAAGCCAAAACAGCGCTTGGCACAGTTTCACTGACAGCCTCCGAAGTGCTAAAGTAAAGGCTCACTCACTTTCTGTCCTGGGGGACCATCAGGCCCAGGGTCTCCGACAGGGCCAGTTAAACCCTGTAATAGAAACACATTCAGATAAAGTTACACATTTTGAAGCAAATTAGTATCAGTGTTTTCAATGCATATAGGTAGAAATCTATATGCCACATAAGCATGTCTTTTTCAAATTTCATCAAAATCTTAATGTATGTGTGAGATGACAAAACACAGCCAAACATTTACATACAACAGAAGATTTTCCTTTGATCATACACTGCATTTGTTTTCAATTTTAAATAGCGTATATAGAAAATTATCTACCCTAAGTCAGACATCTAAACTCTCAGACTGTTCAGTTGGGAGCAGCATTCCGTTCTGGGTCTCTTTAAACAAACGAACTGAAAGAAGTCATTCCACACCAGTTTGAGGATTCTCAACCAGAGACACTAACTGTGTCCCAATAGAGCAGCTATTGTTTTCAGAATCCTGATAGGTATTCTGAACACAGGCTCTTGATAGAAATGTTCATTTTCCTTTAAATTGTGGGTTTAATAAAGCATGTAAAATATAACCATTATATTAAGGTAAATTATAATACAGTCATTTTTATAATTCCTTCAAAAGCTAAAATGTGTGATTTATTGGCTCTTGCAATCATAACCTTGCCCTCTAACTTAATTATACCGAGGCCTGATTCTGCTCTGACTTTGTTAATCCTGTTATATAAATTCCTTACATTTTTTGCACCTATTTTCCCTTAATAACCCCCTGTACACATACAATGCTTCCTAGGTCTCTACAAAACTAGTGTGAAACATGAGCTCTTTGGTGCAGTTCTGTGCAGTTCCACCCACAGAACCAGCTCAAAGATTGCAAGCTGACCTCGTCATGACCATTAACATGGCGAGCAGCTACTATATGAAACATGAAACAAAGACTACTCACATCATTCCCAGGAATTCCGGGTAATCCTGAAGAACCGGGTTTACCTGCATCCCCATCAGGCCCCTATGAGATTAAAAATCCCACAAATGATTCACCAGTAATTGTAAGAAACAGCAAGAGACTGGAAATTGATTAAATTTCATAGTTACAGGAAAACCGTCCTGGCCATCTAACCCCCGTTCACCCTGAAAGAAATTGCATGCAATTTTATTGGTCAACAAAAGCTAATCGCAAACATTGTTAGCATTTGAATCTAAAGATGGATATTTTTACAAAGCTAAAACAACTCACAGCTATGCCATCAACTCCTGGGACTCCTGGGGGTCCAGGTGGGCCAGGTGGACCTTGATTCCTCTGTGTGAAATGGTTATTTTAGAAAAATAGGAAGGTTATATGATGATTATTGTTTGAAGTTTCTACTAAATTTGTCCTTTCTTAGACCAACATGCAACCGTACAGTTCATGTAAAAGAAAGAACAGGTGCACCACTTCATTGCATGATGCGAGTTGAAATCAGCACACCTGCCTAGACTGGAAAAGTTGGCTTCTTTTAGAGATTGAGCTATGTTTCTATTAGAATACTAGACTTTACAAGAAAATAAAGTTTCTGAAGGAAATACAAAGTAAATTGTCAGTAGATTGTCAAATACTTCAGTTTCATAAAATAATCTGAATCACAAAAGTTTTCAAAACATATATTTTGCATGCAAATAGAGAATACTCATTTGCTTCTCTGTAGAATCAATCTAAAGATTAAGACAGAATCATATGGACAGAAGCATGTTAAAGGTCTTACTTGAGAGAAGCAAAGGAGAACAAGCTGCAGGATCACCACCAGAAAAGACTCTTTAATGCCTGCAAACCCAGCCATGATCTTCCCAGGAGCAGAAAAGGGTGAACGTTGGAGTCCTTTCCTCAAGATTTGTTGGCTAGAAGGAGCCCCCGTCAAAACAAGGCAGCTAAGTCCACTGCAGCTTTCCTGCTAGAAGGTGCAAGGTCCCAGGGTTGTCAGGGGCTCATGCATATTCATATAGAGACTGGAAAGAGAAAGGAGATTGGAGGAGGCCTTCACAGGAAAGGGGCCACCCTGCAGTAAGCACCAATGAGCACCGTCAGCGGGCAATTTAACCTCTGCTACAACCAGACTGAGAGCAGTTTGTTCATTCATTTAATTTCATGTCCAATTGATTTTTACTGTTAAAATTTTGAAGAACAAAACTTTTTGAACACTACTTAAATGTATTCCTGTACTATCAATTATTTACCGTTACATCAATATCCAATAATCAAACATTTGTTTCTGACCCTTGTCAGGATTCTTTTGCTCTTAGTGTGGCAGGAAGAACATATCCAGCCTCTGTCCTGGGTCAGCAGTGAGAGGAGTTCAAACTACATGAAAACTTAGAAAAACAACATCACAATGAAATGTCTGCAGAGGCATATTTTTCAAACAGTGTCTAAGTGTTAAGAAAAGGAAAAAGAAGTAGAGAGGAAAATGAACATAAACAGAGAAAGAAAGGAAGATATTCTTTCATTTCTTTGCTGTTTTGTTGACTGGAATGAAAAAATGCCTCATGGCCCTGGATCAAACCAAAACATCTCTGAGCAACTTTCTACAAGTAGACATGAATTATTGAAGTTAATTTGTTATTGAATAATAAATGATTGAAGTTTAAATTACTTAAATTCTAAGTCGTCAGAGGGTGTATGAAACTTCCCCCGGAGAAAAATATAATTAGAATCATTTCTTTATGCTCTTTTTCTTTTTTCATTTATTTCTTAGTAGGATATTCTCCCTAAATATGGTCATATATGGTATGTTGGTTACTTTTTATCCAGAAATTATCTTTTCACAGTTGCCCAGTTTTGCTGTGTATGTGTTTGCAATTGTAGCTGGCTCCTTCTTGAGCTGTGCCATCACAGTGACTGATTTTTTTGGTGTACTGGAATATTCTGAGAACCAAACATGACTGTACTGCCACAATGGTAAATTCCAGTGGTGTTCCCCATAGACAAACTGATTTACATAAGAAAAGATGGACTCTGACTCTAAAGCACCTATTGCGTTTTAGATCTACAGATCATTTACACAGTTGTTAAGATGCCAGCATTGTTGTGCAGTTCAGATAAGGCCAGTCTTTGATGTTCAGCACCTCGGACAGGGTAAGTGGTGTTTAAAACAACTCAACCACTAGATGTCAGTCATCACCCACACAAAAAAACAAACAAAAAACCCACTCACTGCAGTAAACCTTGTGTTTATTCTGAAGGGAAAGCCAGCCTCTATTTCATAAGGGCCATCATGAAGAGATGGTACTGCAAGCTTCCTAACTGCTTGTCTCCTTCCAGCTCAGCAATGTGGAACAACAATGGTTGAATCATTAGATCCTGGAGCATAAAACTCAAGCATACATCTTGTCTTTTATTTTACTTGGCACCATCATTATTGAATTGTTTTTTTTAAGCCGAATTTTCCATATGCAGTGGAATACCTACTTTTTTGGGACCTCCAGTAGTACTCGAAATCATGTTCCGTGATTGCAATTATTTTCCTAGCCGCTCATTTGAGAACCCCTCCTTCACATGAGCGCCAGCTTGAGGTGGAATCCTCACAGCTATAAAACGGGGAGAAAAAAGCAAAAGCAGTGTGTTAGTAGTCAGGGTAAGTCTGTGCATCTTGTGGTGAGGGAACAAAAGTTCTGTGTTTGGAAAGCTGTGCCACTGCCTTGAATAAATATTGGGCTATCTCTCTGAGTGTTTGTGATTCTTGCAACAGGACTTAAGCTCTCAAGATTAACTTGTTTTTACTAAATGTCAGAATTGGAATCTAAAGACTTTAATTAAGTGTGAATAAATCGCCAGGAAAAGAGCTATTCTTCCATTTTCCAGGAGCCTGTGCTGCTTTGAAAGAAAGCCCGATTCTGCTCAGCAGTTTGGCTCAGGACTTATATTTTATTATTCCACATTTGCTACAGTTGTACATGTCAGTGCATTTTAAAATAAGGTTAACACAAACCACAGTATGTGGAACATAAAATATTGACAAGCACAGCAGCACAGGAGAGAAACCAAATGAGGAAAGGCAAAACAATGCAAACATACATCTTTGTGTTACAACAAACTTGCAGACTTGAAAACATAAAACAACCTAAATCACCAAATGACTCATTGGTCATGTTTAAAATAAAACTTGATGGTTTGTATTACAGCAAAACAAAAAAGTCTTTCTTAAAGAAAAGGTTTTGTTTTGTGTTTTTATGAGTCATCTTTTTTTAATATCTCTGTGTGAGTGCTAAGCACCACAGATTACTTACCCTGAAAGGTCCAGTGCAAAAACACTGTGGAATGACAAAGCAGCAGTAGCAGCAGTAGCAACAGTGGCAGCAGCAAGAGAACAGCGGGGGGTTTCTGAAATACAGAATCAGAAACAAACTGCTTGTATCACTTTATGAGACAGAGACAGTTTCATGCAGAGTGGAATTGCCATTTAATTATTGCTTTAATGCCTGATCTGCATCAATAAACGGACGTGCAGCTGAGTCAGTGACTATTAGAGTAATTGCTTACCTTGGGAATTCACCTATTTCACAGATTGAATTGGAATGTAGCAATAGGTATTTGGTTATTTTTAGTCACACTTCCAGGAGTGAACATAATCTTGCAATGTCACACTGTAAGTGAAAGTGAAAAACTTCAGATCACACAGTGCAGTTGGTTTTAGTAAGTAAACAGTTTCCCCAATGTCAACTCTGCATTCCAGTGCCCTCCTTGGTCTCATTGTTTATGAGTCTATACCGCAGTTTGTAACTGTAATGATAAGCAGGGGATTAATCTAGGATGACTTTATTTTTCTTCATTTTTGGAATAAAATTCCTTCCTTTCTCCTGGGTTGGAGAGTATTCAGTTTGCATTGTTCCAATGCAGTCAAAAAAGAAAAAGCCCAATGTCAGACAAAATTTATGCCAGGGTGTGTCAAGCTTAGAGGCTTTTCCCCACTTTTGGTTGATAGTAAGAAGTACATGCTGATGAGATCCAGATTTTAAAGAAATGTTTTGTGGTAATTGCTTCATGTAAATTTTATGATTAATCATCCGAAACTGCTGCACTAATCTGACTCCATCGAATTCCTCCCAACATCCCACTGTTCTTAATTTAGTTTAATTGATTAAATTATGTCTCTCCAATAGTACCAACAAGATTGGCTGGGACATGAGGAGTTTCCTAGGCAACCCATCACTTCTGTGATACGCTTTATTTGTTTTCACAAATATAATAAAGGTTTCATAAATCAAAACCCTATTTTCAAAATTTCTCTAGTGTAATTCAATCCAGATTTGAGTAGTCTCTAACTTGAAGTTCCCATATTTTTCTCAATACAGTCCCAATGACAGAAAGAAGCATTAAAATATTTCCTTTTATTTCAACAAATTTAAATGACGGTTATTTTAATCTGAATCTGTGTTTTCACTAATCTCTGGTATATGTAAACTTAATGCATTATAAATTCTGAACTAGAGTGAAGTAATTGCTGTCCAGTTTAATCAATACTGAAGTTTCATTTAACTTTACATGTTAATTACATATAATTAACATTAGTGATGGCATAGTTACTTTAAAAAAGTAGCTTTAATCGGATTACTGATTACTCCTTGAAAAAGTAACTTAGGTTACTGATTACTTGATTTGGAAAGTAGCTAAGTTACATTAATAGTAACTTTTTTAGTTACTTTCAGCAGCTGTTGACAATAATGTCCCGCCTGTGAAAATTGCATTAATCTTTGCCGATACTTAATTGCAAGTTATTGTATGATGGTAACGTCAACTATGTCTCTACTTATAATGAACTGGGGGTGATTGTGTAATGGTTACAACTGTACAAAAAATTGTAATTTTTGCATGTTTTAGTGTGTTCCACTATTGTCTGCGAAACTCTAAATAGGATTTTTAGAGTCCTTTAAAAAAAAAGAAAAAAGATCGCAGATGACCTCTAAATTGAAATTCTTTCACGTGTTAAATATAAAAGCGAAATTACTAATATCTCAAAAAGACTTTTTTGATGTATGTTATATGTTAGGTTATCTCAATAACCTGTAGGACTAAAGAAGCAACATAGGAAGCATCAACATTTTTTAGGAATAATTATTATTTCTATTATTATAATAATTATTTGTATTGTTTCTGACTCTGTTGTACTTGTAGTCGTTGGTCCTGACAGTCCAATCACAGGAGCAGTTTTGTCAGCTGGCCCTGTGTAATGTGCGGTTAAGCGCAGTTAAGTGTTCAGGGAGCAGCAGCTGCCGTCAACTCCTCAGATTGAGCACTGCTAGCTGAATTTGCATAGCAAGCACAGCTCTGTCTGACGGCTACATGGCCGCTCTTCTTTTTATCCCATTTTAGCGGTCAATGTCAAGTCAGTTTTACCGAATAAGTAAGTGAAATAGAGCGAAGAGAGGCGTTTTCAGTCTGTAGCCACAAGTTAAAGGACGACAGCAGAAGTGAAATCGGAGCTAACGTTGGTTAGCGAGCTAATGTTAGCTTGCCGACGCAATGGTGAGTAGCGTTAGCTTGTCTGTAATGTTTCCCAGTGACAACTGCTCAGTGTGCGGCTAACCGTGGTTGCAGACTGGCAACCAAAATGGAATTATTTTCGTCCTTTTTAATTTCTTTCATCTTTGTTGTGTCGAACCTCTGTTTTGTTGGCCTTTCTGTCGTTTGTTACCTCAAAAAGTGAAACCATACCGGTGCAGAGATTCTGCCCACCAGGGTTTGGAGACTTGTCACCCCCACTCATATTCGGAATGGAATCAAACTTACTACGTGTCTTAAGATTTCTCGCTCTGCGTAATTAAACTCGTCAATGTTAGCTACTCTTCAGACTGGTGAAAAAGAGGAACTGCCCCGCTGATTGACTAAGGCCTTACGTCTTAACATATTGACTATATGTGTGCAGTTTTTGTATTTTTTTATGTGCCCTTGCTTGAGCTCTAAGTGCAAGACGGAATTTCTCTTTACTGAAAAACAAAACGGACACACAGACACACACACACACACACAAAAAAAAAACCCTGCAAGCTTAAAATGATTACAACTAAGCTGCTGCTGAAAAGTTTCCAACCCTTTTTGCATGTATTTGAATAGCAGTTTCTAAAGATGGTTGTGCTGTCGTATTTGTATGTGGTTTGCTATTGACCTTTTGGGTAGGGGAATTGGTTGCTCTTAAGTTTCAGCAGCACTAAATTATAATAACGTCCGGATGAACAGATATTTTCAATTGTCAGCTCTGTGCAAACAGATCTTTAAGTCCCTGCTACTTAGCTGTTATAAACGTGTTACACTCTTTTGATCAACTACAGTTTTTCTCTCTGTTGTTGTTTTTGTCTATTAATATCTGCCAGCTATCTGTTTACCAATCTATAGCATCTTCTGAGTTTGGATATGAATACACATTTACTGCAACAGTTTAGCAGTTAGATGTTTTTCAATTGCATTATTCTGCAGTTGGCTTGATTAGATTTTGATTTAAATTTGAGTTTGTTTATATATAGTCATATATTTTAAGCAACAAGATAAATCATCTGTACCCCACTGAAGCGCCTATTATGCCATATTAAATTTATAAATCTACATTAAAAAATGGTTTTTTATTAATGTTGCATTGTTGGTTTTTAGTGTTGGTTTTTAGTGTTGGTTTTTAGTGTTGGCATGACTATAAGCACTAATAATATCATTGTGCATGTGTCTATGATGCTTGTCTCAGTAAAACACAGTGAGCTCAATTAGTATTGAGTCAAGTATTTGTGAAATAATAAATACAAGACATTATGGACAAATTGTGGCTGCATTGTATTTGGTACAATAAGAACATTAAAATGTCATGTAACATACTTTATAATTATGTTTTATGACATACATATAACATATAATTAACAATACCTTAACTGTAATTCCAGTCTTTGAACTATTTCTGCTAAGTTTCCTCCAGAGCTTCTTAGGATTAATTAGTCTATATAATAAAATTTCCTTCCAGGAGCACAGACGTATCCGAGATAATGTTTGGCACCTCTGCCTATATTGACCAAGATGACTGAAGTTCAGGCCACAGTGGAGTTCTCTGTAGAGCTCCACAAGTTCTACAATGTGGACCTGTTCCAGAGAGGGTGAGTTTCTCTTGCTGTCTTCCAGGATGCTTAAGATTGTTCTCTTTTTTTATTAAGACTTGGCTCAATGGTAGTTCTTTGATGTTTTACCTATAAAATGCTTTACCCAGTGCTCTGTTGAAGGCATTTGTGATTAATTTTCTTGTGTACTTTAATTTGCAAAAACGAACGCGTTGTGGTTTGTTTCAGAAGGGGAACAGATTGTGTTCTGTAATTGACCAAGCCAATCTAGGACAGATGGCAGACTCTCTTGGACCTCCAGGCATTTCAGCAGACTCAAATGTTCTTAGCAAAGACAGAATTTGCCCTCTTTTATAAAACATTTCAAGCAGCACTTAAGACATCATTTTGCTGTTTAGATAAAAGTTTTATAATGGAGACGATAGAGGGAGGTTAAAGTCAATATTTGAGGCATGAGTGATGTTTTTTCTGAGATCTTGCAGATCTCTTAGGCAGGTTGAGGATAGAGATGAATAGTTTTTTTTTTTGTCATAAATTGTTGTTGAACTCCCATTTTAAAGAGATGCCAGAGATGATGAGAGGTCAGTGTTGTGAATAGGAAGACCGGTTGGAGGAAGTGGTCTTGGTACAGTTCCAATGAACTCCAGTACAGTTTGTTTATGATGTGAATGCGATCCTCTTCACCCAACACAACTACTAGGTGAATGCTGCAAGCCAAATGCATTCAATTTGGAGCTTTTGTAAAGCTTTTAAACCCTGTGCCTTTTTTAAGACATTTTCTGATGATAATCTTGCCAAGAAAAACAACAAATTATATACTTCATACTTTCACCCGAAATCCCAAAGACTCGAGAATAAATGTCTTTCGATAGAACAATAACCTCTAACTGTTAAATACAAATGATTGTAACCGCATTTCCATGTCCAGCTTATCTGAAATTTATTGTGACGTGCTCTGTCTAAAAGGCTACCAATCATGGCTTGATGGATCTAAACAAAAATTGAAAATAAATCCTGTGGGAAGATAAATGCTCCACACATTTACTTTAGGCTCAGTTTGATTGAGGAAACATTAATCAAAATAAATTTAAGTAATCTTTATTTCACAGCAGAACTATTGCTAATTTTTAAGATTACCTTTAGTACTTCTAATGATATAATAACATTGTTTCGAGTAAAAGAATAGGCATATTTGACAGATATAATTTGTAACTGTATTTACTAGGATCCTATATGTGTAGAGTACAGACTGTATTGTGTAACAAAATATTGTTTACACATTTGTGGGCTGGATTTGATTCAAACTGTGAGCTAATCATCTCTTTGGTTTGATCCCTGACTTCTACAGTCTATTTCTATTTATGCATTGATGAAGACTTGTAGGACAATAAATACTTTTTGATATTAAAAAAAATAAATACATATGCCTCGTCTTTCATAGTTCTCTGCCAGGAAAGGCAAGACTGGGATGTGTTATTAAAATACTTTTACCTGATTTCATAGAAACCTAGAGGGGCAAAATGTCGACCAGTGTTTAAGCTGCTCTTGTTGAAATATTCAATATTCAGATGTTTCTTTTCACAGCAGTTGTGTACTGATACCTTGGTCTTTTCTGATAAAGCTCTTTCCAGCAGCTTGTGACTCATCACAGCTTTAACAGCTTGAGTGACTGCAAAAGAAGTGCTCATTATTAATTTATGAGAGGTGTAGTGTCCTTTTACAGGTCACTACAATGATGCAGTTTTATTGCTTTCCTTCTTGTGATCATTTCAAAATATCTAAATCCTCTCCAGGTTTTACCAGATGCGTGGCAGTCTTAAGGTGCCTCCTCGTGTCCCACACAAAGTTGAGACCAGTCTCCTTCATCCAGGAGGTAAAGTCATATGTGCACAAAGGAGTTATTTTGCCCCTTCAATTCCCAAAACATTTTTAACATAATTTAGTTTGCCCATAGTTTGCAGTTTTATGCAGTAATTCAGGTACATCATCTACATCATTCAAGAGAGAGACCTGGTTTTAAACAAACATACAATTAGAAATTAGTTTCTGCTGCCACTTTAAGTTAGTTTTTGTGTACTCTTATGACTGCAATGTGTTATTTTTGTTTTGTTTTTTGCTTTATTTTGTGTCTTGTTTGGAAAAATTTGCAATTTTTTAACAAAACACTGTGTTTATTTGGTTATTCCTAATGCTTGCATGTTTGAGTCCAACTCATCTGATGAGTTACAGAATTGCTAAAGCATAATATGGCAGTTATTAAATGTCTGTCCTCTTTCAACTATTCTTTTACCATAGTGGAATAACTATACAAAATGTATCTGCCATCATTTAAAACAAACTTAAATTTAAATGTACAATTTTGCAATTAAGATTTTCTCTATTATCCGCATGTATTTAATGATGGTTTCTTTCTAGGCTCAGATTTGGCGTTTCCTGCTACAATCCAGGATGACGTCATCTGCAGCAAAACTTTCCAAATCCTGTATAAGAACGAAGAGATTGTTGTCAATGATGTTCTTCTCTTCAAAGTGATGATGCTTCTGGATGAGAAAAGGGTACGATTTGGAAAGAGGAGTGTTCCTTTAACTTGTTATTGCAAATACATTTTCTGCTATTCCACTGCTTCTTGTTTAATAATTATAAAGAGATATGTTTTTTTTCTCTATTTATTGATTGTCTATTCTGCTTTCCATTTACTTCTTTTTACATCCACACAAACCCTGTTTTGTGTAATGAGGTTTCTGATTTGACTGTTTTTTGTTCTCAGGTGGAAGAGTCCCTCAATGAAATGGATTTCCAGCTCTGCCTGGATTTGTATTTCACAGATGGCGATTATATGTAGGTGTATGACAGTGTGGTTCTAACAGAAGTGCCAACATAAATTACACACTGCTAAAACCTTTTCCTTTATCTTTTATCATTATCCCTTCAGACCAGAAGATCCAAATTCTCTGCAGAATATTAGCAGTCGCGTACTTCATTTGCACTTTAGCCTTCAGCGGGGCATCCACCAACACATCAATGTCATGTTTGACTACTTCCATCTATCTGTCATCTCTGTAGCCATCCATGCCTCCCTTGTGGCACTTCATCAACCCCTAATCAGGTTTGATGAGCAGAAATATTTGTGCATGCCTATTAAAAAAAAGTGTTATCAGTATTTACTATCCTAATCACAACTCTGGCTTTGTTTCTTTAGTTTTCCTCGACCTGTGAAAAACACATGGCTGAACCGAAATGCTCCCGCACAGAGCAAAGATTCTATCATCCCACTTCTTGAGAATGTTGTGTTTGGCAGCAGCTATGTGAAGCAGGTGTCACCAGATGTAAGTTATCATAAAAAAAACAAAAAAAAAAAACTACTTTATATAAGTTGTGGATGCTACTACATTTATTAAGCTGTTGGCGTATTAGTTTTGGAACTCCTATCCATTAAACAATCAGTAAAATAAGAGAATTGGAATACTTTGATGGTGCAGGATGGTGATGTTGAATGGTCAATAAAGTACACGATGCAGCCCAATGAATTGATTTAGGGTGTGTTAGTGTAACACTTTTACAATTCTACTCCTCAGGTAATGTTTAGTTGCATTCTTAGCTGTAGAAGCGTGCAGGTATGTGTCAGATTGTTGATGGATAAGATGGAAGAAGAGAGGAGAAAAAAAATTGGAGCACTTTCACTGTTGGACATAAGTGATTTGATTCTCACAGCTAAGTCAGCCATCCAAATCTTCCCCTGAGATTTTGTTCTGTAACTCTAACAGTCATTTAGGCAGAACAAAGGCGGCACTCCTCTTTAATCCCAGGTGGATCATTAATGCTCAGCTTGTGAATAACTCATTGATTGTTTTATTATTCTAAAGAAATTAGCATTAAAGACAGAATAAATTTAGCATTTGTATTACCAAAATATAGAATATTATTTATTTATTTTTTTTTAACCTAAGAAAATAGATATACTGGTAATTTTTCTGAACTTATAAAGTATTATAAGTACTTTGCTTTAGTTCCTAAAGCAACAATATGTGTTTGGCAAGAGTAATCGTGCTTACAAATAGGTTGAGGTTTATGTTTCAGATTGTTGTTGTTTTTTTTGTCTTTCACCAGGGGAGGACATTTCTGGTATCAGACAGCTGTCTGCAACATGCCTTCAGCATGCACCATAACCTCTGCTCCATCCTCCTAATAGTCTACCGGGGCCTCTTTGATTATTTTACCTCCATAACCAAGGACCTGCCCTCCTCACACCGAATGGAACTAGGTATTAAATGTTACTATATGAATTATATAATGGCGTTGTTGTGACTTTTAGTTTTGCATGTTTTTGTTTTCCTTTAAACACAGGAAAATGGGTAATGCTCATGCTGTCCCATTTACCTTGGAAGTTGAATCACTTAATTATTTAGCCCACTTCAGAAAACCTGTGATTTAACAGCTACTCTCTGGATGTCCTGTGCTAATGACAATATTAACTGATAGCATACGTATTTGGGTTTTGGACATTTATGCCCTTTAGCAACAACTTGTGAACCAGGTGGACAATACTGTTTGTCCACCTGGTTCTTTCCTAATATGCAGAAAGAAGTATGAATAAACATTTCATTTAGAGGTCAGATGTTGAAGAAACCCCAGAATTCAAAGTTGTATTTCTGACTTTAGGGGTGTTGAATCAGATTTAACCTATGGGTGTAAATGGGACACAAGATTAAGCATTACCCTGTTTTCATCTTTTTGTTTTATTTTTTTGTTTTGATGCTTTGCTTTTACCATTTTAAAATGTGTTTGTAGTTGTAAACTCACCTTGCCCTGTCACATAACCATATTAAACTCTTGTAGAAACTCCTGAAACAAGTTTTTTTTTATTCACATAGCAATTTTGGGAACTAATTAAGCTTATAAAACACCTGCACTCATTAGACAAGTGGACTAAAACCAAAACCAAAGCACACCTAACCATAGTTACCATAGCTAATCCCCATGAGTGGACAAATTATTAATCTGATCATTAATGAAGGTTAAACATGCCTATATGTGCAATCTTACTAGCCAAGCCCAGCATGCAGGCGCTATATGAGAGAGTACTCAGAAGACCATATCCTCGAGGGCAAAGGCACGTCTACATAGGTATGTCCTGACCCTTTCAGCTCATCGAATCAGCCTGCCTTTCTCTCCCTCCTTCTCTTCACTCCAGTTTCTTCCATCAAGAAAACAGCACCTTTGATCCACTTTCCAGAGAAAAATTCTTCAGCTACTTTTCTTCTTCACTTTTATTACTGGTTTTTATGCTTAAAGTGCTTAAAGACCAAGGGCAAAAAAGTTTATTGATGCTTCTTTTCTATCAAAATTCTCAGCTTTGTCTGGTCATTTCTTATAGAAAATACCTTCCAACATCTGTTCTATCTGGCACAACAACCTTTTCAGCTTTCACATTCGTTTTCTGTCATTTTCTGTACAGTTAAATAACAGTATTTCTTTTTTTTTTTTTTACTTCCTCCTGCTCAGAACAACTTGACTTGGAGGCACGTCTTACAGAGTTGTGTGAACAAGTAAAGGTCAGATTTCCTTCACTTTTTTGCTTTATGATCTTTGTCAGTTAGCATTTATTTGCTTGACAGGATAGTGTTTTGCTGTTTGTAGTGTTGACATTTTGTCAAATCTTGGTGTGAGTATTAGTTATAATGAAGTGATAATATGAAGAATAGCTTTTTTTAGTAGGTGAGAAGCTTTTGCTTTGTGATTCAAGGTGTGGCACTAAACTATGACGGCGTGATGTCAGCTTCTGCCAACAGGAAATATTTTGTCATCAGAATCTGAGCTATTTAAATTTTTCTCCAGTTATTAAAATGGTAATACAAGTATTTTTTCTTTTAGATATATTTCCCATTACAAAGTTCTGCAGACTTTGTGATTATCTGAATTAACTATACAGAGTTAATTCCTTAATTCTGTACAGTTGGAAAACCCAGTTTGTTGCAGAGTTTTGCAATAAACTGATTCAATAAGGTTGTGACAAACATTCCTCATTTTAATGCTGAATTGTTTGACATCCTGGTCCTTACTGTCTTGTTAAGAAAAATATGTTCACTTTTCAATTGTTTAACTTTTATTCTTATATTTTTAGTTAAAGGCGGAGTCACCTGACGAGCTTGCAGAACTTGTTAATATGAACCTGGCGCAGCTGTGCTCTCTGCTCATGGCTCTCTGGGGACAGTTCCTGGAAGTTGTGTCCCTGCAGGAACACGTTGCTGCCCTACTAGCAATGGAGCACCACACACTAAGAGTGAGTCCGGCATGTCAGTTGGTCATAAATGTAAACATCTGGATACACTTAACCGGTTAAACACACACTCTCCACCAACATAGTCCATTTTGCAAAAAATATGTTTTTGTTCTTTCACAAACTTTGTTTAGACACTGTAAAAGAAGCACAAAAGCAAATGTGTTTACCCACTACAGAAAACTAGCTCCAGCTTAGCATCGCCATCCAGCCATGGTGTAAATGCAGACTTTTTCATCCTATTTATGCTGCACACAACATAAGTGTCACTCTGTCCCTACTGATGGTAATGTATTCCCCACAAATTAGTAAAGGATAACTTGGTTTCTCAAGAACAAAATTACTTCTCCTGCTTAACAAAAACCAATAGTCATGACTAATTTACAAAGATGATTTTGTTTGTTTTTTTCTGACAACTGGTTCTAAAATGAATAGAATTTATTCTTATAGTTTTATTTTTTATTTTATTTTTATGGAAAAAAGTTATGCAAAATGAGTTAAAAACAAGCCAAAAAAAATGAACAATGGAATACAAATGCATTGCAAAAATCACAGTCAAATTATTCATCAAAAAACGAACATGCAGCTATTTAAATAATTCAAAATTCAAAATAAACCTCTGAAATAGTACTAACACAGCTTGTTTTTAACGTTACTTTTTTTACAGGTCAGACGGTTTGCAGAGGCTTTCTTTTGTCTTGAACATCCAAGGCAATCTGCACTGGCATATCAGGAACTACAGTAAGTTGTTCTGCAGACTTTGTCTTATCGTTTATGGATTGCTTTGATTTGGCTGTGGTAACATTTTATTCATTCAATAAAATGAATAAAATAACTTCTTTTCTTTCTGGGTTTTTTTATCCATCAGTGCTCACAGCCACCAACAGATGACTAATGCCATAAAAAGCTCCAGTTACTTTCTCTGTTTGCCTCCACTACCAGTGGAATGTGCAGACCTTGATGGGGACGTTAGTTCTTTGCCAATCATCTTTGAGGATAGATACCTTGAATCTATCACTGAAGGTCAGTAACACAGTATTTATGATTCATAGTTTATTACAAAATATATTGTTGCACTCATTTTTTATGTCTGTGTTCAATTGAATCAGTTTTTTTTTTCCTTAAGATCGGGATGGACCATGGCTGGGCATGCACAATTCAAGAATTCCCTCAGTTTCCAGTAAAACTGACAAGGTTAACTCAAAGGACTGCAGCGCATCAGCCAGTACAATACCAGAGTCACGGAGTGCTCTGCTTGATAATGCCTGGCCAGAAAATTTTGATCCACCACCGAAGTCCAAAGGCAAATCAGTAAAACTGAAGAAAAACTCAAAAACTGAGAACTCCAAAAAGTTGACCAGACAGGGTTCCAAGGACTCTGTGGTTTTAGTGGGTTATAAAAACCTTAAAGTACCCCACAGCAATATTAGCACAAAGTACAAAGAAGAGGAGGGCTCTGTTAACCAAGACGAGGACCAAGATACCTTGCAGCTTCACTCAAGTAGCTATTCACGGACTAATGTAAGCTCTGTTTTTGATTTTAGTGGCATGTCAACAAATATGGGAAACACTGCTGATGACTTTGTCACGAGCTACAATAGAACTACTGCTGCTTATAATAAAGACGTTTATAAAAATCCTTCTACTTTGGACTCAAAAAGCAGACCTCAGGCTGGTTCTGGGGCTATTATGACAAGTAAACAAGTTCATAAAGGTGTTCATGAAGACCGCTTTGGCCAACAACAGCAACAGTGCTCTCCTGGCTTAATGGAAAATGAGTCAAAACCAAGTAATAAGGATGTCATCCAAGCTGATAAAGAAAACATTCTTCTGCCAAATCAAACTGTTTCAGGTCATAGCAGTAATATTCCCAAGATCACCAAGACGAATGTGTGTGATTCGCAGCAGTCGGCCCTGGAATCTGTTTTTGAAAGGCCAAGTAAAACTGCAGCGCAACATAGTCAGGCCTGTGCAGTCACAGTGCAGGTGAAGAGCGACTGCATCAGGTTCCAAGATGTAGGGGTCCCTTGTGCCTCATCTCGCCTCTCGGACTCCGGCATTGAGAGTGAGCCCAGCTCCTTTGCCACTCAGCTGGCTCAAGGACTACAAGCAGGGCCAGGCTTCACTGAATCAGGTTTCACTGCTTCACACACAGAAAAAACAGTCCAAATTCTCGCTCCGCTCCCTGTCCAGCAAAATACAACGCAACGACCTAGCGGCACTGGAGAAATTCTGTGTCCAGAAAATACAAGTGCTTTAAGCGGAGTCCAGTCTTCACTTACTTCCATCAACTCTCTGCCCTCAGATGATGAGGGTGAAGGTTCTTCTAAAAGCTCCAGGGGAAGAAAATCTAGTGTTCTGGTGCAAGAGCAGAGTGTCGTGTTCTCCGGAGATGTTACTCAAGTAACTGATGTAACCTGCAACCTTGACACAATTGCTGGTGATTTTCAACTTCCAGCAGATGTAAAATCTGCAGGAAGTTCAGAAATTGGAGTGGAGGAAGCCAGTGGACTGGGGACATCTAAGGAATCCCGGAGTGATCCTCACACAGCTTGCCCTTCAAGTAACTCTGCCACAAGTAGCACTGATCTGGTGAAGCGTGGGATGGTAGAGAATTACTTTGGCTCATGCTCCAGCACAGACGTGTCTGAGATCAGCCCTGTAGAAACATCTGCCATTACTCTTGGTATTCAGGCAGAAGCACAGGTCGAGGAGGATGAGGATCAAACAGAACATGAGATGATTGAGAACGGTTACTACGAGGAAAGCGACGGCTATGATTTTGTGAACGGTGTTACCGATGATGATCCAGCTGAGGTTGCTGCGCCTCAAGAGCCACGCCAACTGTTTGAGCAACTTAGTGCTGCTCAACTCCATGAAACTAGAGGTTCATCAAAAGCTCCTTTATGCTCCAACCTGCCCTCCTGCAGTACTAGGTATAGTTTAAGTAAGTCTCCCTATTCCTCCTCCACATCATCCAGTCTGCACTGGTACGAATGCGCACCCACGCCACAGATGAAAGCGTGAGTCATCTCTGAAACATAACATTTTCAGTGCATATATTTTCTGTGTGTTTTATACCTAATTAATAAATAATTAATGCATTCCATTCCACAAATACAGATTCATCAAAGCTAAAGAGGAAATGAAGCAGTTAAAGCTCCCTGGTTTTCTGTACAGTGAGGTCCCTGAATTGGCCTCCACTGTTCCCTATTTCAGCTTGGAGGAGGATGAGAGCTGTGAGGAAGGCATCCATCTCATTGTGTGTGTACACGGTCTGGACGGTGAGTGACCTTCCATCAGAATCTCCGATATTTTAGTAAAATTAGTCAGCCATTTTTAAAGTCGCTGCTTTTCTTGTGTCACGGCAGGTAACAGTGCAGACTTGAGGCTAGTGAAAACTTACCTGGAGCTTGGTTTGCCTGGTGCTCGGATAGACTTCCTAATGTCTGAAAGAAATCAGGTATTCAGATTATGAAATCTTTGCTTGCCATCATGAATAGAGATCCACTGGTTAAAATTTCCTTGCCTGTCCCATTCATTTTAGGTCATCCATTTCTTTATCTGTTAAGCAGATAAAGAATCAAAAATATGCTACCGATGTATGGGATTTGAGTTTGACAAAATTTAAAACTTGCAAGATTAATCCATTATCATCTATGTTTCTAACTTTTTATGTGATGTCTATTTTATTGAACTGACCATGTGGAGTGGTGGTAGTTCTTTAGTTTCGATCCATTTAACAAATATGAAATTAATTTTTGAGCACTTGGCCTGCTGATCATTGATCACAGCGGATCAACAGAATTTTTACTCAGGTTTTGTTGAGGGGGGGCTTCCAATTAAAACAGTTTTGACAGCTTCCGTCTTCTTGTTTCTCTCACCATTTCTATTTCCAGAATGACACATTTGCTGACTTTGAGTCAATGACAGACCGCCTGCTGGATGAAATCATCCAGTACATTCAGCTTTACAATCTCACTGTGTCAAAGATAAGGTAAGCTGCTCAGTCCCAAACTTCTATCAAAATATTTTATTAATGAATACAGCTTGTCATGATATTCTGCTCATTTTGATAAGTTAATTATTCATGAATTAACCACATTATCGCTGACCAATGACCTTCCATGTTGTTACTTTCCAGCTTTGTGGGGCATTCTTTGGGGAACCTCATAGTTCGCTCAGTGTTAACCAGACCCAGGTTTAAATGCTACCTGAGCAAGCTGCACACATTTCTTTCCCTCTCAGGACCTCATCTGGGCACACTGTACAACAGCTCTGCTCTTGTCAACACAGGTAAACATAAGAAACACATTAGTGGCCATTTGGTTCAGCTAATTTTATGTCACAGATAAAACCAATGAGCTCTAAAATGTAAATGTTTTTCTGTTTCAGGCCTTTGGTTCATGCAGAAATGGAAAAAATCTGGATCTCTCTTGCAGCTGACGTGTCGGGATCACTCTGATCCTCGCCAAACGTTTCTGTACAAACTCAGCAAAAAATCTGGTTAGCTTTGCTATTTGTAGCTGTACATTTCAAATGCAGAATGACATTATAGTTCTAACTTGCCTCACCACCTGCCTTTTAAGGTCTGCAGTACTTTAGGAATGTGGTGCTGGTGGGGTCACTGCAGGATCGCTATGTTCCCTATCATTCTGCTCGAATAGAGATGTGCAAAACGGCATTAAAAGACAAACAAACAGGTGAGTTGATCCAAGATCAAAGCCACTGTGCACTTTTTTTCATTTTTCTCTTTAGAGAGTTGCACGTAATCACAAAGATCCACATGAAGCAAGACTGAAGAAGTATTGCCATAGTTTTTTTTTTTTTTTTTGATGGGAGGAAATTTTTTAAGCCATTGCCTCTTTTGTAGTTAAAATACAAATGAGTCATTTAAAAATAAAATCATTACACATGAATCTGATTTTTTTTCCTTAATTATAATGGCCAATAGCTGATGGAAATTTGAAGTTTAAATATTACACAAAAGCACTTTTTTTATTTATGTCTGGAAAGTAGCCTTATATGTCTCTCCTGTGAACACCAGGGCCCGTGTATGCTGAGATGATTGAAAACCTGTTGCTGCCAGTACTTCAGAACAAGGACTGTAATTTAGTCAGGTATGATGTCATTCATGCCCTGCCCAACACAGCCAACTCCCTCATTGGCCGCGCAGCGCACATCGCCGTCCTGGATTCTGAGATCTTTCTGGAGAAGTTCTTCCTCGTTGCTGGCCTCAAATACTTTCAGTAGAACAGAATTGGAATCAAACACTTGGCTGGACAAAAGGAATGTGGTGCTGATACCTCACTGCTACTATATATTGTTTTGTTTGAATTTTCTTCTGGTTGTGGGATTTAGATGATCTCCTTTTAAAATACACTTAATTACCATTCAAGCACATTTTAGGAAAGATCATGTTTTTTTTATGTTTATACTGGAATCAGTAGATGTGGAGTTTACCATTTTTATTTTTCTACCTTAATTTTTTAACTTTTTTTTTTGTTTAAGAATTAATTTCTCCCATTAAAGTATATTTTAGTATTTATGTGCTATGTTTTTATTTGAGCTATTTTACTTTAAGCTAACTGAGACATTTTAAATGCTGAACTGGAAATGTAGCTGCTACATAATGGCTGTTTTTGGTGACCTGTCCCAAGTCAGTTGTGCACATACTGTGCTCTACATTGCAAATGTTTTTCCACCAATTTTGAGACATTGCATTTTTTGCACCAAGTACATTTTACAAGCTTTTTTACTGAAAACATCATTTGTAAAATAAATAAATAAAAAGTTACTTTTCTATCAATGATTTCCCATCACTTTTAAAGGCAAAGGTTTCATCTGAAATAGGATTATTGCTCAGATTTTTTCAGCTTTGGCTTTGTTCTTGATACTTTATGTGGAGCATTCTGAACATGTACCCAGCCTGGCGTTGGGAGACTAAAGCTTTGCCTTTAACATGGTGGCATGTCATTATACAGATTCAAAGTAACGATCATACAGGGAAAAAAAAGCACATAATGAAAGTATCTGGTGATTTGTTTTTTGAACAGTTGTTTATATATATCATTGTACTCTACCATTAAAATGTACACTGTACAGTAGATAACCTAACTTGTCTGTCTTTATGTTCATTTTTGAAAAAAATACTGACATTTCAAAGACTTTGGTAAATTACAGCAAAAACAAAATGTTTTTTGAAATTATGTTACAATGCCTGCCAATACAATTTTATCAAACACATTTTAAAGTGTGGCTTTTTGATTTTATGAAATCCTAAAAAGAACATTGTAATGAATAAATGTGCTCTTTTTAATCACAGTTCTGAAATTTTAATTACTTTGTAAACTTAATAATGCCCCGTGAAGTTTTTCACATTTGTTACAACTGAAAACTACATAACTTATTAGGAGTTGTTGTTAGACCAACATAAATTAGTGCATTTGCATGTGTGGCCGTGTGTGTGTATTTACAGTGGGTTACAGTATTAGTTTTCTGTCAGTTTTTTTTCACTCTTGTCAAAAAGTTTAATGTTGGTCTCATCAGGGCATAGTAACTTTCACATTTTTGTTTGGTCCCAACATGGCTAGTATCAAACTTGTAGCTTTTTCTCCTCGGTAAAGCCAGAATTTGTAGCATGCTCAACTAGTACATTTCCTGTTAAATGTTTCTTTATCTGAATTGTGGATTTCTACAACTCTTCTATATTTATCAAGCTGCATCTCTCATGAAATCCCTCCATGTCTCAATTTGTGTCATACAATTGAATTGAAAAGGACACCAAAAGTACCAGTAATATTTTTACATCCATTTTTTCTTGACATTAGGTTGGGTCTGTCTTTTTTTTTTCACGCATTTTAACATCCTATAAAAGAAAATATCAGTGAGCATGTTGCAAGTTTTTCTTTTAAAACCAGAATTAAAGGGCTGTCAAACGTGTATTTTTTTACACATAATAAAGCTCAGATATAAGTGAGTTGTATTTAGCTGAACTGTGGACAAAAATAGTTCTCTGGACCGTAAAAGTCTCAGTGCCTAGTTGACGTTTGTGTTGGTAATTATGAAGAAAGTCAGGCGCTCCAAGCCTTGTATTCCTTCCCTGCATTTGCAATGACACAAAAGATCCTGAAGGTGGCAGTATTAACTAAATTAGATCTGATCGGATGAAGTGCTGGCTAAAGTTTTTTTTTTTTTTTTGGTCATATTATTTACTTATTTCGTGATGAATTTTGACAGGATGAAGTGGATTTTACTCAGCACACTCCTTCTCTTAAATGTTTAAATAATGGCCTAACTTACATTAATTGCGTAACACATGCCCCTGTTGCTCCTGCAGAGTCAGGGCCTCTAATTAGCGCAGCTCACAAACCACCCAAGTCGGAGGGGGAGAGGAAAAACTGCTTCTTTCAAACATTAATGAGTTGAACCTTGCCCATTAACTAACATATTGTTTATGAGCTACTTTCACCGAAAATGTCCTAAAAGGGGAGGCGGGGGAATTTATATCGTAACATACGCGAAGAAAAGTTTCTGAAAGAACCATTCAACACCCCCATAAATAATCCCAGATGGTGTCGCTCAAACGTTTGGGCTCCAGAGTGGTTAAACGCAGGCAAACACATGGAAGGTGGAGTACAACGTTGAAGAAGTACAAGTGTTGTAGTTTTTTTTTTTTTTTTTTTTTTTGCTCATCATTTCTTTGATTAAAAACGTTTTTATCAAGCCGTGAAAATACCTGCAAGTGGACAACTGAGCTCCTTCGCCTCTGACAGTAATTGCTGTAAGAGTAAGTTATTCGTTAAACTATTTGTACCACACTTGTTGCAGTATCTGAGTAACCGAACTTTTTTTTATACATGTAATATATAAAAAATATATATATTACAGAATGATGTTGTTTTTGGGTTTTTGTTTTTTACCTTCCAGATTTATGATTCGTGATTTAACTAGTAAAACGAGTAAATAACTTTGGTAGAAACCTTTATGGATGTTGCGTCAGTTGCCTTCAAGTATTTCCTTAAATAAAACACAATATTTGAGTCACTCAGTACAAACTGTGTTGCAAAGTTGCAAACTCTGAACGCCTGTCAGGACTCATATGCCGACCCGCTCCCCTCAAGCTGAAAATCTGGCTCACTCTATTGTTTTAAAGTGGGATGAATGTACATGGTGTTCCCCTGTTTATGCTAATGTCCCCTTTTATATTTTCCAGTGGGGCTTTTATGGGTTGCAGTGGGGTATTCCTCAAACCTGAGAGAGGTTGCATATTGTTGTTTTTGCCCGGGCCAGCAGCAGCAGTGTGCTCTAAGGTCAGGATTATAGCAGTCTTGGAGGGGAATTAAAGCATACAGATGGCAGTTCTCATGTGATGCCAGATTTGAGCAGTTTGGACTTTTATTTACTTCTTACTTATTTTGCAGCTAAATGGAGTAACGGCAAAGGTTTATTCTTTTTTCAGACATAATGTAATGCAATCCAATATATAAATGTGGTCTGTCTTGATATCAGATTTTTTGTTCTTTCTTTCTTTTTGCAATTTAATAACAGAGTTTCCAACAGCTGGTGCCTTCCCGAAGAAACCTCTCGACCTTGGATTTAAACGTTGAGTCAGTTCAAGTAGCAGAGCCGTATGTTTAGTTTAGAGTGATTTTACCTCAAGTAAAACAACAAAAAAAAGTATGTTAAAGTTGATTTTCAGTGTGGAAATGAATTTAGTGTTGCAACTTTGGCATTTTTTTTCCAATGTTAAAGTTCAGTATGACTTCCTTGAGTTCATGCTCCTGGAATTTCAGGTTTTTTTAATGTCTGTTTGTGTCGACACCCAGTCATCAGCAAGGTCTTGTTTCAACTTGTTGATAAATCATATTCAGTTGGACCCTAAAAGCCAAGAAAACTTGCTCTGGTAGTTCACACAACTTGTTCTCACTGGCAACACCTCTTTTTAGTGTTTTCTTTTTTTCTTCTGTAGATTAATCTTGTCTTGTATCTTCCTGTAAACTCAATTCCTGAGGTGTTTTGTGTCAAACAGACATAAATAAATAAATACAACTTAATTAACTGCAGTTATCTATAGATCTTTACACAAGAGGAACCATTAGTTTTGGAAGTGATGTGTTTTTTTTGTTTTTGTTTTTTTTCCTTCAGGTCCCTGTTCTGTTTTTGCTTCATTTTCTTGGTCAGAGTGGGGCTTAAGTGGATCAGAGTCAAGGCACAGCAGTAATTAACCTGATTAAATGATTCTTAGACGTACCAGTTGGGCTCCCACGAGGCAAAATATATGAACCCTAGTTGTTGAAAGAACAACTTCAAATGATCACTTCTGATTTCATGTTGGGTTCACTACAAACATAGTTGTTCCAACATTTCCAGTCTAGAAACGATTATCAGGATAAAATGCAGCTTGTGCAAGGAATCTAAGATATTCAGGTGTGAAGAATTTATTTTACGCGTGTGTGGTTTGGCTTCTTTTACAGATAGTTTAAGATTTGTTGAGTCCCATGTTAAATTCCAGTTTGTTGGATTTATTTGACCCAATTCAACAAAAAAGCTTGTTGGATAATTAGACTGGTTTTAGACTGATTTATTTATTTATTTATTTATTTATTTTTCTTGGGAACAATCACAGTAAATCTAAGTCATATCAGGATTATCATAAGTACAATTTTTTTTTCAATATCCATAGCATTTTTTTTTTGTTTGTAGGTTTTTTATGTTTTGAAATGTTCATTTTTTAATTATCTCAAGTTCTTTTTCTGTTACAATGAAATTCCACAAATTGTTATTGAAAAAATATAGAAAACTGTCATATTTACATGTGAAATATAGATAAATTATTTACATACAAACTGGCTTTTTAAAGCTTTCTTTCTGAGATGATTTTTACTTATGGCAAATGTAAACATTTATGGTTAAATGGTAGTTTCCTGTTGCATAGATGGGAAACTGCAGCACAACACAATCTCTATTGCTCTTTCTTTGTGGACATCATTTCATAGACAACAAACATATTTGTAAGACAAGATATTAAAAGAGCATTGCACAATATTCCAGTTTTCCTCCAACTGCCTTTTACATGTGGCAGAAGTATGCAGAATAATTTTGTTCTAGCTAAAATAAAAATTGGATTATTTGATTGTTTGACAATTTGTAGACTGCTTCAACATTAGTGTGGAACATGACGTGTGATGCCAAATTAGTATATCAAATCACACTTGACTTGATCGTTTTCTGAATTCAGCTGCCTTTTTTTTAACATCTAACAGTTTCTGGACTACATAATCTATTTTTCTTTATTCTATAGCTTCTGTAATTGTCATGCTATTTTTGATTTTTTTTTTACCAGATGCAATATGGCTGAACTTGACTTGAACACATAAAAAGCAAAAGCCAAAAGAAGAGGAAACGATTGCGAAACAGTTCATTTCAGACACAGAACTTGTCACAGACCCATATGAGACATGTCAACACCTACCAAGCATGAGAGAACCGTTTGTGTTCTCCTTCCCAACAAAAGCCAGCTGGATGTCACTATCGGGGTGGGTGCTCAATGGAGCTTTGAATCTAAATCTCCATATGTTTTATGTTGTTTTTTATGTTTTTATCACAGTGATAGGCATGGGCTGGTTTGCTATTCTCAAGGTATGATAGCCTGTTGTAAAGTAATACATTTAATAGGAAGAACAGGTGCTAATAGATTTTTAAAGCTACAATATATTCTACAACTTCTAATATAAAACATTGATTATTGCAAATCTTTGTATGTTATCACATCTAGTGATGTATACACTTAAGCAAAAGCATTAAATAAACAGACCCTAAATTTAATCAATACCTGTTATCTACATCAAAAACTCAACTTGTGGCTTCTGGTCCTTAAACCAAAATCTAATGTCAGTCCCATTTAAAAACTGAGAACTTGTGTCTTTAAGAATATGTTTAGTTGGTTCTTGGTTATTTAAGTTTATTCCTTGTAATTGCTTTATTTCTCAGATTCTTGTGGATTTTAATTTCTCTGAAGGGTGTTACATGAGTAAAGCTTTACTTACTAAGTTAACATTTTCATTAGCCAGTTTGTTTTGGGTAAAATTGAGAGCTTTTTCACAATCAGTTTTGCTAGAGGAGAGTTATCTCGATCTCCCCACTCCTCTGAAGCAAATCTGGCCTGACACTGTAGGAGAGTCACACCCACCATACTGTTGACTCAGTCTCTCAGGACAGAATACAAACTAAAGGTGGTACAGATT